CCCCCTTGGATGCCTTGGAGAAGAAGGAGGTGAGTCTCGAAACAAGATGTACAAGTCGGATAGACTGCGTCATTCTCGAAAAATTAGTCGAACAGCCACTATGACAGACATATTCAATCGAGCCATGGATACCTCAGATCCCCTATTATCATCTCTTCATCTGGACAAAAGAGCCCGTTATCGAAAACAGTTGGCTCTACCTCAAGAAGTCCTACATATGCTAGAATGCCCATCTGTACCAACTACACAAGAATTTGGTGACGATGATCAACAAGTCGAACCCGATGAAAACAGTTTGGACTACGAAAATGAAATTGAACTTGAAAACGAGGTAAGTATTTTTTTCCCCATTATTTTATTCTAACTATACTAAGTATTAGCCCAACGATAAAAACCAACGACAACAAATGTTTTTAGTTTTATGAATCTAGTCATTTTTGATCATGTTATAAGGTATAAAGTTAAATTGAGTGATTATAAATTATGTTTGTTATTATGCCCATGTAGTTCTACTCAGCGGCCCCAAGCCATGTACCTTAATACTCTAATCCCAGGTAGTATTGCGGTTTTAACCGACAAGGGGCCCTACCTGGCTTAAATTTTCTATTTTCAGATCTTTGAATCGAGTTGGCATTTGCACATGTGAACAACTTCAAAATAATTACAACAAGGCGTACGTTACATTTAAGGTAATGTTTTTTTTATATATTTCCTGTATTTATTTTTTTTACCAAAATCGGGGGAACATTGCCCTATCGTGCTATAATATCATGTATTATGACTAGTAATCATATTTCAGCTAATTGTAGTTCATTATAACAAATATTGTGTTCATTTTGATGTGTTGTATGTGAAATCCGCGATTATCACTTGTGACACTACCCTTGTAAATCCCAACTTTGAACCCCGCTCATGCCAAAAGTATAAACTTATAGCAGAATTTTTTTTTATCAAAATAATTCTAATTTTTTGAACTTTTTTTTAGTACTTACCAGGAATGGATATTATGGGGAATAACAGAGATATAGAGAACACATGATATCCTTACGGGAAAGTTGAAAATGCGCGTGGCCACAAAAAGTTCAATCCGTCGCACGGTGCGCTAGCCCGATGACACAATATCGGACCCACGGGAAGAGTTATTTTTTTATACTTGTAACCGCACGTTCGCTTCGCCTAAGCAATCCTTTTTTCGATTTAGTGTACATACATCTACATGTTTTGAAATGATTTTATCATCAGAGGAGGATGGCTAAAAATCATTAAGTCGTTTGATTAGCACAAAAGTGGACTTGTGAATTGAAACTGCCGAAAATCTACTGCAAATTACGAATTGCCGAATTTTATATCAAAGCCACTTCTAATTGGTAACTTGTGAGATGAAAACTCCGTCGCTGTATGTAACCAAACCAACTATAATATCCCAAAAACCAGCATCGGCATCAATCAACTCGCCGTCAGTATATATATGTAATAGGTGACCTATTATAGGTCCAATTCCAATAAATCCAATAAAGCCTCCCGAGTCCCACTCCCATGCCCTGCCACCGGAATTCCTAAAGTGCAATATATTCCACTTGAGAATCAGTTGGTTTCGCTCAACCTCGACCGACCACCGTAAAATAATAGTATCACCAAATACCTCGTATTTCATTCGTTAGACATGACAAGCACGTCATTTCAAATCAAATAAATCCAAATACAGTTACAAAATTTTCACTCCCGGGTCTGTCCGAACTTTCCACCATAAATGAGATAACTGTCTGGATGGAATCATAAAATTGCATTAATACCAGAATGAGTAGGGGGAATGGGGTGGAATGCAGTTATCCATCCAACAAATTAATGATTAATCAAAATTCCAGATTTGCTGCGTAGTTGCAAGCTACCAAAAAGTTAGCAAATTAGACAATCCATAATAATTTATTTTCTTAAAATTAGATAAATACATTTGTATCGTCAAGCAGCGGATCCATGTTATACTGAAAAATGAAACTACAAACTACCATGATTTTTGTTTCTCAGTTGACAATCAGCAAACGCATGAATCCATTTATCTTTAAAAATATATACACTTTGGTTTGGTTACAGTTGGCCTAAATCGACAATTTCCTTCTAGCATGTATAAAATACGACAGCACTTGAATCCTAACGGCTACTCGCATAATATGCCGTTTTTGCTCATTGAACATTTCCTAAAATCTCGACTGGTTGCACATTTATAGCGAGAGGGAGGAGGACAGGACAAAGCAAAAGGAAGAGGGTGGCTTATGCTATATTATGACCATGACAAAACCGACAGAGACATTGTGGTTGGAAATGCTGAATAAAAATTCAAAGCGAGACTTTCATCCCCCCATTTGCTCATGGAACTCACTCCTCAGAGCTGAATAAATAAACTCAGAGAAATACGTACGAGTACAAACACTCTGTTGTATTTGGAGTAGCACGTGCCAGCATTACTGACCAATCCACCGCTTGTGTTTTTTATTATTATTTGGAGATACATATTTAGCACTAGAGACTGAGCAAATGACGAAGGAGTATTAATTTCAATATCTGTAGCTCTATCTAAAAAAATGAAGTATTTACGCTCACTGGCCACGCAAATTGCACTTGAGTGGACATCATCCATAAATATGAATCATGCTGAGCCTTCATATTATGGATACAATATTTTCTACCAGGTATCAGCAATTAGTTTGCTGCATGTACGATACGATGATATCTTTGAGCTAAACTGCATACTTCGGTACCAGAGACTTTGTTCATTTTCACATCTATTTATTTCAGCTATGATAATCAACGACAACCATCACTCGGACTAGTAGAGGACCCATTGCTTCATATATATAAATACACTGCGTCTTATCTTTTATCTCTGAACCCGTACTTCATCTCTAGACATTTCCCAACTACAGCAAAGCATTTGAGGAAAAGTATAACTTTTTCATGAAATACTCTCGCTAGTCTCAGTCCCATTTTCCACACGGACGATCGCCAGAATGAATGATTCCCTGGTGGTTCCAACCACGCAACGGCAAAATACTCTAGATCTCAGGACACAATTTTATTTTCTATACCGTACCGTGAGTCACCCAAGATGAAGAATTGATGCCAGAACTAAATAAAAAAGAAGAACGTCGTTCTACGGAAAAGACGATGACTTTCTACGCCAGACAAGAATTGCAGGAAAGTTGCCAGGAATTGGTTGGTCAGTCCAAATCCCTGTGAGGGTGATGGAGAAAGCATTCCAAACATTCAACGAGGTAGTCTCCTGTCAGATTTATAAAGCCACAAAGTGCCACATACGATACCTACCTACTTATACATACAACCAGTTGGCAACTTCAATTACACGAGGAGAGGATCGAGGATTGGGAAGAAGAAGACAAGGAGACGACGAGAAAGGTGAAGATTGAATAAAATGAATTCCCCTGGAGCAACGAGGTGAGCCTTGCATCACATTACTCACTCACGATCACATTGAATTGAATTACACACCAATTGCTATATATGTCTGCATGTATGTAACATATAGACATTTCGTCGTCCCTGTTCTGGTGTGACCTGACAATAGAAAATAACAAGTCGTGTGAGGAGCTAGCTGCCGTCTGCCCTACAGATTTCGTCCAACATCCGATGTAATCAGTCCACAGAAAATTTAATTTGCGACCTCACAGCTTTACAAATTGCCTGTCGGGAAATTTCGTGTCACAATAAAGAAGTCTCTCTGGAAGAAGCCTCAAGAAAGTCGATCCTGTATGTACACATACTTTCTCCACAAATACGGGGTTGCGACGAATATTGGATTCATTCACGCTGCTACATATATTGACATTTATTTACATTTACATTCATTCGACGCTAGTGTGTCCCTCACTTGGTTTGGCTGACACTGGTTTCTCACACCCTCCTTCTTTCTAGTCAATAATATAAAAAAAAGACTTCATGACATGAGCGAATGTGACTCGTACTAACGGAATGTCACGTCAAATCAACAACGAACCAACAAATACACGAAAAAGTGGCAATATCACAAAAGTATATACTCTACAACAGCAAGTATGTTATAGTAAAAAGATTTAAACCTTTTGATGACTAAGACTAAATATATACAGCTACATACATACATTGAGTTACAATTTTACCGTCCTATGCGTTGTGCCAAAAGACACGTAGGGAGAAAAAAAGGTATGCAGTGTAAGCAGCAGGAGACACCGAGTTCACAATACTGAACAAAAATTGTCACCTCCAATTGCAAGCACGATATGGTATTACTTTGTCTGCTATTTAGTATAGTTAGAGTTGTATTACTGTGTTTTCTCTTTCCTGACACACAAAGTCGCAAATCAACGCTGACAAGGCAAGAAATTATTGTCTTTCGGATTTCATTCCATCTTCACTTAGAGTTCATTCGGAGTAATAAGAAGTGGAGCCTAGTTAGGATTCCGTGCCATAAATATGCTCCTAGTAACAGGAAGAGAGAACATGTGCGAGTAAATAAAGTAGTCTCTTGTGATATATTCGTGATGACTGCGTATTTATGTAGATATTTACTTGGAGACAAAGAACAAGGGCCAAGCAAAGAAGGAAAATAACGGTCGATGTAACACTCTCCAATACAGCACAGTCCTCCCACATTTTATTTTATGACTATTGCCGACTTTACAACTATCGTTAAAATTTTAGAGGCTTCGTTAATGACAAAGTTTCCAGAGACGGTGAGGGGAATAGTGTGCAATTGCTACATTTCGGAAGCCATTCAAATACATTGTGACTATCGCACCCTACGACGACGAAGGTATTAGAGCAAAAAGTTCTGCCACCACTTTCTCTTCAACTTTATCATACTTCAAAGGCACGCAACACTGCGTTCTTGCCAACCTCACTCAAGTGTCTCTCTATGTCTTTGGGTTAAATAATTAAAAGTGTATTCTGGAGTGAACTGCAAGTGGAGGGGCAAAAAATAAAGAAATTATGAGAGGATATGAGCTCACCTTTTACGACGCCCACCACCACCTCCACCACCACCATCTTCATTGTCCATATTGTTCCAAGACGGCTGGTTCTGATGGTGGGAAGAATGATTCTGTAACAAAACAAAACTCGTTGTCAAAACTTATTCGATCACAAATCCACTTGAAGCTATAAAAGCATGACAATTTACTTGGTCTGCAATGCCACTAGAGCTCATAGAAAAGTAAGCTACACACATACATACACTGGTGAATATTGAAAGCGAGAGTTAAATTGAGTAATGAATGTTGGCAGGCTGAAAACGAGGATCGAGTTTGGTTCATCATCTTTTATACCTGCATCTACATATAATTACACGTGAAATATAAAGCCAACCCTCACAGAACAATACAAATCATGACCAGTTTAAAGAGAAATATGTATGGCTTTGATGACAAAACTTGAGATAAAATCAATAAGCACGGCAAAATTTGCATGCAAATTGAATTTACTTAAATCTTGTGAAAAAGGAGAGGACAAACAAAAGCAATTAAAATTTTCGGTTCAATGCCAAACTTCCATAAACGTAATTGGGTGCTTGTTTGGGAAAAATTTCAACGGTTGCTGTAGACCTTAAAAGATGAGAGTACTCGGAAATTAGTTTACGATAGTAACTAATAAACAGAAATAAGTCTTGATAATTGCAATTAAACTGACAGTTAACAGTCCAAGGAATAAAATAATAAATCATGCTGTAAAAGATAAGAGATGAATATATAGCAGAAGAACATCGACACAGTTGACATTAAAAAAACAATACTAGAAAAAGAAAAGCAGCCTTCTAGGAAATACCCAAGCTGGCAGCTATAACAGCTTTACAAATTTCACAGGTAATTATGTAAGCAGAAGTGTGGGTGTAGTACACATGTAAAAAAATCTATACGCGTGCGCGTAATTTTAAGTCATGTACAGCTTTTCAATATCGCGAAAAAATACATCCCATTACCGTATTATGCTAATTTGAACCTCATCACTACAACAAGTAAACATTTTAAACATCATCATGTCTTTCTTATCTAACTTTGTGCTTATAATTGTTTAAAAAAACAACTACGTATTTAGAAACCAAAATGAGTTTGACTCAATTTGCTTCACATCGCCTGATCGCCACCACCAACCATCTCACGTAATTGTGAATTTAAATTGCAGCAGAACCAAAACAATTCTCTTTTAATAGACTAATGGTTTCCCTTTCCCTTTATGTGTTTTGTTCTTTACACAGATGGCTTTTTGTATTAACTTCTCAATTAGCACTGTCGCATTCGATATAAAATCAAAAGTAGAATGTGAAGTGAAAAGAAAGAATTCTCATTCTGTAGTCTCATCTTGTCACTTAACCTCATACCGAGCATTGCATTAATAAGTCAAGTAGCCAAGAAAAAGAAGAAACTTCAGGGAACGGGAGGACGACGTTTCCTCTTTTATTTATTCATGCATCAAACCAATTTAATTTGCCAAAAATTATAGATTACACCAACAGCAGCAAGGTTGTGTTGTGTAAGTGAGAAGAAAGACGCTCATAAATCATGTTAGAGGGAAGGAACAAGTCGTTTCTTTCAAAGGTGTAGTATATGCAGGCATAATAATACAATACCGTGCACACAATACCGTGGTGCACACACTTTTTCGATGTGGTCTGCTAACTTTAGTGACATCGCTAATGCGCTCTCCATTATATTAGATCTGCATTTTTATGACAAATTACAAAAGCCACAGCCTCGTCTATTTCAAAAGGGAAAACGGGCTTGCCTTAAAAGGTAATAACAGCTTTTGATCTCATCTCTCTGAGTGAATAAACCCAACCGGATTCGAATTTGACGTTTTGCAAGGCAATCACTCAACTGACTCAACTTCTTCTGAAGCATAATGCATAATAAGCAATGAGGCAAAAAGAATACTTTTTATATAGATTGAGATTTCTGCAGATTGATTGTGTATCACAATGTGATGGCTGATTGTATCTCTAGATATAAATATAAACCACAAGTTTGATTTGATACGTACAGAACTCTAATTTTACAGTTCTACAAACCAAAGACAGACTTTTAGGAATATGTACATATACGCTGATAATTATTATTTTGTTAGGTAGGCATTAATAGTTCTAACGCCCCAAAACATTTGGCGACATATGCAGACATAACATATTTTTGAGCTACTTTCGAATTACTGTAACTCGCATAGTTTTTGTGCCGTCGTGTAGATAAGTATGTACACTACAAAATGTAACTTTGCCTTGCCCTACGAGTTATTTAAAAGTATGTATATCGAAAGATGATTGACAGTTCATAATTGCATTTCTTGTGCAGAGCTGCAATTGGACACTATCTGGGATCTAAATAGCTTACATTGAATTAACATCACCGTATAGAATGGACAAAAAAGTTTGCAAACGATTGAAATTTGAATAGAATTTATTACGGATCATTATTGACTATATGTATATGAAGCATCAGAAAATTTCTTGACTTTTTTGTCTGGAAGACTTGAACTAGTTCAAGTATAATTTAAAATGCAGTGTCTGCATTTAGCGCATTTATCAATTTTCAACAGCTCAAGGGAGAAAAAAACCTCGTTCGTAGAAAAAAAATCAAGAAGAGAAACGTTGTGGTGTACAAACTCATTATTTTCTCTACAATCAGAAACTAATCCAACTAACATAAGCGCTACCCGAGTAATTATACTCTAATGAGTTGAGTGAATACCGTGTTACATAATTTCAGTTTCAATTCATACCCATTAGTCCTTATAAGCACATTGTAATAATTTTAAAACAATATTTTGAGATCAAACAGTATTTATTCAGGTTTTCCTAGTAGAAAGCCTCCTGCAGCATACATACCTACATGCTTATGTACACGTCTTGAATTAGATTCTCCTTACTATCCACCGTCCTGCGAGTCATTAATACAGACAAGCACTAATGAATCTAGATTCTCAATCTACCTCAATGCATATCAACGTCAACGTGAACGCCAAGTCAAGTGAACCATCAAATAAACGAGAGCAGGCAGAATAACAGAAGAAGAGACAAGAAGAGTCAATTCAACGACGAAACAAACAAAGACGACGACGAATTTCCCTTCTTCTGCTGAATAAAGTCAAGTGACTAACTAACCACGAGAGCAGCGTTATTTTTAGTCGGTAAATTATTGTACGTCTTTTCTAAATACGTGTTTTACGAGGATGATGTAAATGGATCATACACGGCAGATCAGGTCTTCAAAGCAGAAAGTTAATATGAAACGTATAATTTTGGGAGCAGCCGAGATTGACATTTCATTGATGAGTCGTAAAGCAAGACCAAACAGTGGAAGAAGATTTCACTTCTTGTGACAGCTTGTTTTGCGTGTACGTAAGAGCTTTCGAGTAAAAACGCAAGTGTTGTGGTTTGTCGGTTAGAGAAAAAAGTTGGCTCTAGCTCAACATCATCAAAGTTAGGATATGGGGTATTACTTATAATACTTATTATTACACGATCACAGCCACATTGCATATTCGCTTAAGTAGTTGACAATATGGCCAATTTAGAGACCTTAAATATAATTGAAGCTATGTATTTATATGCCGGACATAAATTCATTCGACATTCTTTAAAATTGATAAATGTATTATTTCATGGCTAAAATATCTATGAGTCAGATATCTCCATGTGTTTTAAGGAGGTCGGCTCTCTGGGTTTTGGATTGCAGATGTGACACAAACGTAGCATATACGTATTTAGTATTTTTCATCAATTAGAATACGGACCCCACCCTTCCATGACCAAATAAAGACAATGTTTAATGTCTTCTCCTCCATGAGAAGTTGGTTCAATGGTCTCAGACAGAGATTTTAAAGAAAGTCCAAAATCTAAAACTTGAACGTGCTAGCATAACAAGTTAACCTTGCGTGCTTTGTACTTTGTCGAATTGAATTGCTCATCACACCACATAATAATCGACCCAAGAATGAAAATAAATATGGAGTATGTATGAGTATATATGTACATACATAGACTCGAGTACCAAGTAATTCTCAACTCGACTCACTCATCCCTTTTGGGATCTTTTAGGATAAACGATTTACCTCTGTTTTTTCTCCCCCATTAAGATGCACGCTTTAGTTTAGTCATATTTTGAATACACTCACATGAAGGGACGATGACTGATTGGCATTCTCATCCCAATGAATAGCCTTGCATATCAGATAGTTTAGTTGCACAATTGCACTTGCAAGTCGCTCGAATTTTCATTTTCGAAACACTGAAAGTAAGTCAGTTTCTTGCTAACACTTGTAAAAATAAACTACCGACTTCATTTGGACTTTAATGCAACTAAATAATAGTGGATAACAATTGAACCAATTGAATACGTCTCGATTCATTGAGTCTAGGGTGACAGATGTTGTCAAATTTCATTCTCAATCGTAACTTAAAACACTTTACACAGTGGAATCTAAATCTCGTTCTAAAATTAATCAATAACCATAAAGAAATTGCACAAAGTTTAATTTATAATGCTTTTAAACCATTGTTGCAAAACTTTCAAGATTTATGCATGCGTTCATGTCAGTGGTCAGACACGGGCATTAATCTCATATGTCCAAATATGACCAAGAGGGCAGCGCGAGTGATGAGGGTCCTGACCTCTAATTTTTATCCTTTGTCCTTTTAAAGATTCGTCGGACAAAGTGAATGAATTGACAAGTTCTTTACGTGCTGATGTTGTGAATTTAAATTTCAAAGTGCAAATTTCTTGTGAAATGGTCAATATATATGATCGGCTATACATAGAATTCCTAGCAACTGATAAACCTTAACCAATACGTACATACATTGATACAGTTTGAAAAATAATAAAGAGAAAGTTTTGCAAAAATAATAAGCTTACACAACCTTTGTGAAAAGCTGAAAAGTAAATATTGAGTTTAATTCTTATTATTATTTTATAAGTCTTTGTATTTAAAGCAAGGGAAGTAAAGACTATACAAAATACGAACGTGGGCGACTACTTCACCTCCAGCACTGTGTAACGTGCCCAAATTACTTGTGCAATCTTCAACCTCGATGATTCTGTGTGAAGTCGGTCTGGGCTCAATTTGAGGCGCTCAAATAGAGTCATGTAGACAAGTGTTGACTTTAAACACTGCTGCTTTCTTTTGTGACGAGGCTGATAAATGTCGGAGAATAAAAGTCCTTTAGTTTTTTTTAGACTGTATTTAGTCGTGAGATGACAAAATCACATCACAAAATTGAATGACGATGCCGTAGATTTGTGCCATTAAAAGAGACGCGACAGAGCTGAAGTTGGTGGTTGGACTTTGTGTTCTCAAATTAAACAATTTCCGAGACAGAAGTAAGATTTAAAAATACTTCAAAGACTTGTACAAAATAAGTACAAACGTGTATTAACATAAGTATATCCATGTAACATTTAAATTAATACTTATAATGATATGTACCAAATCATATACAAAACCATATAAAACATGTCTATAATTCAAAATGTTTAAAGTCTATCAGGAGAAATATGCAAGAATTCCAGTTTCTCCAGCTTAAATTGACTTGAGGAGTTGTGTCCGTGCAACATTGTACCTTCACTTTCCATGTAAATAGCATCCACAGTAGCATTTTATTTCACTTTTAGAGCCCATTTCACTTCAAGACTAAAGCTAATAGAAATGCAAAGTCCTTTAGGGGACAGGAGGCCAGTGTGCTTTTGCCTGCATTCTCATTTCAATTTGTTAAGTAGTTTGGAAAACGTACACAACAGATCACAAACAAATGACAGATCATTTTCCTCATTGTTCCTACTATTGTTTACCGTCTTACCTTCTCACTCTAAATCTGACTCATCTTAACCTTCAAGATGATTAAATGTAGTAAATAATATACTATGAACTTTTGTACTATCTCACACATTGACGTACGTATGCTACACGGTATGTACATATGCGTCGTCTACTTTCAAACATTTGCCCCCAGTAGCCTCAATTCGAATTTGAATCAGCTCTCATTTCTTTCTCACCAAATCTAATCTCACCTCAATATCAGGAAACAGCGTATGTACACGTATCATCATGACTAAGCCCCAATATATCCATTGCATTTAATGAAAGTATAAGGAATACGCTGCGTACATATATTTATTGCTTTGCTGCATGCAGGGCATGAAGGTGTTCATTCACACGCATCTCATTATGACGATATGGGCTGACGGAAGACAACAGGGGCAAGGAATTTTTATTGGAGCTGATTTGACGAGGCCAGATTGACTGATTTCAAATCGTGACAAAGGGTTTTGTCGATGTAAAAGTAGCAAATAAATGTGCACACACCTTTTAACCCCGAGCAATTATTTTCTCTGCTCTGCAAGAAACTTTAATAACCAACAATCCGATAAATATCAACTTTAAAGGTTTAAAATAACATATTTTCATGCTACACATGTCCATAATGTATGCATGTATATGAGCTCAAGCTCACTTCGATTAGCAGTGTAAAAAAACCCGTATGAAAATTTTCCGACATTTTCTTCATAAATTATATGGCGAATCATGTACAAATTGTGTGCCTAAAATTGGCCGATTTTTAGGAAGAATTGTTTCTGCATAAAAGAGTATGACGAACATTTCCTGCATAAAAGAGTATGACGAACATTTCCTGCATAAAAGAGTATGACTAACATTTTCTTCATAAACATTTGGGTACAATATTTTCGTAGCACAAATTGGCCGTATTTCGTGAAGAATTATTTATGCAGAATAAATTATGCATGCGAATTCGTAGGGTATTTTTCTCTAGTGATTTTATTTTTCTCAAGTAAATAAATTTTCAAATATTTGATTACATCAAATTGAAATTAATTACGGGCCTTTTTCTGCTCCTCCCTCAAAAAATCTGATAATGATTTAATAATCTCCTTCCTTGCTACCTTCTTATTCTTGTTGAAAATTTTGTCTTCGGCAGCATGACCAGAATTTGGTAGTCCATCAAGCCCTTGCTCTTTCAGAACAAATTCTGTGGAGCAGAATAGTTCAATATAGACTTTACAAATCTTTCTAGCAATTTATAAATCCAATATACTCAATAATTTATGTAATGTCTTACTGATCACAGCGTCCCGTTTGGGTATGTCGATGATTGGAAGAGGAGGCGCGGCATTGCTGTTGGCGTTGCATTTCTTCCCTAAAGGAGAATGCGTCGAAAGTTCTTCTGTCGTAAAGAGCCGTCTAAATAAATTGCGTGCTAGCACAGTAGGTTTGGACGAAACCATTTTGATGGAAGTCAAATCGGCCATGGGCAATGTTACACCGCTGTTAGCGTAAATTTCGACCTGTTAAAAACACAATTTTTATTAACCTGTTAAAATAATAACCGTAGAAATGTATAAAAGTTTTAAAGTCTAAAGTATAAAGTCTACACTGATAAAGACGAAAATAATGGACACAATGTCTACCTCGGATGGTTCTCTGACTGAGGATTTCAAATCCTTATATTTAATTCTCAATGCCTTGTACTTCTGCTTCATTTTCAAATATTTTTCTGCATAATAAGTGTAATTAATTGCCATCATTTTTACATTATTGTCTTCGCATGTGTGCAAGTTTAATTAGAAAATAAATACCAGAATAATCCACTGATTCATTTCCTCCTTCGGGGATCTGTTCCTGACCAGAAGAGTGACTTTCCTCTTGTGACTGGACATCTTGCAGATCAGCTGAAGGAACAAGATTGGCTACAACCTCTTCTATGTCGCGAATCCGTTTTGTCGTCGTGGATTTGTTGCCTGAATTTATAAAAAAATATATGATAAAACTCTCCAACATAATTCTAATTGCAATTGCGCTGGTGCCAAAATTTGTTGCCTTACCCTTCTTTGATTTGGTTTCTGTATTTTTCCTCTTTATGCCAGAATGCTCACCGGTTTCCACGGCTTGAGCGGCAGAACAAGCCATAGCCAATAAATCAGCTTCATCAGATAAGGCTTCCTCATCATTGGCTAAAAAAATATTAGTTAACATAAACATATGCACAATCAATTATTAATAAGTTTAATGAGAGAAAATTAGAAAATTAGAAAGAACCAATTATTACACGAACCGATTTTTAAAACCAAACCAGGGTAGATTTTCCCACGACTCCAAATAACTTGCACAACCTGTCCCAGTAAATTTTGAGGATTAGCACGCAACGTTCCATCTTCAAACTTCTCGGAGGATACGACTGAATACTTTTTGGGACGTTCGTTGGACCACTCAATTAAAATAAATGTCATTTTGATTGGAATCGTAGATATTTAGTAAATGAGAATGAAATTCCGAGCGAGCAGTTGGTTAAGTTGCCATCCACACTGATTGCTTCCAAAGATTCCCACTATTTGTAGAGCAGAGTTTAGTATGTCCAAAGTAACCCCCGAATCGTCACAAGTAGCACATTTGAAACTTATTAAATTAAGTACTTCAACAATTGAATACTAAATGTCAACCCGTAGAAATTATAAGAGCTATTTTGGCTCTCGTGGAGGATGCGCGAAAGTGACAAGTATACCAATAAGGACCCGGCATAGGATAAAACGCCGCTGGGTAAATTCCAATCTAGTTATGAAAAATTCGAAAAATAAATTATTATTTTTAAATTAGTCGGCGGTTGATGGTGTTGGCTTAAATAATAATACTCAACCCAACCAGCAATGCGACAACACGGTGGGAAAAAGTAATGAGGCCTTGGATGACAATCTTTACCCATCGTTACCTCAATTGGTAATATGACAATACCAATTGTGATACAGTATATCAACTATTTTAGCTTTATGTATACTTTACAACTACACTGTTAGGATATGAACGACGATGCGGAAGTTTCCGAATCTGGCCTCAGTACAAGTTCAGACGACGACGATGATGAGGACGATTACGATCAAAATGAAGTAGCCAATGAGTTCATTTATCAAAATAATCAATATTTCGCTCAATTCTATAACTAAGAATATTTTAATTATCCTAGCACCACAACAAACAATACAAAATATTTCCTGGGGCAAAACTTACAACAACGGAAAGTTGTATGTTAGTAATAGGATTCGCCATCCGTCACAAACTCAGTAAATCTGCAATGACCGATTTGCTAACGTTAATTAATTTTCACTTACCGACTGGAGCATCAATCCCGACGTCAATGTTTTTGTTGAACAAGATGCTGGGACCTGACTACACTTTAGCAAAGAAGATCCCCTTTTGTGAAAAATGTCAGTGCATTATTGAAAACTCGGATAATTGTATCAAATGTGGACAAGTTAATATGCATAAGGCAATCAAAGATGGGAATTATTTTGTCTCCTTCGATATTGGATCTGTATTGAAATCACTTTTAGAAAAAGAAGCAATCTCGAAGTCAATTATCAAGAACTTTGTGAAACGTGCCAACAATCTTAATGCTAGCAACGTAATAAGTGACATCATCGACGGATCTGACTACAAAAAATTAAAATTAAAAAAGTATGACTTGACTTGCTGCTTAAATACTGATGGTGTCTCAATTTTTAACTCATCAGGGTTTAGTGTGTGGCCACTTCTTCTATCCATTAACGAACTTGACTATCCACTCCGTAGAAAACACACGATTCTAGGAGGTCTTTGGCTAGGTCAAGGAAAGCCAAATTTTACTCTATTTCTAAATCCATTCATGAAACAGGCAGCCCAATTATCTACAGAAGGAATTGTCTGGACGGCTAACAACAAAATGATGACCAGTAAAATATTTTTCCCTTTGTTCGCTGCGGATTCTGTTGCTCGATGTCAAATTCAAGGAATTAACCAGTTCAATGGCGAATATAGCTGCCCATGGTGCCTTGCTAAGGGAAAAAATTTTAAAATATCTGACTCGAGGCATAAATGGATATTTGATCCTACTGAAACTTCGATAAAACGAGATAAAGAAATATTTGTGCAACATCTACTGCAGTTAAGAGACAAACTTCAACACGGGTCTATAGTTGCGTCTCATTTTGGGATCAAATTAGCATCTCCTCTTATTAATCTGAAAAATTTTGATATTGTTGGAGGGTTTGTTTTTGACTATATGCATAACGTTTTGCTTGGAGTTGTTCGCACTTTCGCTTTTGCATGGACAGAGTCAAAAAACCACTCTGAACCATTTTATATTGGCACAAAAGCGCAAGAAATTAATCAACGAATTGCGAAATGTAAAATTCCACATGAATGTAGTCGAAGTATGAGGGAAATTAAAGAAATGAAGTATTGGAAAGCCAGCGAGTGGAAAACTTGGATGGTCATTGCAATACCATTATTGCGAGGTATTTTGCCAAATTGTTACTTGAAACACTTCGCCAAGTTAATTGTTTCTATTTCAACCTTATCCCAGGATACTGTAACATTAGATAAGATTAACGAAGCTGAGAAATTGGTTAAAGAATTTTGTTTGTTAACTCCTAATTTATATGATAAGAGCTACTGTAGTTTTAACATCCACTTACTAACTCACGCTGCTGATTGCGTGCGACGCTGGGGACCCTTGTGGAGCTATTCGTTGTTCCAATTCGAAAACTATAATGGGGTGCTGACAAATAGCTATTGCGGTACCAGAGAAGTAGGGTCACAAATAATTAGTAGAATTATATGTGCTCAAAAAGTTTGTTCTCTGGGGGAAGTCCATTTCCAAAACGGCATAGCTAAAGATTTTCATATTTCAATGATAGAAAATAAGAAATACTCCAGGAAGTCCTGTCCCCTTGATAATTGCACACTTTTGGGAGCAAAAAAGATATACATTTTTAGTACAACTGAGAGAAAGAAACTAGAGAAATTAGGGTACATGCACAGTGAAGGTTTTAGTTACAAATCATGTATTATATCTGGTAAATTTTTTAATTCCAGTAATAGTGATACAATCAAACGGGTGAACTCTATTGTTAAAATTAACGGTAAATTGTATGTGATTTTTAAACTACTTAATTTGTTTGGTATCCCAAATGCGATTTTGCTCGTGAAAAAGTGTGTTGTAGCTGAGTGTAAAGATTCACCAAAGTCGAATAAAATTATATCAGTTAGCGATGATGTTAGGTTCGAATTGTCAACTAATGTAGAGCGTATGAAATTTGTTTGTCAATATGATGAAAATGGGAATTTATATATAGTTACCGAACTTATGAATACAATTGAACTGGAATAAATAAATGTGTCAACGTACTTTGTTATACACAATAAGCAGATAATTTTTAGTCACAATTTGCCAAATAATTTTATGCATATAAGATATGGCACGGATATTATGCATGATTAGGTTGAATTTTTCAGACAGAAAATGTTCGGCATAAATATTATGGGGATTGTGCATAATTATGCTAGGTTTTTTATGCAGAATATGTTCGACATAAATCTCATGCCAGTTATTCATAATTCGGCATATAGTTACCTGCACAATCAACTGTGTAGGGAAGTTGTGCCGGTTTCTGCAGGATTCGCCATACCATTTTCATACGGGAATATAATTATTATTTGAATGTTTGTAAAATGTTCAACCGAAGGGACTAGCTTTATTTATCATATTTTACATAATTAAAATAATGGTTATGAGTAAATATCGCCTCAACCACTGTCAACCGTAATTAATTTTTTGTGACTTTCCTATTGTGTGGAACAATATATTTTCTTATGTATTTGTTAATTTTCCTTGGACCGTCTGAATTTGGGGTCATCATGAAACATATTGGACTTATTAAAACCTGAAGTTCAACCTTCCTTATTTAGCAAAATTGGAGCCCATAAACCTATCATTTATCTCACAGGATTAGGTATCCACAACAACACCATGTGGCAAAACAGATTAAATGTTTCTTGTATTCAACCCAACGCTTATTTTTATGCGACCATCACACATGCATTTACGTGTTTTTTACTACTAGGATAGGACACTTGTGATATAGATATCATGAAGCCAAATGGAATTTGGTAAATGCTGTGGAATTTAGGCTTGTGCACGATATCAGGTTAAACTGTAAACTTTTTATAATATTCTGTTTCAACAATAAACTTCACCAGCGTTTTGTTAAATAAAGTAATGTTAAAAACACGCGTGTATTTGATGTGTTGGGTGTAATGGAGTGATTATTTTTAAAATGTGATCTAGTTTCACGGACCATGTGCACTCAAGTCGCATGAAACTGCGAGATCAAGTAAAGCATGGAGATGCGTAATCCATTTCACTTAAACTTTACACACTCAGGATCAATTTAGTCATCGTGTTTACTCAAATATCATTGAGATGAATTGCAATTTTTTTAGAGTCTAAAACTATCCAATTTTGTCATTTGGGGAAGCTCTCTGCTAACTACGACTTGCGTCCCGTCTGAAAAGTAGAGTTAACCAGCTAGGAGCACGACAACGCTCATCCAGTTTAGTTCTGGTTTGGACTGGGTAACGTCAGAATAATACGGATGCACGATAAGGAGAAAAAGGTTGTGATTAACCTCGTCTAGTTTGTTTCTTGGTTATTTAGTAGTAAATAACTTGAACACATCTTTTTGGCATCCTCATCCAGCAATTTGATAACCACATATGAAGTCTGTCTACTCCTTTCCGCCTCCTAATAGTCAAGTTGTTCAATTCAATTGAACACATATGTAATTCGTGTGCGGGTGGTGTGTCCATGTAAAGATCTGCTGGTTTTGTGGGCATGAATAGCGAAACAACTTGGTGCTGAGAAAAAAGACGATGGGCATGTATATGATCTGCTCTGTGCATCTTGTCAATTCGGATTCATTCATCTCTTAGCTCTCAACTGACTTCCAGGCAAAGAGTATTATCTATCTGCTCATTTTTTAAGTTGAAGTGAGCCAAGTCAAGTTAAGTAGAGGCTTTGGCTTTTTACTACTCTATTTTATGTACTATAGTTCCAGCTAAAGTTGGCTTAAGCTGCAATCCAACAAAAAAGTCTTGTTTTCGATTTTGATTTATTTATTTGCTCAAGTTTACTCTACTCAACTTTCCTCATTCATCTTATTTCTGATTATACATGTATACGCTTGGATGATATACATGTTGGCAGTATATACAGAGGTGTACATGAAAGAAAGAGTATTACCCGTCACATCATTCCACCATTTATTTCCACTACCCGCCTACATAAACAATATTAAAATGGTGCCACTACATTTTTTTCTAACTTGTTTACATTCTTGCATACACACATATGCGCTAGTTATTGTAGGTGCAATTTATTATGAAATCGCTCGACTGACTCTTAATATTCTCATAGAGGTAACATCATTATAGATATTTAGATATTATGCTAAATTTGTATTATCATGACATGTAAATAAATAGAAATGTTCAGTGTACGTCTCCCAGAGAGGTTTAAAAGAGCTATACTAGAGTTAGAATTATATAGTTAGACATGGCATTTCTCGTCCAAATCATGGGCATTTATTTGATTTATCCTTTACTTTAAAGCTACAAATATATATGCAATACCTGTCGTGATCTCATAATTTTGCTGGTTCGACTCTTCTTACTGCTTCGTTACTTGCATGCCATTCTAATGGAATTGATTTCACTACTCTTCCCCATGTACTTGTGATTTCGCTGAGTAATGAGAATCCAGCAAAATGAAAGGATCGAAAATCGATATGATATTCCTTCCTCGCTGCAATAATTGACACTATGTCATGAAACCTCTGTATATTCATGATAGCTTTGCACGTACATATACACGTTGGAATTGTAGCTCTGGCTTCTTCGATTTCATAACGTCCGTTTTCAACTTTACAATAGCATCAGGTGTCCTGTCAGCAAGACGACTATCTACATATTCGAGTTATTAATTTTTTGTATCCCAATGTCGTCACAGCAGCATATCGCCTGTAACCTCCGAATAAAGTCAACTTTTTTGGAACGTCCATTTCTCGTTTCGTACATATACCTTCGTTTAACCGTAGCATTTAGCAGAGTATCATTTAGAATCATAGTATCGCAAATCACTAAAATGGCATGAGCACGACACCAACACAACTACATATCCGTCGCTGGAACCTTGTAATAAATATCGTATGAAGCAGAGAAAGCTCTCAAAAAATATGGACGTTGTTCCACTCTGATTATCACCACTTGGCCAATTTTGCCTTTGTTTCGATCGAAGCGTTGCATATTTACAAGTTTAATCATATAATGCAGAATATGGTGTCGAATATAAAAGGACAACTGAACGAGCAGGAACAATATGAACCAATTTTGTCACATACGAGGTAGAGGGAGAAAATAAATCCGTAATAATTCATGGACTCTAGGCACAGTTCACTCTCACGAAAATGTTAATGTCCGCCCAATCCATCCATAATGTCAAAACATTAAATTAAGCACAATTACCAACGCCATTTGCCATATATAACTTTAGTACGCAATAGTGACGCTAAATATCTGGAGTGAGTAATAACCCTTAATGCGAAACTGACAAATGCAGGAACTACATATACGTACTCACTGAATTAAATGAACTAAGGATAAATGTGTTTACGATTTATGCATGTATTTATGCATGCGCATACCTCAGTCATATTTTTTACAATTGTCTCATACCAAAAACAGTATCTACCGTAAAGAACGATAACACAGAACCTCGTCGAACATATAATTCAATATAAAAATTATCCTCCTACAGCCGACAACCGATGATGATAATAGTCGTGAAACGAGGTGCACTTTCACCGTCAGTCAGTTCCTATAATCTGTCCTGTCCAAGTTTATTTCTGTGGCTTATTTACGTACATACTTACTTTCCCTGATGATATTGCACAAACCGGCTAAGCTAGCTCTGTACTTGTACTCCGTCATTCACAAAGTATGGATGCAGCAGCTTTACATAGTTTGGCAAAAGTAACTAAAAACCTAAACAAGAGTAGCCCTCGCATTACATATTATCATTATTATACAAAGCTAAAGTTGCTCAATATTCACTTTCATACTTGCGGTAACTTTAGCTCCGTTGTCGCCAGTCGTATCCTCTGCGCTTTCAATCACTTTTGACTTTTGTTAGTCACATTAACGAAATTACTTTTTGTTATTGTTCTTTCATCCTATTGTTATGGATTGGCTTGCATGGATGAAAGCCTTACGGCTTGCTTAGATTTTGCCATTGGCAGATTTGGTCACTGTATGCATCCAAATTATTCCAAATTTTTGATGTACACAATAGAGCTTCCGTTTTGGGAGTAATGCCTTAAAATCATAGTATTTTACCAGCCATGAATGTATGCATGTATGTCGTATATACATACAGTATGTATAATGCGTAATTTGTGTAATACCGTTAACAGTCTGAAGATTTGATTGAAATGATCATGGTTTCACATTTACTGACCGTGTGATATCATTAGTTTATTTTTAAAAAATAAGTAAATAAAATCAAATTTAAAAACAGTCGAAACTAGAGGAGCCAACCATTAACGGAAGGAAATAATCAAGCCAAATTTGGTGTACCCAAGAAAATAATACTATTTTAAGTATCAGGTAATAAAACTGAGTTGTAAAACTAATTTTAATCCTGCATGCTATCACGCTATCATCTCCTATTCCGTCACGACAAAAATGCATGTACACACCTCATTTTCTTCACGGTTTAGAGTTGAACTTAATTAAACAAAGCATAAATATACCGGCTAAACAAAGTTGTGCAAATTCAATTTCCTCACAGCACAGACAACAGCACAACAAAAAACAACCATAAACAATGAAATAGGGCTTGCGATATAATTAAAATGGCTTGTCAAATCAAAAGAATTAGTTCATATTTACCAACCAAACGGATAATGTTTCTTACTTGCATCGTTTGAAATTGGATCATTCAACGAGAAAATGCCACACCCAACACTTTGTATCCAACAATAATTCGAACTCAACTTTACTAAAATGACAAGACGAGAAAATGCAAACGAAAACGCATTTTTCATAATCACCAAAAGAACGAACTGCATTTTAATTTTATTTTAGATGTATGAAGGTTCATTGCTAATTTGCAGTGCACATGCAATATTACAAGCATTATCACTCCATGGTAAATCAGCAATTCTGAAATATAATCAGAACGAGGCACGAATCTTTGCATTATATGTTTCCCACACCCATACGAAGAAACGAACCAAAGATCCTGCCTCCAATTTCATTGTGGTGGTCGTCAGCATCGCGTAATGAATGAGATTATGCTTTTCAGCACTAAATGGTGCAACGCAACGAACATTACTTTTCATTGTGCAAAATTAAAGTCTACTTGATTCGGATAAAGATTATAATTTGCATAGGTATGAGGTGATGAATTAAAGTTTAAAGCATCCAAACATGCAACATTTATGTATTTATGCTAGGTGATACGTCAACCATGTGCATATTTATATTGGCATCATATTTTGACAAACCATTATCGGACTTGTTTACAACAGCCTGCATAATTTGCCGTACGCAAACAAACATGTAATTAAAACTTTATCAAACAATAATTAATTAGATGGAGAGTCGAGAAAACCTGACATACTAATTGAGAAGTTGCAAATTGCATAATATTTCGATGAGAATGTTTGAGCCACAACGACTAAAAGGACTGTGCTCCCACAATTCCTTGGATTTCTAAATACTCCTGCTGCTGACATGATTGATAAACTACTGCTCGTAGTGGAACTCGTACTGAACGTATTATTAAGGGCCAAAAATCAAACCGACGGAAAATGTGGTTCAGGTGGAGAGAGGAGAAAGGAAGTCTGGTGAAATGAGGCGTTATTTGAGTTCCGTCAGTTCTTCATCGTCGCCAACATGCAGTCTCGTACCATCATCAACAAACAGTCTATTAATTAACCGACCGAGACCTAACAAAATTAAATTGCTTCGGTGGTTGTGGTATTGATTGTGAACCTCCCAGCAGTGGTGGGATCATATAATGGTAACAAAATGCTACATTTTGGTCGAATGGCGTGTGATCCAATTAAGATTTAAGCTATATGAAATGAACCTAAAGTTTAAAAGCATAGGTTTATTAGGGGAAAAAGAGAAAGCCAAGAAGAAAGCATGTTGTCACTAATATGCTACGAACGAATGATGTGCAAAAGAATTTTGGATTTACCCTTGTTTCGTCGTCCAATTTTGAGCGTTTGGCCCCGTTAGTTTCGGCCATGTATGCCATCCTTCATAAAGTCCTTTCTTCAACTTGAAAGATTATAGAATTCGCCTACTTTTGTGCAGACTTTCCTTCACAATTAATATGGGAATTTGCAAGTGATTATTCCTACGTACGGGTATACGAGTTGTGTGACCACGCACTATATGCTGAACAAAGATCGAATAATAGTAATAATAATATGGAGTTGACGTATTGTTCACAAACTATTTACTTGTAGTGAGAGCTGAGCACCGTGTTTTTTTTTTAATTTTTGTTAATGATTTTTTTACGTTGTTTTGGCAAATATATTCGCTATTATTGAAGGTAAAATGTTTCAGAAATAAATGTTCACTTGGCTCGTGGCGATATGTGAAGTGTTCAAAAATGTCAATGTTTCTGATTATCTGATGTTAGAATTAGTTTATAAGAAATTTGATGTGCCGGTGATGGTACATATGTCTGATTCTGGTGGTGATTTTTTGTCTGTCAGTGGTTTGGTTGTCAGTGTGGTGATGATGGTCGATTGAAATCTACAATAAAATTTAATGATTGATTAGCATAATATCACAGTAGAGTAATAATTTGTAATAAAATTTGAAGACTTGTAGAATATTTTATATGTAAGGTTTCTTGTATTTCATCAAGGTACAAATGAATAGGAAATTGATACGAAGCCTGTATTATTTACATTTCTGGTGTTTTCATTTTCTTTTAAGTAAAGTTCGATTAAAATCAAAAGTATGACTGCTTAAAAAGTGAATGTTTTATTGTATGGTAGTAATAACGATTTAATCAAATTGAGTAAAACCTAAAAGCTCTTTCTCTCTTTAATAATTGATTTTCTCTGCTTCATAAGCACATATTTATTCCATCCCACGGAAGAATAATTGCAAGTTTTGCGTGTAATTATTATTTTTAGTAATTATTTTACTAATTATGTGTAGTAATTTTTCTTGGTCGAGGAACAAATTCTTGTAAACTTTTTAATAAAATACGATTGACTCTAAAGCACCGAAAGTAGGGGATATTATAACACCAATTATCAAATTAATGACATTTCTTTAACTACAATTCACGGCATGATGATCAGATGATATTCATACATTCTTCAGAAATAACCACTCGCAACTGGAGGAATTGTCTCCGGTAAGTTGAGGATATAGATATTGCAGATTTTTTTGGTGGTCCAAGCTTCGTAGAAACTTTGAAAACCCGAATTGGGAAAATTTGTATGTTCCAAACTTCGAAAAACTGCTCTGTTTTGAAACTTTTGATGCCTTTTCTCAGGAGTTGATGACTTGGTTTTTACCGTGTTTTTCGCATGAGAGGCAAAGAGTGACTGAGCCTCTGCCTCACAATTCCATGCTCAAAACACCAAAATATAAAAGTGCTCACTCCCGGCCGCCCTTGATGGGATCGGGGCAAACTAAGGCATGGCGACGATTGCGACGACGTACGTTGTTTACAAAGTCTGCAACGTGCGTCGCTCTCGGGCTGGGCGAATGGGACATCTTTCGGACATCTTTCGAAGCATGAGGACCTTGTCGTCGGAAAATTATACAATTTTTCCACATCTGCTGGCAAACCAAACTTTCAAATTTTGACATGATTTTATATGATTTTAGTGGGAATTGTTGTAAGTTTTATGCATGAATACAAATGCCAAGGTCGCATTGCAAGCGAATATTAAGTATGCTGCTATGATAAGATAACTATTGGAAGAGTTAGTCTAAATTTTGTTGTTTGGATTGAATAATACTTAATGTATTAACTTGCTGAGGTTAAATAACATCCACATATGATAATTCACTATTACCTCGTCACATGACTAGTTCAAAATAAAGCGTGGTTAAAATATCATTTGACAGATGATCCGGCACAATCTACGGAAAATAAAATATTTGGTGATACGAATATTTAGAAAGTATCTGGTAGATTTTATTTGATGGCGAGGACTATCTCCGGTATCGTTGGTAAGTACTCTTATCGTATTAACTAAAAGCTAGTAGATTTAATTTCATGTTTTTATACCGTGAACAAACTGAGAGGAGGGAGCTAATCTTGCCATATGTCCGGAAGTCGGAGAAAGTAGGGTCTCATTTTCCCCACTCCTCTTCAACTACTTGCGTCACATATTCTGCTACTACGCATCGTGACGACCAGCATACAGAATACATACTCTCTTCTCTTGCAATTTTCCTTAGATTTTTATGCGACTGGTATGTATGAATAATTGTCCTTTTGAGTTAACGACATGGCGCTATTACAACTATTTAGTAGGATATTGAGTTAGAGAATGTTACGCCACTATTACTGCGTTTTTATTATTACTATTAATAGCCAATTAATAGCCAAAATAGTATTACTATTTGGCGAGTCCGCCAAATGCCAAGTGACTTATTCCACAATATTAAAAATACCATTGTATGATAGAGCACGAAATCACTTTTATTTTGCCCCTTAATCTAATTCAAGGGTTGTCATTTTTGCTCTCGATCTGAACCTGCTAAACAAAATTTTAACGCATTCACTAAATGAAAGTTACTTCTAAATATACACTCTATATGCCGCTTGACTGAACATGTATACTAATAACATGAGTATTTCATGTCTTCATATTTTAAATTTTGAAAACGCTCATGCACTTAATATGCAGAGTAACCAAGTTAGATTCGGTGAACTAGACTGTGTTAAATAATACTGACAATCAAAGGAATATATGTATGTATATGTAAATTTGATCATTTTCCTATAGTTTATGGGATATCGATGTTGGAAAAACCATAAAGTATATATGTGCATGATCGTGGAGAAAGTTGTTCTGTGACTGTACATGTAAATTATCCTTATTTATTATGTTGTTCATTTTCAGTGCATTCATGATCAAGTCTAGATTCATGAAACACAAAAGTGACGTTGACTTGATTAAAAGGAAATTGGTTGGGGAAGAAAGGCGTGGATTCTTCAGACACAAGGGAATAAGAGAAGAAAGAATGAGCGATCAAAATGACAATGCAACCCTTCAGGTAAGGAATAAGCTAAGAATTCCCACTTTTTACACAAGCACATCTCCTTGTGTATTTTTTATTGAGTACCAAAGGGGTAAAGCACAAAATTGTCAGCTCAAGGCAGCCAGTTAATCAAGACGTATTTTTAACGCAAGGATTGCCGTTTCGTAATTATTTTGCACCACGTCTCTTATTTTTAACGTCCGATTATCAATTTTTTTAGAGAGAGGAGCTTGAAGCATTGAGTTCCATTTATGGGGACGACTTTACCCTGGAAGATGACCATCCTCCTACATTCTCGGTGGTCATTCGCCAACAATCTTCTACGGCATCTTTGGGCGAAAAAGAGGCGTCCCTCATGGTTACCTTCGAAACCGATTACCCCTGCAAAGCCCCGCCCATTTTCCAACTATCAATTCCTTGGATTAGAGGGGATGACAAGATGGCTATCATTGCTGAACTGGAGCAGATATATTTGTGCGTTGGCTAACTTTTTTTACATTGTTTTTATATGTGTACGATTTTCTGATGAGCAAAAATGAGATGGGCAAAAAGATGAGAAAAAACCTACAGTGCAGACTCCATATAGCCCGAGTCAGGGACAGAGTCCGTGACTCGATAAGTCCCAGTCCTCTTCTAAATTCTTGTCCAAATTGACCTACATACTAAAGCTGCATATAGTCCAGAAGTGGTTTTTAGTCTTCATACCAAATTTTAGACGAAAATAACAACTTTTTAAAACGGTATGGGTCCCCCAGGGTCACTCTGGTTGCATTTTGCAAACTTTTAACTTCATATTATTTCATGAGAAGCCATTAAGTATCACCGTGTTGGATTTCATCTTTTTAAACCACTTTCTAAAAATCGGTATGGGCAGAGCTGGGATAATCCTGATTAAGGATTATGGATTTTAATCCCGGATTATGGATTATTAATCCATAATCCCTAATCCGGCAATGTGAGTTTTTTGTAGATTAATCCCAATCCATAATCCCGATTTTTCTGGAATTAGAATTAATCCGGGAATAATCCCATTTGATTTAATTAATCCATAATCGTGATTACGGATTACTAATCCTGATTAATCCCAATCATGATTACTAATCATGATTACGTATTCATGATTAATTCTCAATCTGGATTACTCAGTTCAATTCCCATAGTTCCATTCATCCCACAGTGTAGCTTGAAGTAGGAATGGGTAATCCGATCCGAAGAAATCCGATCCGATCCTAATCCGTCGGATTATGTCGGATCGGATTAAGGTTTCTTCCGATCCGAAGCCGATCCGGTCGGATCGGATTGGTTCAAAAATCCGATCGGATCAATCCGAGGCTTTCCATCGGATTTCGGATCGGATTTCGGATTGCATTGTTTGGGGGAATCCAGCTTGCATCCTGTATTCATCTCACAGTTTTTCACTCATATATTTGACAAATTACGACAGATTTCAAAAAACAATCTCTCTTGCTCTCTCTCTCCTACCTGTAACATAATTTGTCCACGCTAAATTTATTGGGCAAAGTCAAAAATTCTTGTTCAGTTAATATTAATAGTCGCAATTCGTTGATGAATTTTCTAAGAGGTTATTTGGTTGTTCGAAAACACTACGAAATAATCTGTCACGAAGCTTTGAGACTTTTTCAAGCTAATAATATTCGGTGAATGGTAATTAATTATTAATTACAGTGAAGAAAATTAAAGTGTATGGATAAGCTGTTTTATCTCAAACGATGGCCACGATCATAGCTTGGAAATTTGCAGGGTGCAATCCCAGAAACAGTGTTTCGGGTGCAAGTAACCACCTGCAAGAAATAACCGCAAGAAATTGGTTTCTTGCAGCTATTTTTACCCGCAAGAAATGCAAAGTGCAAGAAACTCCTTCCCGCCGCCATAGTTCTCCAGGCGCGTCGCTAGATGGCGCTGTGTTTCTTGCACTTTCTTGCATTTCTTGCACCTTGCATTTCTTGCATTTCTTGCTTTGCAGTGCAAAAAATGAGAAAAACCCGCAAGAAACGAAACACTGCCCAGAAATATTGTGATTGGATCACGTCCCTATTTTTGAAAAATTTCAAAAAGCTTAAGGGTCACTATTTTTGACTAAGAAGCGCACTTCTCAACTCTCGCGGTGACTTGCTTTCCTATGGGGCTTTATTTCTTGGCAAATATATAGCTCAACTGGATGTGAACATATTGATATCTTGTACATATGTACACATTTGAAGTAGTGAATTTTTTAGTAAGGCGAATTTTAGCAATTTGTCAAAACTCGCCTTATTAAAAAATTCGCTACTTTGTTCAAAAAATCGCACGGAAGTGTATAAGATATCAAAAGTGTTCACATTTCGCTGCGCCATCGATAAAAATAAAGCCGCCAAAGAAACATATCGTCATGAAACTTGAAAAGTTTTGGCCAAAAATTGTGACTTTTGACCTGGATGATATTTTTAAAATTCAGGAACGGCATCCAACCTCAATATTTCTGGGCTACCCCCCTGAAAATTTTCAAGCTGTTATCTTGGTCATTATGTGAGATAGAAAAGTTTACCCATCATGCAATTTAATTTGCCCCCACTATTAACTATTGCCTATTCAATAAGTATGATGAAATTTAGATTGCTTTGTCTGTTTTTAGTAACCATATACGAATAATTAATTATTGAACCTTGTGTATATGTAATGCATATTGGGTAGTATTATTATCATCTCTTGAGTAGGCATACATAATATGTATTACCGAAGCACATATGTAATTATTGTCAGTATTGGATTTTATATCGATATAACCGGTTTAGTAATCCGATCCGATCCGAAATCCGTCGGATTGATCCGAATCGGATCGGATTGGTCGGTCAATCCGCCTCGGATCAATCCGATGTAGGGCATAATCCGAGTCGGATTGATCCGAAGACCCCAAAATCTGATCCGATCCGAACCCATTCCTAGCTTGAAGTCTCAAGTTCTCACAATGTTGTTCTGTCAGCTACCATTTGAAGATTCAACATGTTCTCGCTGCCCTGTGCTACATACATATCATTTTTATGTGAAACCACGTAGTTGAAATTTTTTGCGCTAGATATAGTGAAAAATCATTAATCACCAAATTAATCCGGATTATTAATCCATAATCCATAATCCCGAAATTTTCAGAATTTATGGATTAATCCGGATTAATCCTGACATGAATTAATCTCACGAAAATAATTTAATCACAATCCACATTGTTTTGTGGTTAATCCTTAATCCACCCTCAAAAACCAATAATCACCCAGCTCTGGGTATGGGTCACCCCATAGGGTCGCTCCAGATAAAAATTTTACCAATTTCATTTCATATTCTTCCATTAAGACCTACACACAACCCGTGTACCAAATTTCAGCTTTCTACGACAATTTTGAAATTTTGGTGCATAATACCCCACCCACTCCGATGACCCCCACCGGTCAACCACTTGACCGATTTCGCCCATCTTCGAACTCGTTTCCTAACTTTGTCCAATACGGATATGGTAAAAATTTCAAGTTAATCGGTTCAGCCGTTTTGGCTCTATCGTGCCGGACAGACAGACAGACAGACGGACGGACGGACATGACGGTTCCATAAGCCCTGACTCGGGCTAAAAAGTACTTTCTTGCTTATTTTAATGTCTTGCAAGTATTCAGACATATTTATTTGTTTTTGCTTTCATTTCAATATCTTGAGGACAATTTTTCTTTGTAAAGTGAATTAAGCTTTGTATATTCATTGTATATTGTATATTAATTCTAAGCTTTGTATATATGACTTGAGTACAAAGCGAAAACGCTTTCTCTATTTGTCCGCAATTAAAAACGAAACTTTCTGTGATCTTACAAGCATAGGAGTTTCTAATTCTTTGCTGAATCTACCAGTGATACCATACATTGTGATTACGCACTACTGTCTGGATTGATACTGCAAATGATGCTGTGAATAATTTATTGTTTAATTTCCTCTTTCGTTGTCATGTCGTCGTCACTTTATGTTCTTTGAACAGTGGGATGAGTTGCAGTGTTTGCTGTCTTCTCTTATTTTGCCTATTATAGGACATTTCTTTTTGCGTATTGTTTCGTGGTTGTGGAATTGATTGGATTTGAGTTTGAGGGTTTATTTCATCAAGTGGTGGGCTCAATCTTTCACCCATTTCCATCTTATCATAACCTAACCTAAACCCTTATTTGCAATTGCAAATCTTTGCAAAGTTTAACATACAACTGTTTAACTATTATGCATTCATGTAAATGAAGTTTGAGCTCATTGAATTGTGAAACACCCTCTCTCGTTTCAAAACTCGTTTGTTGTTGCTCTAAACTGTCTTCATCCATAGCCTTTATTTTTTAACATTATATTTCAGGGACAACATGGGAGAAAGTATAGTTTACTTGTGGGTTGAAAGACTGCGAGAACTTGTTGACAAAGATGTAAACACAGCTTCTGTCAAACCCGCTACCTCATCAACATCACTTTCTACACTGCCACTTTCAGGGGAGTTTGTACAGACAAGTTCATCACAACCCGAGCTCAGTGAAGGTGCAAATGCCGATAATACCGAAGAAAAAGCAATTCAACTCCCAGGAGGGACGGTGATGACGGATGTGAACATATTGCGAAAGTTTGAAGCTCAATGTCAAAGTTCGAGTGTGAGAAAGTTAACTATTTCGACTGGAGAGCCTTTCACCGATAGGAAGAGCACATTCCAAGCTCATCTTGCCCCAATACATGACCAGGCTCAAGTTAGGTGAGAAATAATAAGGGTAACTTGTAACTTATGCCTACATATCACTACTTAGGTATTTATTTTGAACGTTAAACTTTGCTATTTGCACATCTTTTAACATCATGAAAGGTGGAGTGAAAAGACGCATATACATAGTTTCAATGTATGCAAAACTTGGTAAAACTCTCTGCAGGCACGCAGTGCAAACATTCATTAATTAGAAATTTTGCATATTTACCCATCGTATTCTGCTTGCTCTGCTGTCAAATTTTCGTGTTCATTTTACCTTGGCTTATAAACACATGCTTCCTCATACATTCGCATATCTATGGGTATGTACTTATTTAGCTGGATGGGAAAGCAAACATGCAAGTACATAGGGGAAAACATAAGGCGTATGAAAAGATTCAATGTTCGTCATAAAGCGGAAAACAAGTTATACAACACAACCTCATTCTAATTCCTGAGAATCAAGTTGGCATGAATATTTACTAAAATTTATCTACTGTACATGGGTACGTATAAAGTATTGCTCCGTTAATGCTGGGAATATAGTTATTAATATTAATTAAAAAGGTCGGTGTTCCTTAATTTTATACACATAGTCTAATCAACATTAACTATTTAGTTAATTAATTCTAAATACTCCTCTACTTATTCTTGGAAACTATATATATTTATTTTTGGACCTTTCACTCTCGACTTTCCCCACCATTAAATAGGACTGACTTTGACTTGCCAAATAATTCTTATCTAATTGATCGGACGGATTTGCCGAAGCGAACATAGAATCCTCTACAGAATGAAAAGTTTTGGACACAGCCAGCTATGACACAACAAAACAACCACGGCAAAACATGCAGAGGAGTAAACCTGAAGGAAAATTGCGTAGGAAGGGATTGAATTGCTGGAAAACATCAAAGCTGACAGAGCTGAATGTTCTTCGTCTTCTAAATTGACGAACAGTTCATCTGTTCTTCGACGTCGTTTCACCACCAAACACAAGATGATGATGATGATGCATCCATTCAATCCTGAGTGTAATGAATTCTGTTTGATTTTGCTGGATATTATTTTTTCTCGATCTAGTCTCATCATCATCAGAAGGAGATATCAAACCATTTTTTTGTGTGTACACGTGTGTTTACAGTATTTGGATAATGCATGTCCATTTGGATTGGCTAATTTAGCAGACTTGGTGAATGTTAACAATTCAGATGGTTCAAAATGGCAGATCAAACAATCGTAATATGAGTTGAAAGGAAGACGACTTCGAAACTAAATGTACACATGTATATTGCATGCATGTTTAGTATGGTGTATTGCATATCATCATTAAAGAATGAAAAGAGGCAACCGTACACGGAAATACATATGTATGCAAGCTTTTGGTCATTTTTATTCTTCAGCGAAGATATGGCGTGGGCAATAGTTTATTGATGCAAACAGTTCATGAATGATTGCTGGCCCAATATAAATCCAAATACGTGTAACAAAACGAGCATTCACAATATTTTGGTTTTATTTTCTTAAATAGGATAGTTATGGACGAGCTGTACGAGAACAAAAAGATCGCCGCTGCAACTCATAACATGTACGCCTACCGACTTTGGAATGAAGGGAGAAACTCTTTTCTTCAAGACTGTGATGATGATGGCGAAACCCACGCTGGCTCAAGATTACTTCATCTACTTCAAGTACGTTAAGTATTTATATCAGTATTCGTATGTTAGTTACGCTGCAAAATGTTTGAGGTATGCAATGGAATGACATGCAAAACTAGTTGATTCTTGTGTACATCTTTGCTACACAATTTAAATAAGGGGTTATCAATATATATTAACCATCTGTACATGTGCAAATTATAATGTGTTGATTTCGTTTTTATAAATCATTTCTTTCGTAGATTTTGGACTGTCGCAATGTGATTGTAGTAGTTAGTCGGTGGTTTGGAGGAATCCAGCTGCATGGCGACCGCTTTAAGCACATTAACAACGTGGCCCGACAACTATTGGAGCAACAGGGATTCATTCATATCAAAACGTCAAAAAAATAAACATCTGTCCACTTTCACGTCGTACTAAAGTTCTGATAAAGCCGATTTTCACAAGAAATTTCTTGTACTAGTGCTTAAGCTCTTGGTAACTGAATGGTGAGATTTTGCAAATAGGAATCGTATATTATTGTCAATTGTAATTAATTTTGAGCGAAATGTTTTCATAAAATTCTTGGTAATAAATCCCATCTACATTTATATTCAGTAGAAGTATGTATTTTTGGAAATTGGCCAACCAAACTGTATTGAATTTAATGGTATAATTATTCATCATTGCATTAGTGCCATGCACCCCCAATATTTCATGTTCGACCTCAGCAATAAAATGTCTTTACAGCGTTTTAATATCTCCTTTCATAGAACAGGATTATGTGTAACGAAAGAAAGCTATTGCAACTGGTAAACTTTTGTGCTGTTAACTACGTAAATTGAAGAGAGAGAAAAATAAGAAGGGTGAAAGCAGACCACACACGAGCATGTTACATACTTACTGCACAACTAGATAGGTACACACATACACTACTATAGTAATCATGGCAGATGCATGTTGTGTGTATGTACTCTTATTTTATTTGCTGTAAAATCTCGCGGTAAAAAGGTTTCCACCTGCCCCATACAGTTCGCACCCAATTCCATTCAAAGCTTATGGCAACTTAAAACTTTAGACATAGGGTTTTGAATGGAAGTGGGTGCGAACTGTGTGGGCCAGGTGGAAACCTTTTTACCGCGAGATTTTATAGCCAAAAAAAGAGGAGTACCGAGTTTCATGGTATTTGATTGCAGAACATTGGATTTATGACAGTTTGGTTCGGTTTTATATGTTTGCCATGGTCTAAATGGAGTATCTAGAGATCAATAAAATAAAAGCGGTGTCGGCTTTGGTAGGAATCAGATCTACCCACGCCTTCCTCCATTCCACGTCATGTCAGCCACGTTAAAAAGGAAACACTATAACATGAACAGGCAGATTCGTATTATGACAATGATGGATAACGGATAATATTGAAATTGATCATCATGTGGTAAATTGTACCAGTTGACGAAAATTATAGCTTTGACAAAAGTGGACACCTGTACTGTGAAATGCACAAATAAATAAATACAAGTTGCGTATGTGTGTACATTAAAATTAATACTCTAACACGATGTACAAACACTGGGTGTGTTAATCAGGAATACGTTATGCCGCACAACTTATGTTTATACATGTGTACGCCCCCGGTTGATTCCCAAAGATATTCGAATTACTTATTCAAATAAAAAAAAAACAACAGCAACAAGTGACTGTTGCAAAGTGACAAGCAAGCTTTCACCTTGTTATTTAATGTATACCATCCTTCTGAAATCTTGAAATTGCTTAATTCTCACCAGAAATAAATGGCATCCAAGGTATTACAAAGTCAGTAAAGCGGTATTTCATGCTACGCGTTCAAATTTTGTTTTACGACAGCATGTAATGGCTATGTTGTACAATACAGCATCATGCTGTACACGGCCAAGCACCGAGATAAAGTGAGCAATAAACATGAGACCTAATTGAATAAAAAGGACGTAACACGGGAATGACAATCATCATCTCCTGGGAAAATGGAAGCTTGTGTCAATGCCGACTGAGATTAATGACAGGATTTCCTTCGCATGTGCATCTCCGGCTGTGACGCTTTATTAATAGTCAAATTTTGCACATTTCGAAATTTACTTTTTTCTGGCAATAATAACACAAAGGGCATGTGAAAAAGCAATATGTGTATCTGCGTAGTAGTACATACATATATGTACACGCTACTAAACTTGCGAAAAGTTATTAAAAAGTATCATATAAACGTTATCGTGCTTTTTGCGAAAATAAATTACGAGATATGTAGACATTCTGAGACCTGGTTTACAATGACATGCGATATCAGAAAACCTAGAAATGAAGAACAGTTCTCTCGAGGATTCCTATTCAGACTACTTTTGAATCCAAGCCCAGCCAAAAACGCAGAAATGAGTCTGGAGAATAATGGAGCAAGTACGAATGTAAAAGTTTGAGTTGTGTTTCTGCAATGAAAGTTCAGAACCATATGGAGAAAAATTGCAGACGACATGAGATGACGCTTCTATTTTTCCGATTCCACTATATATTAACATTTAGTATCATGAAATAATATTTAGTATATAGGGAGAAAGCGTATCTCAAAATATTCCTTATTGGTTCATGACAAGAAACACATAATGTTTTTCCAAAAGTAAGATATGTACGTGAAATGCACACCTTGTAATATATGGAAAATCTTGCCTAATAAATTCTAAACTGTGAGTGAAACCTGCTTACAGATGTATGCACATGAGAGGACATGCGGAACATTCCCTCCACGAGCATGCATAACTTTTGCCCGTCAAAATCTCTCCCTTGGAAGGTTAAATGATTCCAGACCATATGAAGTGAAAGGTGTGAATGAGGAGGGGACCGCCAAGCCCGGAGAAAGTCGCATGTTGGTTGGCTGGCTGGCTGGATAGTTTGTTTTGTGGGGAGGACGACGACGATGGGGGGAAGGGGGTTCTCCTTTTCCCTTCGTATGGTACCCAACTAAATAATACAATAATACAGAATCCAGCCAGATGGAGAGGAAGCCATCCTTGCATATCCCTATCTATAGGCGTATATCCTGCTCTTCTTCTTCTGCACCTGAGACACCGCTTTTCTCCACCACCCTTCACCCATGCTATGCACTAAATTGATGGGAATATTGCACAGAGCAAGTAAATAATTTGTCTGCAACAAAAAATATTTTCAGCAGGCATCTTAAACGAATTATCTTCCACCATAGTAATTTTGACTTTGTGAAAGTTTGTTGGGGAGAAAGCATCGTCTCAGTTTGCCTCACCGACTCCTTCTCCACTAGTCCCCCGGTGCGAATCGGCTATACTCAATCCCTGGTTTATACGGGAGTCCATGCGCCCCAGAAAATCAATGTGTGACGTTCCAAAGCCTGCTGACGTTCATCTCTTCATCAATGGGTAGCAGCAGTACGGTAAAGTCTGGTTGGTGGAGTACTTAATTATTGTCCAGGCCTCTCCAATTCCTGCTGACAACTCCACAGCCATCCATCCACTTACTTTTGTCACCCTTCGGTTAGTTAGATTAGATCATCACTCTATCCATTGCTACCAGAGATGGTCACTCTCAATTAAGTTACAGAGTTGAATACTTACTTATTTCCCCACTTTCTTTTCTTGCCTGGGGATACGTTCGCTTGTTGTTTGCACAGAGATTCAAGGCCAACACAAGAGCCCAACATTTTTAAGAAACGGTGAAAGCTAACACTCGATTTTAGGGCAACAATATAAACACTTTCATTTCCGCAACCGTCACCGCACAACTTGTAACTGATTTCATTTCCTTGCTCTCATCCACAAAAGCTTCTGGACATTGAGAGATAACTAACGAACACGGATTAAAAATTACATACGCAGTCAACATTGCTACACACGGTGCAAGGAACAAAAAACAATCATATTCAAAGATATACATAAAAAAGATATATATGTACATATATAATAAACATATTTAAACTAGTGGCGACACAATATATTTTCACCAACACGAGTGATTAAGCGAAAATATAAACAAATCTTGCAAGACAGCGTCATTTTATTAAAAGGTATTATCAAGGTGAGTATATACATTTTGCTTGTTTTATTCTGTGACATATAAATATTCGCTTGCAATATATCATGCATATTTACTCGTTCTTGGATAATGCAATTCTAGATTTATTTAGTTGAAAAGACCTGAAATGTTATGAGACAATCCGTTGGTTCAATTGTCAGTAAAAGAGCAATCTTAAGTAGCTATTTATTTCAGTTGGTTTGAAGGAAACTCGGAAAGTAGTATGCAATTTTGTGCTTAATAACTACAATTAAGGTGAAGTGAAAGTAGTCACCAGCTGTGTAATGTTTTTAAATTGCTATATTAATAAGTGAAATCCTTCAAGCATAATTTTCCTCTTTGCACATATTTACACAATTATGGATTCATTTAAGCTCTGGTGAAAGTGAAAAATCTGTAGCACTTTATTGATGCTTTTTTGAATTACTTTATTTTAGTTGGGGCAACACTGCGACAACTTTAATCATCTCAGGAACATTTGTGGGCAATGAGGGATGTATGGTCATCATGGAGCAGGGGCATTAGGTGGGATACGGTGGCTGTGACCGCGTCATTGTTATATTTTTTCCTCGCCCCCGGACTTTCTGCGCCAGAAGTTTTCACTAACTCGTTCTACGTCCAGCTCCAAGACGGACATCATGGGCGGGTAACTGCAGACGGCATTGCCAAGAGAAACGGTTTCCAGAATCTGGGCCCGGTAATTTATCCTTTCATTTCAATGTCGACCGCTTTATGTACGTATCCAACCCCTTTACACATAAATTCCCTATTTTTAATATGTAGATATATATATGTCTTTTACAACGCGTGGGATTCATTCTCTGATTCTTTTTAATTACGTGACGGCATCCCTACGTAAATCCTATGCAGAGTTTGTTATTTGGATTAATTAATCCGTGCTACGGCTGCCTCCGTGATTTAGATAACAATAGTTAATTATCCTTTTTGTTTTGAAGGTGCTGGGCTCCGAAAATGAGTTTCACTTTGTTCACGATGGACTTCCACATGCACGGACGAAGAGGAGCATCCCCCACACGCGACTCCTTAAATCTGATCCACATGTAAGCCTAACAAATCCTGTTTTCTTTCAAATGTAGAACCAAAAATATATATAAATTAGATATCAAATCAAATGATTAAATTCCACATCAAGTTTATTTTTGATCTTGTGACGCTAACAGAGCTTAAAAAATAATGAAAATACTACGTGAGTCCAACGTTTTCGCCATTTTGTGAGAGAAAGTTTGCAAGGTTTCAGCAAAAATGATAGAAAGAAGCCTTTATTACAGATCATGATGGTAGATGAATTTGATGTTGTTTTTCGTAGCAAAAGATACTGCCCAATAAAGTTTCTATTTTATAGCATGTTCGATTTGGTATTTGATGAGATTACGGCACTCCTCGAATCTCGACCACTATTAGCGTTTGTACTTAAGGATCACTGAGTTCCCGTACTAGACTCAGTTTTATACACAGCAAATTATCTAAAAACCTTGTATTTATTACATTATACTTTATGAGTTTTCCAGCGGCGTTCGTAAAGCAATGTGCATAATGGTTATGAGTAAAATAAAGTGATAGATAATTAAATATACCAGAATGACCGTACTCTAGATTTTATATTTGCAACGCTATCTCGAAAGCAATGTTCACTCTAAACTTATCAAATGCAGATGGAATTCTAAAATCTCATGTGCTTTCATGCCATATTATTGTATCCAAATCCTGATTACAATTTTGCGTAAATTTAACAAGTGGATTAGATTGCATTAACTTGATTTTAGTTATAATTCTCACTGGGGTACATTGGGACAATAAATTCATTGTGCTGTTGAATTCATGACGCACTTGTAAATAATAATCAAAGGACTATTATATTCTCGTTCTCTTAGGTGTATTGGGGAAATTATTTGTATAGCTAAGGGTAGGGGTAACATACATATGTGTGCATACAGTTAGGATTAATTGCAACAATCTGCAGTTTTTAGTTGATGGCCTAACCGCCCGGTGCCAAAATTTATGGGACAGTTTCATCATAAAACAAATTCTATTTGACATGCATCCCCAGTTTTGCGTTTGCGATCTTGTGACAGTTACTACTAGAATGTTGTGGTCGTGAAATAATGCAACACAACTCACGTAAAACCAACTGCACATTAATTATCGCTCTGCTGATATTAGAATGATTACTGATGCAAATACTTCTTAGCATATATGTAGCTACATATATATATACAAAACCTTACTGGAAAGTATATAACTTAATTATTTAGCATCTAGCAGAAATTCGAAGAAAGCGAACAGGTGCTGTTGCTACAGTATTTCAGTGCATAAATATGTACATATGTAGTGAAGAAACAGTTGGATCCTGGATATATGTGTGCAGTTGAGCTAATCCAATGGAAACGAATGACGTAAATGTTGAGCAGCTCTTTCAGAACTCGTTGTTGTGTCTCTTCTTTTCATGACGATGAGAACGTCCCAGCTCTCTTTTCTATAGAGTTAAGTGGCTCCAAGTAGTGAGCGGAAAAGCGGATGTATGGATGGATGTAGGCTGTACATGAAGGGCCAAAATTCGACTTGCTGTTGGTAATAAATGTGGCGAAAGGATACCGATAATACATATGTACGTAGAACATGACAAAGAAACACTCGCTCCTCACGTCGTCTCCTCTTGTTAAAAGTTGTTCGCTCCTAAAAGAACGGACTTGGGAGACAAGTAAAAGAGAAAGTGGTGAGTCGAGGACTTGGATGTGTCACTGCCATTAAGTTGGTACTTTTGTTGTGTGAAGTGGAGCTGGAGAAAGAAGGCAAGACATGACAGGTTTTATTAGGATTACTGTATCGATGTGACCATGGAGCACAAACACATCCCGAAAAGACACAAGCTAACGATTGCTTTTAAGCATGAACAAGGAGAAAGTACACATATATGTTCATACGTAAAGTAGGGCACATTAAGAAATTGAAATAGCTTAGCACATAATAATCTCTTCAATGCACCAAATAATAACCAAATGACTATAATATCTAAAGGCAAATTGATCTTATGCATTTAATGCGCAGTTCGTATGCAATGAAAAGAATATTTCCAATTTTAAAATCACTTATTGCTTTGCAAAAAGAGAAACTGATTTCAAGTCGACTTGTAACAAAATCGGATAAGGCGACAGAAAATAAAGTGATTTATTTAGTTCAATCTCGTTCAATCTGTTTGGATAGCATAAGCAATTTACTACCAATTCGAATTGGCTACAGGTGGTAGATTGCAGGCAAGTTTACCACAGGAGCTGAGTTCTTTGTGAACACCCAACCAATAACTTATTCCTTCAACAATAACAATCTTTCCTGCGGTTTTGAAGGTTTCTAGCACAAACTAGTTTTGGAAATAATCCGCTCAGCATATTTTGTATCTCAGTGAAATATCCAATGCTGTGGAAAGCCTAATACAATGAATAGCATGATCTCCGCAACGTAACTTTCTTCGGACGGGGGAAAGATGATCCTTTGTTAAATTACAATTTTACTTGCAACTTCTCAATCTCAATCCATGGAATATATAAATTCAAAGCAGTCTAAATTGGATTTACTTTCTCTCGAGTTGTTGTCTTTGTTCACGTCATTCTAGCCGTTGTTCTCATTGGCTTTATTGAATATATAAGAACAATATTATATATTATAAAAATATTATATTATATATTACAGATTAAAATAGCTGTACAACAAACTGGGTTTCGCCGAGAAAAACGGGGGTACAACCCTCTTCGCGTGGAAAATCTGGTGGACCTCCCCCCAGTGTTGGAAGACCCCTCTGATCCTTATTTCATTCACCAATGGTACCTGGTAAGGCGTAAAAACATTTTTTGTAAAATTTTAGCCCATTTAAAAAATATGAAATAGAAATCAAGCAATCATATCATATTTACTTATATGTATAACCTGTTAAATAAATATGTAACATGAAACCGATAAGGTTGACCTTGGTTTGAGCAATGAAGATAACACTGTAAGGGCTCGTTTGTCTTGAGAAACGATTGGAAATTTGCGAAATTACGGACATGAAAGGTGGCTGAAAAATACAAGAAAATCTCAAATTTAAAAAGAGAAAGTCCACTCCGCATGAAACAAAAAGAACATATATGTGAGAGTATTTACATACTGTGATGTACGATTTTACTGCAAAACAGTAAAGAATTTTCTTCATAGAATGATGAATTTTGTTATGATGAGACGCAATTCATTTCCAAGAAACAGAGTAAAATAAAACTGGGTAAAGATAAGAGAGAAACATAATATTTGAGATCTTGTTTTATGTTTGACAAAATCGGAAATGAATGCGAACCACTCAACTTTTTCTATTTCACAGAGAGTATAGAATAACAAAATACGTGGATACGTAAGGTCTAGGATTTGAAATAAGTAATGTTAAATGCTATGGCTGAAACAACTTTCTTCCAAGGATGGTAGCAATAATCCCTCCCGGGATGAGACTATAGAGGCTCAGCAGTTTGATCAAGCGAACAAACCTACCTTTGACCTTTGGTAAATGTGTATCCTCCAAGTTGAAACTCTTTGTTCTTCCAGAAAAACACTGGGCAGAACGGGGGAAAGAAGAAGTTGGATTTAAACGTAGAAGCGGCTTGGTAAGTGTATACCTATTAAGTATTGACTCGTCCACTTCAAACAGAAACTACATCCATCTGTTTGATTATATTTTTACAGGGCGCAGGGAATTACTGGGAAGAATGTCACTACTGCCATTATGGATGATGGTGTCGACTATATGCACCCCGATCTTAAGTTCAATTATGTAAGCAGGCATTCATTTACAGCACAATTTTATTATTCGTTTTGCAAAAACTTGCATAAAATTCATTAGCACAGTCAGAAATATTGACTTTTACATATCGTATGAGCAGTGATAAGAGATGGTTTCACTTTCAGAATGCAAAAGCTAGCTACGACTTCAGCAGTAATGACCCGTACCCCTACCCTCGCTACACAGACGACTGGTTTAACAGCCACGGAACAAGATGTGCAGGTGAAGTATCGGCAGCGAGAGACAATGGGATTTGTGGAGTGGGAGTGGCTTACGACTCTAAAGTTGCGGGTAAGCACACCATCAAAATATTGTCAAATTTAAGCACAAATTTGCATCCGCATCATAAATATACATAATGCACTCTCACAGTTATGATGACTACTACATAACTACATATGTATTTATATTAACCCGTGAGCTTTTTCTAGGAGTACTTTGGTACATTTGTCCACATTTTTAGTTATTTTGTTTTCACGTACAAAAAGTATTTACTAGCTTTCTCTGGGTTGTGAACAAAACAAATGAGTAGGTAAAACTGGAGCTTACGATGATTAATGAGAATTTTAATGATGCACTTAATTCCAAGAAATCTACAGACAGATGAGACCAACAGACCCATTAAATATTTTGGCTTGTTGTTGTTGCTCAAACCTCAGATATAAGCAACATTATATGTCATTACGCATGTACGACTTATAAATGTGTGCACAACTCGGCTTGTTCAGTAATATAAAAACGAAAATCCATATAATTGTGATCTTGAGAGTATACATACATATATATAAATACGTATACAAGTAGGATTTAAAAGAAAAATTGAATCTCCGTCTCTTCTTGTAAACTGATGCTATGACCATAACACACAAAACATGAATTCCAACCAAGCGTTAAAACGGCTAATGTGTGTTATGTTACAAATAATAATTAGCGAGTAACCCATTTCTTTAATTGCTTGTACTTACATAAGCGTTTGTAATTATTTATTTATACACATTGCTTTCATAGATATGTATATGCCATACATGTATATTCTGTATATGCCTTATTGTCCCTACTGTAATATGCAGGAAATCTAAAGAAAATGCCATATATGTACCTTCTGTTGTTTTGAAAATCGATGTTTGCAAATTGACGGAAGAAATGTCATACATACATAAGTAATTAAAGCAATCAAACTTTGTGTGCATATGTATGTAGGTAAATATTTAGGATGCACAACTTTCAGCTTTCTCTCAAATCATCAATTTCAGCAACCTGATTTATATTGTAAATCTAATTCTACTTTTGCTTTCTTTCGCAATGTCAGTATCTGTGAGAATTTATAAAACTTGGTGTTACAAATCAAAACCACGTAGATACTAGAACTGGTTGCAATATGGTATATTCATACATTTATATGTGCGTATTATGCAAATGATCTCCAATAGTTAACAGCTTCATCGATCATTCCCATGTTTGATTCACAATTTGACTTACATTAAGTGTATGCAAAATTTCAAGACGCGATAGGCCTTTCGACTTTCAGTTTTTATGCTACCATCTTTCACTGGGAGATGGTGATAAGTTTTGACTCGGGCTACAATCAAAACTATGTCGTACATGATGTGTTGGTATAATATTTATGATAATCAGGTAAGGACTGCAAAGTGATTAAGACCAGTATTCCCTTGTGCTAATCCTAAGAGTGAAATCTCGGGTCGCGATGCAAAAGCTATACATATGTACATACATTTGTAGGTACTTTCTCTCCCAGCAACAGTGACTGTTGGCTACAGGAAATGGAAAATATAGATCATCATAAAAGTCGAAGGCATTTATATAAGTGCGTCATATGTATGTAAATAGGTACGAGGTGGAAACCTAGAAATACTAAATTGATGGGAAGTAGACTGTACAATAGGTAGCCAGACAAACCACATTTTATCAAAGGGTCATATTCTACGTGGGACCTTCTCTTCGTAATTTTAACGATTTTGAATAATACAATAATGGAAATGGAGGACACATGCAAAGCAAAATCCTCGAACAGCCGAGATTAAATTTCATTCCTCGAAAACACTGAATAAACGAAAGATGGCTTCAAAGGATGGAGTTGGATATTATATTTCCCTGTCTCCGCTGTTCCTTTTCTTACTTGATGAAAACAACTTTCAACAATAAATATTTGTAGTATGGTACGAGTTTCCTTCTACCAAAGCTACATATTCAAATTTGTGTAAGAGATATAGTTCTTTATCCAGACGCAAATTAATTTCCGGAGAATTCATAAGAATAAAAAACCTTGAGATGTTTACTTACTCGCGACTAACCGTTAGAGTTACAAGTCACACCCACTCTCAAAATTTGTGACCGCCCGTTTCTATTGTTCCGTGGCTGACATCATGTTTGGCCTTCTTAGCATGAATCCTTTATTAATTTGTAGTTATTTAATTAGTTATAATTTTCAATTTGCGAAAGGTAATAAGGTCCTTGTGTATTCGTGTTGAAGATTAATTACTCTGAGAGTATTCTAAACGGAGGAAGCCATGGAACTGCACACATATATTCAAGAAATCGGTTTGCACGTGAAATTATGTATGTTTGCTAATCTGTCAGAGAATAATTAAAATACATAAAGCCCCCAAACCAAAAGTACTCGCAAATTAAATGTCACTCGAGTGAAATCTAACCTTCATTCTCCTCGTCGCGTTACACTGCCATTATATATTTAGGTTCTTAGAAAGTAGAAGTCCGTATTCTAGGCTTACGTAAAATTCTATGAACCCATGTATTACACGGAAAAAGGCCCGTGCAAGCACTAGATTTGTAATAAAATTATATAATTAGCAAGAACAGTGTGTCCCAGATTGCTGCATAAATTAATGTTCGCAATAAAATTACACAATGTACAATTTATAACCCAGCTTTTGCGTTTGTCTTATTTGGGGACACTATTTGAGGAAATAAGGCATGTCATTAATTCCTAAATTACTAGCCATGAATATATCTAATGGATTCCGTATTAGTCATTTATTTTGCAGAATATTATCAAATGTTAATGAATCATCAGTGGATGTGATGAACGTAATGAGAATTTTATACATAAGAGTGCTGAATTAATTTCACAAGTCTTATGATTTGTTACTTATTTAGTGCCAATGTTTTAAATGCTAATTTCAAAACCTTGTCCAATAACTTACTTTAATCACGAGTTCTGAGAAATCTGCTACGAGCCGCATACTTGTGGTCAAATATATACATTGGCACACGAGCACACAATTTGCAAGATTAATGCGGTTAACTGTTCAGATTTGATCTGAATCAATGAAATAACATTGGAGTATTTACATACATTGGAGTGAAACTTGAGCTAGCAATTTTTGGAAGTAAGGAGTGGGTCGAAGAATAGTTGAAGTGGAATTTCTCCCTGGTTTGCTCCTAAATTGTGAAGGATGCTATTAGGAGAGATTATGTAGGCAGGGGAGGACAAGTACATATACGTAGTTGAGCGACTTGGTCCTGGAGCGAGGACGGAGAAAGTGTGCACTTGACGCCCACGGACTTTCCTTCCTCTCGAGAACGCTTTCCCAGCATTTCCATCCATACTGCTCCCAACTCCTCCTCGCAGCCGGGATGAAAGAGTCGCGTCTCTTGGTTTCCACTCCCTGCCTTCCACATTTCTTCCCCTTCTTATTACTCTCTTCTAATTGCATTGCATTGGAGTGTGTGCATTGCCGTTTGAAATGTGTACAAAGATGCTCATTAAGCAAAAATTACGTAGCCAGCCACCTAAAAATAAATATATCTACACTTTGGCCGTGACTACAATTATTCATCTGCACAAGAAGATACACAAACTTTCTAAATACTTTTTTATAAAGATTATTCCTGATTTTTTTAAGCCGTCAGTTATTAGATATATTTTGTTATGTAGTGCAGAGAAATTATGGTAACATGTTAGTGCGATGCATATCATTTTTCAGTCAATGTTTTCAAAATTTTAGTCTTTGGATCTATTTCTTTAAATAGGTTATTGAATTCTACAATAGATTCAATTTAGTATATTTTTGCGGCTGTGGTTACAAAACGCTATTGGAAATATAACTCATAGCAGCGTATATGCATGTATATACATATATACACGTCAGCAACAGAATAATTGACTTTTGTATATAAACTTACACCTAGTTTAGTATGGTTCACGCCTTTTTCAATGTAAGTATAACTGATAAGTACATGTGCACGCATGTAAGTACATATGTCCTGAAATAAAAATTGTTTTCATAGCATATACAGGGTGGTTTAAATGTCAGGTTACAATGGAAAATTTTGCAATGGGAAAAATTCGCAAATATCCATTAGTTACCTAAATTTTGCCTCTGAAATTCAATATTTTAAGAATTTTGTCATAAGTTTTAATAAAAATTAATAAAAATCTCAATCCCAAATCCGTAACTAATGGAAATGTAAAAATTTTTCCCATTAAAAAATTTTCCATTGTAACCTGACATTTAAACCACCCTGTATAAATAAATAAGCAACATTTTATTTCCAATATATTAAGGGCCTGGGGGAAGTTGCTTAGAAATCACGTCAACTTTGACGATAAACTTCAGCAATGCACAAGAGGACAGATTTTTCAAATTATGTTTAATGTGTTAATCATATCTTTAGGTTTTATTTAAAAAAAATTTGACGATCTGTCCTCTTGCGCAGTGGAGATATTTGGGTATAAAGTCAGCACAAATTGGTTTAGAATTACAAAATTGATGGCATGAATTGTATTGAGTAGCCATGGAACCCAAGAAAACAACTTTGTTTATAAAACTTGAGGGCAAAGTGACCAAAACCAAAGCTTCTGAACGTGAACGTGCTATAGAAACGGTGTCAATTAATCGCGGTCGTAACCTTATGGAGTGATAAATAATCTTGGATCCCTAGAAATTATTGTTGCTAACATAAAATCAATTTTCTAAAAGCAAATCTTCCCCCGGGCCCTTAACCATAAATTTGTACATATTGCTATGTGCATAAGCAAAAACAAGCCGAAGAATGTGATTGTGGGTCTCATCTGTCTGTATATTTCCAGTAGGAATTACTTATTGTTAGTTGCATTATTAAAATTTTCAATTATATATTCTTACAAACTTTAATCATATCCGTCTGTAAAACTGAAAGCAAGCATGAATGTTTTTTGTGTTTACATAGACCCAGTATCTTGTAACACTGGTGCTACAAAAGTGACGTGAAAATAAAATAGATGACAGCTAGTTTCATCATGATCGAAAGGTTTGCGGTAGTGTCTAACAACCAATTGTAATACCTAAACGACTGTGTTTTCCTGCTTTTCCCCAGTAAACTTATACTCTCGCCTTAATGCATTCTTATGAGATTTTCATCTGTAAGGGAGCAGTTCCTCAGAGAAAGTCCAAACTGAACTCAAGGGACTCGATTTAAATCGTTAATGTAACATTACATGGTTATTGCGGTTTTTCATGTAACCCTGTCTATCACGTAGTTGGTATTCAAGGGGTTAAATCGCACGTTCGTCTAGAGTAGCAAATAGTAGACCTATATTGATTAGCTTCTTCAAAGTATATTTAAAAACATACGGTGACTTGTTCTGTTTGCTTAGGAATTCGGATGCTTGATCAGCCATATATGACGGATCTCATCGAAGCAAATTCCATGGGGCATGAACCCAACTTAATTGACATCTATAGCGCATCCTGGGGTCCAACTGACGATGGCAAGACGGTGGACGGGCCTCGAAATGCCACCATGAGGGCGATCGTTAAAGGAGTTAATGAGGTTGGTAATTGGATTCTCTGATCCAACCACCATATATTCATACGTACATACTTTCCCTCTCTCTTTCCCTCTCGTTTTGTACGTTTATCAGCATCGGAAATTGGCTTTCTCCATTTGCCGTTTGCCTGTCCGTATCTGCAGTACCTTTCACCAGACGAGAGCAAAAGTCTGCTAGATATTAAGTAGCCAATCTTATAGAATATTTGTAGAAGTACTGGGCAGCTACATACTTTTACTTTTTACGCATAATTTTGTACATCCTGTGAGACGAATTAAATTGAATTACATATAATAGCAATCGCCGAAATATCTATGAAATTAAACAATTAAAAAAAAATAAAATCCTAAAATCTTGCCTAAAAATTCATGTTATTTTTAGATACCGAAATAATTTCCGTTACCTGTATCTTGAGCTGAGATGATTTTATTTATGTACATTAAAGATAACTCCAAAACTGTTTATTTATCTACATTCGACCAAATTTGTTGTAATATGCGACAAATTATTATATTACTTGTATCTTATTGTCCATCTTACCCAAGTCAAATAATCTTGTTTCTGGGGCTGGCAATGCTTAATATATATTTCTTAAACAGGGTCGGAATGGTCTTGGGAACATCTATGTTTGGGCGAGTGGAGATGGGGGTGAAGACGACGATTGCAATTGCGACGGATATGCAGCTTCCATGTGGACCGTTTCCATCAACTCGGCAATCAATGACGGACAAAACGCTCATTACGGTGAATTTTCATTCATTTATTACTATGTATCAGTATGTATACATATATGAACGGAGGCACTTATCCTAAGTTTCTATGCTTTTTGCAGATGAGTCCTGTTCTTCAACTTTAGCCTCCACGTTTAGCAATGGTGCCAAGGATCCCAACACTGGAGTGGTAAGCACTAATCCTAAGTTGATTGATTTGGTGGCATGCACACACAATTTGCTAATTTATCTGGAAGCCTTGCAGTACATAGTTTTATGACTTTCCTTCTAGTCTTCACAGTAAGACTTCGACGAGCGCATTTATTAAAAAACTCTACATCTATGTATAACGTGGCAAATACATCAAGTTCACCCACGTACACGCGTATGACGTTCGACATTTGATATATTCTTTTTTGAGGAGACGAGAGCACTTCAAATTTATGCATATGCAATGTACAGTGAACTATAGCAAATCTATGTGATATGACACTGAGTTTTTTTACATGATTGACGTATTGACTATTTTTTCAGGCCACCACAGATTTGTATGGGAAGTGCACTAAATCACATTCCGGCACATCCGCAGGTGTGTACATACCTTTGATACCATTTTAATTATTCCAGCCTAAATAAATTATTCAGGCCACTATGCAACAAATTTTGAAAATTATTCGAAAGTTTCAAAGTCTTATGATTTATTTTCAGCTGCACCCGAGGCTGCAGGTGTCTTTGCTTTAGCGTTGGAGGCAAAGTGAGTAAATCAACTGGCAGTTTTTACTATCATGAATAATACGTACATATGTAATACAAATTGAACATTTATTCTTAACTAAAGCAACAAACTGACTTGGAGGGACATTCAGCACTTGACTGTGCTTACTTCAAAAAGAAATTCCCTATTTGACGCGAAAGGTCGTTTCCACTGGACAATGAACGGGGTGGGGTTGGAGTTTAACCATCTCTTTGGGTTTGGCGTGCTGGATGCGGGGGCGATGGTTGCACTTTCCAAAGAATGGAAAACTGTTCCAGCACGATACCACTGCGAAGGAGCATCCATGAGCAAGCCTCGGTAAACAATCTTATATAACTTTTTCAGCCAAACTTTTTGGATCTACGGCATTTTTTGCGTGACAAGAATAAAGTGCTAATACGTTTTGCAATTTTGTGTACACTAGCAAAATCCCATCCAGGGGATCTCTGATTCTCAAGCTGGAAACAAATTCTTGCCAAGGAACGGAGACAGAGGTGGATTATTTGGAACATGTCCAGGCCGTTATTACTCTCAATTCAACGAGACGTGGTGACATCGTCATGTTCATGACTTCTCCTATGGGAACAAGGTACGAAAATTAGCAATGTCAGGATATCCACAAAATATCACATATCATTTACTTCCAGATCCATGGTTCTAAGTCGAAGACCTAATGATGATGACCGACACGATGGATTTGTCAAGTGGCCGTTCATGACGACACACACATGGGGTGAAAATCCGAGGGGAACATGGACCTTGGAGGTATTTCCCATTTCCCATTTTTGCCATGAACATGCGAAAAAGGACCAAAGCAAGTTTGTATAATGCTTTCATCAATTTCAGATCCAATTTAACGGAGAGAAGCCGCAGACTGGATGGATTAAAGAATGGGCATTGATGCTTCACGGTAAGACGAAACATATTTACGAGTTTTAGCAACATTTTTAATTGAAGTCTTTCTTTTCTTAATATATCGTCGGATAAAAATGCAAGCAAACAAATTAAGTAATGCTTATAATACTTTACAGGAACAAAGGATCCACCTTACGTTGGACTACCTGTAACAGATCCTCACTCCAAACTGGCAATTGTAAAAAAGGCTCATGAAGACAGGAAGAAAGCATAAACATTTCAAATTTGTTAAATGTCAAACAAGTTTTTTCATTCGAAAGATTAATATGCGTTGCAAAAGCAGAATTGATATTAATTTCTACATTTTTACAAAATTGGTGTACATTTGTACGAGAAAACGGTTTTGCCAAATATTAATTAGTTAATATATATTTGGAAAACAACTTTTTAACCTATTAGCGATTTCGTATTTAATTCAAAAAATATTTAACGTAAAGTTTGTTTGATTCTGTGTCAAGTCTAAATAAGCGTTTACTTAAATTGTATTTTTTTCGGAAATCTTGTAACATGATTTAAAATGGTTTAACAACAGTATTATTTTGCTTAAATGAATGTGGAAACCATCAAATGTACTCTTGTACACTCTTTTATTACATTCCTTGAATTATTGAATTCCAATCATTTTTAGTCTAAGCATCAGGGAATTTATTGCCCACTTGCTTAACTTGATTTGAATGAAACTATGCATTTTCTTAACCTGTGTAATGCACGTATGCAGATGAGATTTTCCTATTTATGATTTTAAAAAATTCCTTACTCCAATCAAACCAAAGAAATGAATTACATTTTAGTTAAGTACTGAGGATGTGATATCGATTTTGAGAGGTGTACATGGATAATAATTAGAATAGACTTTAAGAATACAAAAGATTAAAATTCATTTTAGGGACATGACTAAAAATTATAGAATTTCAACTTATATTTAAATCATAAATGAGTATAATGTGCTGAGTATTTTCAAATCCAATCATCCTTAAATTTTGCGTTGATAGCTCAATCCCGTAAGTATTGGTTCATAGTTATTAATCATAGGCATGAAAGTAAATGGTGCAGGTATGGATTTGTTTAACAATACGTACTAAGTATATTTAAGAAAACACAGATTTAACATGAAATATAATTATGCTATGGTTCAGTTTGATTTTGAAAAAAAAAGTATGAAATGAATTTTATGGTAATAATTTGACGATTTATATTTGCTGTTACAATACTACCATAATCCATCATTTTATGATCCCATCTCTACTTACACATGTAAAATAAATTTAAAGCAAAACCATCTTCCTATTCTGTTAAGATGTATAAATTGTCATTAACATCAGTCAAAAATATCACTCATCCTATTAATCCTTACTACTCTCCACCAGTAGCATATTTAATTATATGATCACTCTAACATGCATTTATATATTTTTGATTCGAATATTGGGTTTCCGAAACCCCCAACATATTTGTGCAAAATTGATTATATGATAGCGTGTAAATATGTATGTAATTCTCATTTTATAAGTAAACGAAATCGGGTAATTTTATTATTTTCTTTAGTTGTAACTTTACTAAATAATGTAATCTCTACCAATATACGGATTGACTACATTTTATCATACATACATATTTATAGTTTTATTATATAGAATTTGACACTCGAAATTGTTATTTATTGGTAATTAATTTAATTTATTATATCAATTACAAATTAGGCAATTGACTGACAATTGGAAATAAATGGAACAAAATTTAATTGTACTTTCTCTTGCAAGCAGATTTGTTCATATTTGCTCTACTTTAATTACACAGCATCTGCATGAAAAAATCTTGTCTTATTCGCATTTAGCAAAGATAACTATTTCATATTTGCGTTGTCGGAGTCCAGCCTACAGAGTTATTTACAGAGTTATTTACGCAGTAAATCGTTCAGCAGAAGATACGTGGGTGGGAATTTACACATACATATTTAGTGGAATTATATACATTGAAATCTGGTGAAAACGAAGAAGAAAATGCTAATAACAGGGTCTAAAACCTGGACATTAATACCAAAGCAATAGTATTCCATACTCGTAATAAAAATAATAAATTATCAAAAGGTATATTATACTGCAGATATGCGGTGAATATTTACACGTTACTTCAAATTAGGAATATTTAACCTCGAACTAGTAAATATATTTATATACGGGAAAATTTATTCTATGGGATTTGAACAATTACTATAAATGTACATAACACATAAATACGGTCCTTGGATATGTTGTCTCGCATATCTGCGTATGTGTATAAGCAAAACAATAAAAAGCAATTATTTATCATTCAGAACATGTTAGAGAGAGTAGCCGATTCTTCACTGATAAATTGTTGTATGGCAGGAATAAAGTTGGCAAATTGTGAAGTATTTCAATGAGTTCACCATTATCAGACTTTTACTATTTCAACTGGCATAAGAATCAAAAAAGTATAAGCATTTTTGGTTTGTTATTAATAGGCACACATTTTCACTTTGTATTACATAAACACATTTGTCGGCATTTTAATACAATATTTTAAATACTCGAATACCCCAACGGTTTTGATTTCTCAGACAATCACAAGTTTAAATATATATTTACTGTAGAACATACGAAAAGGATGATATTATGCGAACAACAGTCGGCAATCAAGTAAAAACATTGCATACACCCTGTAAATCAGACAATAGTAATTACAAATGCACTGGTTACTATTAATGATAATTACATATATTTGTACAGATATAAATATGTATATGTAAATGTAATTGTTTATAAAGCTCTGAAAATATTTTTGGAAGGGTTTACATATGTAGTTTAGTGAAAGTATTTGGAAGTAAAATTTACGTCTCACTGATGTCAACATGGAACGAAGGGATCATACATATTTTAAGACTTAGGATGAGAGAAATACTACGTAGAGGGTGAGCAACAAAGAATGCCAATGCCAATGCTGTTCAAATTTACATAAGTATATATGAGAAAACGAAACCATTAAAGGTGACATGGTCTTGGGACAAATGTAATAGACCACCAAGATCGGAAAACCAGAAGTCTGGACTTTAAACAATTCAAAAATGAGAGAAAAATACGTGGGACAACTCGGAGAGCGCACTGGCTGACCGAGCTGCACTTTACTTATGGGATGCCCTTTATTCTACTTTCAGGATCCTCAATTCAGTAAGTTTTGTGAAAATGAATCAATTTTATGAATTTTGGTCGAGCACTTTTTCAAAGTGGATAGTTGGCTACAGCTATATATTTTTGTCGTTTATGCTTAGTACGCTTTGAAACCCCTGCATGCATTTGGCTTTAATTTTCTTGGTGTCTATCTGTCTATACCCCCACCGTACTTTGAACAGTTTTATATGGTGAGGTTGTTGAGGAACGCTTACTCCACGCTTTTCACCGGTTTCTGCTAACGAGTGCTTCCCCAGTAGAGCAGGCAGACAAATTAAATTTCAGAAATCTACATTTCCTAATTCATAGGATGTGTGTGGTATATACATTTAATTCATTTTAGATGCATTCCTTGAAAAGACAAAACAGAAAGTTACACGTTTTTTTAAACCAGAAAAATCGCATTTTCGTAATATTTTTAGTGGCTTTTAGAGGTTCTCCAAATCGTTTACTCTCATTTTCGGACAATGTGAAGTACCGACAGACTTGTGGTTTTCCGATCCTAGTGGTTTATTAAGTTTGCCACAAGACCACGTCACACCTGGTGAGATTCTACGTTTTCTCATATATGTACATATGTATGTACGTTTGAAAAGCTCTCGCATTCTTTCACCCTCTAACTAACTATATAAATACAAAAGTATGGACATACATATAAGAGTCGCTTGCAAAATAATAAAATTTTAAATGCCCATAGGGTATCATCTTGCTAATATGTATGCAAATTCTATCAGTTGCGCATATATGTATGTATATATATACCAAGTTAGAGCAATAGAAGTGATATGTCTTGAGCAATTTAAAATTTCAATGTAATCAAGCAATCTGAATTAAGATACCTAAACATTAGTTGGAGCTGAAACGCAAGCATCAATTGAGTCGTTATCGGAGAATCGCGCGTGGGTTGCCTTCTGGTTTTCCTCTTCGGGAGAGCCGACGTAGGGGGGTTTTGGGGCTCCAGGGTTTGTGTTCATGTATAACTCGGGCATAGTATGCTGTCTATTCATCCTGCCTTTCTGACGTCCGGGTCCACTGTAAAGTGCAGAATAAATACTTTTATATCACTTCGTCTAAATACGTGTGGGCACTATGTATGAGTAGGGAAAAAATGAAGAGGAGAGGAGCTCATATCTGCATTGCACTTCTCACATGAATTAAAATAATGAGGGTATTCATTATTTCTTCGTATCCTTAGTATTCTTCGTATCGTAAAATAACTTACGACGCTTACGAGATTTTGTAAGCGTCGTAAGATTTTGTCATCGAAAAACGTGTTACTACGCTTACGATTTTTACGAAACCTGACCCCTTGTTTTATCTTCGTAAACTATTTTACGATACTAAGGATACGAAGAAATAATGAATACCCTCAATATTACATAATTCACTAGACAACGATGCACTGCTTTCACCTTTATCACCACTAATGAAACCATTCTTTAATATATATCTGACTTATCCTCAAGCAAGTAATCATGCAATGCAGGTTTATTAGGAGGTACATATTTAAACACTCACGTTCCACCCGTATGGCGATTATTTTGCCTCTGCCTGCTCCTTTTGGACCAGTTCCACCAACAAAGAAATACAACCATGACGCAAACGAGAATAAGGGCAGCTAAAATCTCAGCAAAATATGTTTTCCAAGTGGCATCTTTTCTACGATGTTTCTCCAAATCTCGCTGAGTAATGAAATCTTGAATATTAAGTTTGTTCAGTTTGTGAACCTTGTGTCCATCATGATCGTGATGATGATGATCACTGGGGTCATAAGCGTGCTCATGAGAATTTTGGAGAGAAGTTTCTACTGGTCCAAGTCCTCGAAATATTTGTACACGCTGGTTTGTAGAGTTGCTTGTTAATCCAGTAAGCCGACCTATCCAATTAAATATCAATATAAAATCAATAATTTAATGCGGCTATTATGAGACTAGAGTTATCTAAGAAAATACAGTGCAGAAGAAAATTACAATTTGTCATGCATAATAAATAACTTTTACATAATTGTTATGCAATGTACAATACAAACTGTCTTACTACGATCAACAGGGGGTTGGTGTGGTGAGACATGAGATGACGTAGAAAATATCCACAAAAATACCAGTGTCAAAAGCATGTTATCTAATGAATATATGTGTCTAATATATATGTAATAATAATTTCCAAGAATTGATTTTTGATATTTCTTCCCCAAATATTCTATCTGACTGGGAACTACCCAACTAGGTCACGTCACATATAGGCACCCGGATCGTTCTGGATATATATTCGGGAGTGAAGATGTAGCTGTAGTCAACAGAGTGATTCTGGACCATGCTTTCTCTGGCAGGACTTTCTCCAAAATGCTCGACGGGGATGGTGGTTCGTTGGCTCTCGCGAGATTTTTTTCGCGAATAACGCCTCATTTGGGTAAAATTGAAGAGATTTCATTTTAAAACTTTTCCTCCTCTGATTTAACCCATCATGGGTGCTTCTAACTCGTTTATGTATTTTTTAAAGAATGATGAAGATAAGCCATTCTATAATTAATTTACTCAAAAAGTTAGTTCTTCCTCATTAACTACGATCAAGTCGAATCAAAATTTTATTCTAATCGATGTGTGGTTTTAGTACAAGTTTTAGCACGTCCTCACCCATGCGATAATTTTAAAGTAATGTATATGCATAAATCTGTATGGCATGCACTGAATGCATTTGGGGATTTTAAATACTTATACAAATTGTATAGAGGGATTCTATACAATTTGTATAAGTATTTAAAATCCCTATGAAACTATGGATTTGACATTGTGGTTTGTTCCCGGTTCATGATTTTGCCACATTTTGCAAAAGCTTTTTTGTCACAATAAAAACCAAATTATAGGACTATTCAATTCACACGATCTTGTGTCACTTCGAAATATTATATTAAGAAATTATCCATTACGCCCACATGCATGGTGCAAACAAGTTTCTTACAATGAATTTACCCTTGCTTACATATGTATAATAAATAATATTTAAATGCATGCAAGTATATTTATTAACTATACGCACATGCAAATGCATGAAAGCAACACGTGGCATTAAGAAAGTAATGTACTGATTTGTTATGGTATCACAGTACATATGTACTGTGGTACATATGCATGCATGTAAATATGTATATACATACCCAATAAGAATCATACCCTGTAAATCGAGCATATTTTGTTGAAGACCCTGTAAATCGCTGGGAAATGTAAATGACATGTACTTTGATTCACTAAAACATGGATTATATAGTCTGGGATTTATTATGTAATCAACACGAGCTTAGAATTGGCATTTTATGGATTTGTATAGTGGAAGTATTATGTTCCAGTGTACCACCGTAAAACACACGTAGAAAGTCCGTAAAACTTAATCAATTATAAAAGCATATTTCACTGTATATAATGAACGTAATACTCCAATATGCGCGGCCACGCTTTCCTCTCCTCACCTGGCAGCAGTGAGATCTTGGACGGTGTCTCGAGAAATCTCTATTAACTTAACCAACTTTTCAATTTCGAAATTTTAAATATTCGAACCATTGGATTATCCGAATCGGTTTGGTACAATCCAGTTTGGTAAGTTTTCTTGGTAAGTTTTTCAACCCAGTTTGCCGTATCGCGTTTTATTTTGTATTTAGGGACTGCAATGTTTGCTGTTGTCCACTTCACGTCATCAGACGACGATTCAGTGCAACTCGTTCCGTCATCATGGTTGGATAAGACCAGAACTCAGTGTCGGTGGCCATCGGGACCGAAAGCAAATCAAATTGCTGCATCCCTTATCAAATCCTGCTCACTACCACAAGACAATTGGCCTTATCTGCCTTGTTCGTTCAAGAAATCTTTTTGTAAGCACAAAATGTTTAGTTAAAATTTATACGAAATTTGTTAAGACATAATTTGAATCTAAATCGTATTTTTTGAACTGCAATCTAGTTGATTATCAAACTGGGAGACGGACTGAAAAGAAAATAGCAGAAGATTCAAATCTCTCTTCTTCCGATCCTGACGTTGGGGCTGGCAGGTTAAGGAAAAGATCCAGAATTGGACTTGACAACGTTAGCGCCTTTCCCTTTGAAGACTACTTACAATTCCTAAAGTCGCTAGTTAGAAGTAAAACGTTAATGCTGGAACAAGTAGTGAAGCGTGTTACAGAGCATGACAATTACAATTTTATAAGAGACAGGAAAATAATAAAGGGTGGAGCAGTTGGAATTAAAAACGGGTTCGCTAGAAAGTATAACTTATCAAAATTTTCTGTAGATTTAAGAAAGGGAGACAATTGTTTTGTGTTAAGTAATGATCGAATTGTACTTGTTGACAAAATTAAAGTTTGTAGTGATCATCGTGTTACTGTCGTTGTAAAAGTTTTATGTCGCACGGATATTAGCCGGTATCCAACACGAAGTAGCAAGTTGAATATCTTTAAATGTGGGGCAAGCGTGTCTGATAGGATTGAGTTCAATATTTTAGATTTGAGACAAAAATGTGTAATGTTACTGTTTAGAAATGATATTAATTCTTTCTTGTGCATTCCTATGTTAGAAAATTATGAAAATTAATTATACTTAATATTTAGTAATGTGTTTTAAGTAATTTAATTAATTGTAATCATCAATTTGGATTTTTCTTAATAAATTATAATTTTAGCAATGCAATATAATTTCAAATGGTTTTACACTCATTTTAGTTCATTATAATACATCAGTCTAACGCCCATCCCATTACACAATATTACGATGGAATTACACTCGTTTTACATAATTGATGTATCACTGTAAATGCAATGTTTTACGGACGTAAAATTAATGAGTATTAACGCCGTCACTTTCTTCCAAATACAGTGCAGTTTACTGGGCCTTTTTACCTAACGTAAAACGCCTGATTCACAGGGAAAATTCTTATTGGGTAGTCTCAACTTAAAAAGTGATAGTAGAGTAGACGACCATATTAGGTTAGTTTTAAGGAATTTCAAAATTATTTTTATTCCATTGAAAAGCCAGTTAAATTTCACGTAGAAAACATGTATTAAACTTGAAAATATATTCCTCCTGTAACCATGAAGAATTGGTCACGAAAGAGAAAGCTCCATCAAAAATACGCACGGAATTAATGGACAAAGTGTATCATTCCCGGGTCAGAAATTTTTTTGTGACCCTGACGCATATATGGGGCTCAGAACAGACCTTCTCCTCAATTTTAATCAATATTTGGTGGTAAAGTTGTCTGCGGTTCGAAAATGCCAGGGTCAAACCTAAAGTGCAAATGAAATCAGAAATATGGATTTTAATCCAGTTTTTCACGAATTTCGATGTAAATGTTACTGTGGACCCCTTAACAAAGGTCGGTGGCTTTTCACCCAATATGGACTAGTTGAGGGGGTGTTCCATCTTCAACAGGACGTTTATCAAATATTTTTTAAACTATCTCCTATCCTTAATCAAGGAAATTGGGCTGTTTTTGCTCAATTCCGCCGATTCCCACTAAAACCATGAATGGAGTTTGATAAGACGACATTTTGACCTCTATTTTGTTATAAGCTAACCCTTAGAATATTTGGCATAAAACGTATTAGTTTTTTTTGCTGAAATATGTTTCGGTCGTAAAGAAATTATCATCGGTAAACGGGTTAGTTTTTTTGGTTTTTTTACCGTACCGTTTGGGGAGGGAGGTCGATTTTTGTACCCTTGCTTTGGCCTAGGAAATTTGTAGTATGTGACGCTTTCTAATCCAAAAGACCTTCATCTTAGGGTCACTTTTCAGTGCTAATCTGATCTCTAAAGTTGAAAGGTCATTTGTTTGGCCAAAGTCTCCGGCGTCGGACAGAGATTTTATGCTATTCTGGTGTTTAAAGCTTCGGACATCACTGAAGTCCTCCATGACCTTGGACAACCGGAACTTTTATGTCATAGATAGACACTGTCTCTGGGATTACTTTAATAGTTTGGGAAACCAGATCGTAGTTGTACTTGGGTTGCTACACTTCATCAAACATTGTGCATTTTTTTCTCGTGCAAAAAGTGAAAAATTATTGCCGCGCGCGTGTAGCTAAGCTTCTCCTACTTTTGACCTAGTGATGTCAAGTAAAAGCGGTCAACACCAGTGATAGGCACTGAATGTATGTACAAACCGCAATTGACCTTTTAATTTTATGTTGACCGGTTAAAAAACTACGCTCTACTATCACTTCTTATGGTAAGACTATGTACATACATGCATGCATTTGCGTTAAATATAAGTAATCGTCTTATAAACAATGTTACATAATTGGAAACAATTGTCTCGGACAGTTACTTTTTCGGGAATTCATCATTTCTTAGATTAAGGTTTCGAGCTTTTTAAGGTTACGGTTTTTAATGGTCGACTCCTGTATAGTCAGTTTTTCCATGTTTCTTGTACATATGTATGTAACTGATACTGATGCAAACCCATACAAAATCTTTGATATGCATACATAAAAGTGATTAAATAAAAATACATGCAGGTAACATCCTTTTATCCATCAACCGGTAATAAATTGAATTAATTGTTTCGGATGTCATTTCGTCAACTACATATTTTCTTTCTCTGTAAAGTGCATAAAGAAAAAGCCAAAACAACGTTAAATGACCTGCTTATGTGATTTGCATGCAAATATTCATTATCACGCAATGTACTGCACTTATATAACTTGCCAAATGTGTGCAAAATCCCTCAACAAATCGCAATTTGCAAAATGTTATTACCGGTTAGTTAGAGTCAGTATGGTGGTTTATTTTTGCAGGTTTAATTTTGCCTAGCAACACCATTCAGCTCCATTAAAAGTACGGGGCTTGCAACCTTCACCATCCGTATTAAAGGAGATTGAATACAAGCCAATGAAAACTACGCATCGATCTTTTTCAACAAAACTTGCAGGGAGAGTCTCATTTGCCTGCGTATTCTTACGGAAGCTTGGCTATCTGTTCAATGTTTTTATTTACATCCAAACTGAGCCAATGCTAAAACGCTGTATGCACCACCATTATTCGAGAGAGCATCAGTAAAACAGAGACATTAAAGGAAATTTCTGGAAAACAATCTCAACTGAAACTCTGATCTTCTACAGTTGTACATACCGGTGACTTGTGATACATAGCAGCCCTCCTTATCTTCAAAAGGTAAGTTATCATTCGTAATATCGGGCCTTATTGTTGACGTGTATTACATATAACACGTAATACAGCGGTATGAGCAACTATGTACATAAGCAGTGGTTATTAATATTAAGCACGAGTAAGTACTGGTACTCCATGTAATGCAATTTCATTGCTCTACAAAGCAGTAAGAGAAGAGTTTAATACCCGTGTTAAGAAAATTGTGAATGTTTCAGGTAAAAAAAAAAGTAAGTTTTTCAAGTAATTTCAGGCACATGAAAATTTGTTCTCCATGCACAAAAACTTGCAAACGGTTGCAAAGGCTGTTTAGATAATAATACTGGTTTTTATTTGGATTCGAACTTATAAACAAGACAAAGCAAAACATAAATGTCATTGTTTGGAACCACGCATGACTTGATACACAATTTTTATGGGGTATAATTGTTATATTTTATTATCCATAATAATGCCATCTCATCAATAAATTAGGAGTTGATCGATGTAGGGCCATAGGGCCACAGGCAGTTTTTAGCTATAAATTAAATTCAAATCTTTATCATGGGATTCGCCTTTATTTTACAATACCTGTATCACATCGTTTGGTATTTTCAGAAATTCATCTCCAAAATTATGAGTGGTGGTCAAGAAGGTGCTTCTACAAATTTTGAAACTCTGCCAACATTTTACCCACCCAATGATACAAATGCCAAGGAAGATTTTGAACTGACCCAACGTGAGTTTGAACAAATCAAAGATGCATTAAAACAGGAGGAATTTCGAAAGTTGTTGGTAGAATATGTTGAGGAAGTCCAGGTAATTCTTTTGCAGTTGATGACTTATCACTTGGTTATTTCTTGGTACATATAAATCTATAAGATCTGAATTAAATAGGACCCAGAAAATCAAAAGACTTATCAAAGTGAGGTACGCCAACTTGAACGCCAGAATGGGAATGAGATTCATTTCCTGAATCCTGTCCCTGCCTATGTCCTTAAAACTTCCGTGGATGGAAATAAAAAAGGATTCATTAATATCTGCGCCAACCCTTTGATACGAAAAGCAACGAGTCAAAAGGGGACTAATCCGTTGGAAGGAGGGGATGGATTCGTATGGTCCATACCATACGCACAAAGCCCACCACGTGAAGACATTGACAAGGCTGGAGCATTCTGCTTTGTCTACGATGTCATTTTCCACCCCTTTTCTTTGCGGATGGCTGAACAAAATTTACAGTTTCGAAAAAAAATTGAGCAGATATCGATGGATGGAGTTGAGTCCAGTTTTAAAGTGACATTGGACAGAAACAATGTAAAAAAACCGAAACTTCAGTAAGTGAACAATATTGTAACGCGCCTTTGTATGCGCATAGGAAAAAGGTTTGCATTTTGGATTAAATGTTGGATTTAATTTAACAGATACAAAGGAATTCCTCGTGCCACTGTTATCAAGTACAAAATTGGGGAAGCTCCGCCTTCCGTTGTAGACCCTGCGGCAATTCAGGATGAAATACCCCCTCAACCTCTCGGCACAAACGTGACACAGACTGGAACATCATGCAAAAAATTTACATGTGCAAAAAATTACAAAAAAGGGGACACAGAAATGAGGAAAAAATTTGATTCGACTTTCAAACCCATGAGCAAAATTGATGTACGTATTTAAATAAATTATGAATTATCTAAGCACAAAGATAAAAATATAAATAATGCTATTCGAATGCAATTTAATAGAAAATGCTGAACTTGGATCCAGTGGTTGGTAGTGGCTTGCCAGAAGAATGGACTGTTCCCAGATATTCATACAAATATCGTTCGCACGTTGACCTTCAAGACTGCGCACAGGACAATCAGCGTTCTGGAAAAAGCAGTAAACCCATTCCGGACGAAATAATCATTACAATTGATCTCCCTCTTCTCTCCGATTCCTCTACATTGGATGCCGATGTTCTCGATGATGGGTGGAATTTTGAGCTGAAATCCACCCGAAAAGCAAACTATGAGTTAAAATTACGACTACCATTCCAAGTCTTTCCTGAATCGGCCAAAGCCAAGTTTGAAAAGGATAAGCGAAAGTTGCACGTTACAATGAAAACTGTACAAATACAAAAACCACTGGAGGCTATTATGCGTCAATTGTCTGATGACATTGACGTTTTTGAAAGTGATGGAGCAAGTGAAGATTTTCATGAGGGGCACACGAGACGGCTGGTGGAAGAAATTAAAGCAAAAGTTTCTGAGGCTGATGTTGGCTATGAAAGTACGGAAAGCAATGAGGTACGAGTGAGTTGAAAGACTTGAAAATTATTACTATGTACTATCGTTTCCAGTTTTTCCTGAAACTTTAAAATTTCACTCTATCGATTGACCCGACCCACTATGTATTTTTAACTACCGTAATAATCCAATCATTTGTAAATGTGTGGTCATACAAATGTCATTTTCTTCTTTGCTTAATTTATTAAGTGCGATTTATGCTTACATTCATGCATGATTCAGCACCAGATTTATGTGCCATGTATAATCAAACAAACGTATGAATAAATAATATTATTTTAGAACATCCCGACGGTTATTAATGGGAATATCGTTGTCAAAAGCATTTTGAAGGGATCAAGTAACAATATCCGTTGTCGCAGCAAATCGGAAAGTTGGATAGACCACATGGACCATCTTCAAAAGGTGTACAATCGATTTTTTCATAATTACTTATACTGTAATGATCAAACAAATTCTCAAGTCACAGTCATTCATTTATTAATCCCCGTAAAGTACGACCCTGTACCATACAAATATGTATATGTGTGCTTAATATAGCAAGTTTTATTTGATTTTTATATTTCCAGGAAGATTTTGCTTTATCCTTGGAAAGTCTTTCCGAGTCGAATGAACTCTTAACCCTGAGCGAATCATCCGGAAGTCCCAATGAAAATAAGAGCGTGCGATTTAGTGACCGAATTCAGCAGAAAATTTATCGTAGTAATTCTTCGATTTTGGGACAACGGAAGAAAAATCAACGCAAGAACAAGAATAAACGGAAAAATCGAGAACGGCACAATTCTGAAGGTTCTGCTTCATCATTTGATGAAGATCATGAACCTTTTCACCATCAACAATCATCATCCTCCCGTTCTGCCGACGCTGGTGGTGAATTATCCTGTGGGTTCAAAAAGAATAAAAAGCCCTGCAAGTCCATGTCTTTAGAATAGCATGCGAAAATTTTTACCTGTGATTAACTAATTTACCAAATATGACTGTGTATGGATTATCCTGACTCTGTCAATTCGCCGCCGGATCTTTCAATTCGTTATCATATGTATTTATAGTCAATAGTCAAGATATCCGGTGATCTTATAGTAATCTTAATACATATTCGATTCGGCGCAGAACATGTATGTACCTTTAGAAAATTTGTCATGAATTACAATAATTTTGGTATTATTATTATGCATTTGTCAACAAACCAAGCAATTTTGAACGTTTGTACAAACAAGCCGCCCCCCCCCATCCATGCAAACTGTAGTATTGCCCTGATATTAGAACCTAGCTATTTATGTAGTGTGCTATGCAAACAAACAAAATGCTACGAAATAGCTTATAAATTGAGTGTTACATACATAATTTCTATAATGAATATTTACAAAAAAACAATTCCTGCGTTATAAAAACCCACAAACAATGGTGAGTAATAATGTTGCTAATAAGTAAGCCTATATGAAATAATTAAACACATATTTAGTCGTAGAACGATGTGTATGCTACAATTATACTGGAAAGCAAATGTATTTTACAAAATTTATCTTAATCAATTAAAAAAGTCCTATCTGGTCAAATTGTCGGATTTTCGCAATCTCGAATTATATGAAACTGTCGGTCAACTGCTCGCAAAAAAGTTGATACGATTTATCAACAATTTTAAAAAATGTACAATTTGTGGCCGAACGAAAACACGGTATACAACAGGTATCTAAAATTTAGATTCTAAATACTAATAAATAAATGAGAGTGAGAAGCTCTATTTAACCTATTTAAATCAGGTGAAATACTTTCCTGTGAAATGTAAGCTAATATTGGGTACACGGTCTCAAAAAGTACAATTGATTCTATGCATAATTATTATAATTAACGTATTTATTACAGGTACATATTTGTCTTACATTCAAAAACTAAATAAATCGGTTCAATCAAAGAAAGGAATTAAGTTATGATAAATCGGTTCAATCAAAGAAAGGAATTAAGTTATGATAAATCGGTTCAATCAAAGAAAGGAATTAAGTTATGAATTAATTGTGAATTTTTGAGCATACAAAGAACAGCATGGATTGGATGGGTAGAAAGTCGTGTCGACTTTCTCCGTAGTTGTGCGTGTGTGATATTGAGCGAGTACTAATAAAGTGTGCTGCTGACTGACATGAAGAAGATTCATGATTTTATATTTATTAATAGTTCTATGATTTGGTTGTAAGGAATAAAATAAAACAAAACGTTTTTGTTAATACACAACATTATCTTATTGTGTTCTAAAAGGCTCAAAAAATTCTACGAATTGGAACGTTGTTATAAAAAGGTGTGATAATAATTCCTGGCTGTCAGAAAAGCCAATACGAAAAATATAAGTTTACTCTTCTATAATTAATTTAGGTGTCTGAGTTTTGGAAGTATGCAATGTTTAAGTGAGATTTGAGATTGCAACAGACAAATTTGTATGTACATAGGAATATCTGCGTACATGTTTAAATTTGTAACGTGTTATCAGAGATTATCACAAGCGAAATACGAGATCAGGTTTTGGAGATTTGTTTGCGAAATTATTTAGCTTTTCGAGTAGTACAATTAAATAATTCCAATGAAATCAACGTTATATTAGGAGGATTAATAATGTGGCAATAAGTAATTGCGGATTGTTAGTGAAAGGAGGAGTAGGAGAGGATGCGGTTATCGAAATTCACGTGCTTACTGCTCATTTTGATTATCGGGTTGTCCGTCTTCTTGGCTAAAGTCTCGAATTTGATACGGGTCAGCTATGACGATTTTGAAGCGTTCGACGAGGCTCACGGTGGTCCCAACCAGAAGGTTACACCTCATCCTGACCCCTCCACTTTTGTTATTGGAGATTCTGCAGAACCCCTCCTCTGGTTTTTACAAGTAATTCTTGAATTATTTAAAATCTCTACGTACTCTTATCTCTGATAAGTATTGTTTCTTGCAGATTTCGGATATTCATATCAGCGTCTTCCATGATCCAGATAGAATCAACGAATTCAGGCAGTTTTGTAATGTTACTGTCGACGTTATCAAGCCGTCTGTTGTTGTTGCATCAGGTACATATGTATATAAGTTATATTTAATGGATTTATTATACCGGCTCCGGTTGAAATATTTTATCATTTTTAAGGACATTTTTCTTGTGTAATTTTTCAGGAGATCTCGCAGACGCCAAACAAATTGACAACATGGTTTGAAACGTTATTTTATAATATTTATTTTGTTATAATAAAGGTCAATAACAACCATCAAATTACTTTCATTCAGGGGTCCAGGCAGTTCAGAGAAGAATGGATATATTACAGTGAAATTTTACGTGAAACAAAAGTAGGCGATAGAACTTTATGGCTCGATATACGTGGAAATCACGATAGCTTCAACGTCCCCAGCATTCATCAACATACGAGCTTTTACCACCAGTACTCAATCCAAGGGAAACAGCATAGACGTTCATACATGTACACCATTGCTGACGGGACGGAAAAATATTCATTCATCGGCGTTGACGCTACTTTAAACCCCGGTCCAAGACGTCCTCTGAATTTTATTGGGAGAATAACTCCAGAAGAGTACGAAGATTTGGAGAAGTTTGAGGCTGAAAGTCGTGACAGTAATGCAACAATCTGGTTTGGACATTATCCAACGTCATGCATAATATCGCCAAATCCGGGATTCCGAACTTTAATGAAAAATGCCGTGGCGTATTTGTGTGGACATTTGCACACTTTAGGTACACTAATTAAACTGCAATGGTTAAAAACTGCATTTTATTAAGTAGGTCATTTTATTGAAGTCGCTATATAGCTTTGTTCTCTTTCCCAAGGAGGTACAGTGCCAAACATGTATACTAGGCAGCATAATGGATTTCTTGAATTGGAATTGGTAAAGTCATTGTATATACTTTTTACATCAAACACGTTGATCATATTTATACTTTCATGCAGGGGGACTGGAAAGAAAATCGATTGTAAGTGGATAAATATTATAATTAATTATCCACACATATATTTTGGCCATCGAATTGCCTTACTTGACGCATATAAAGTTATTGAAGTTGTAATCCATTGCGTAATATTTATATTTTAGGTATCGCTTAGCTGCTTTTGATCATGGACTTTTTTCCTTTGTTGATGTTCCTTATGGGACATGGCCCGTAATTCTAATCACAAATCCAAAACATGCATTATTTAATTTACCAAGGAAGGACAATTTGAATTTTATGAGCAATTCTACACATATCAGGTAGGTGACATGTGTTAAATTGGAATAAGTTTAAAAAGTTATCATTCCAGTTTGTAAGAAATATTGTTTCATTAATTGATTTTGATTTCTTTATATGTATTTATGAGATAAGATATAATAACCGTATATGAATTTATGTGCTAGATTATTGGTTTTTTCTCCAAGCCCATTGGAAACTGTTCGTATCAAACTTGATAACGACGATTGGGTTGAATGCCACGGTATTGAGGGTCCCTTGTATGTCGCTGGCTGGAATTCTCAAAAGTATGCACTTGGGGTTCATCAGATTTATGTACGTTAACAATATTTAGTTAGCATTTTAAGTTATATAATATATGTTATATTAATGGTTTAATGAATATGTACATAAAATATTTTTTAGGCATACGCAAGAAACAGAGATGGCCAAGCCGCAGAAATTAATCAGCCATTCGCATTAGATGATAGCAGATTACATTTTCGACTGCTTCCAAGAGTAGCACTAATGACAGACGCTACGACGGTGGTAATTGAATATTTACATTAATTGTTGCATACATACAAATATTTACAATCATAACTGTACTCAATTAATCTCTCTCTTATTAAATTCCAGTTTTACAGCGTCTTTATGACACTAGTTGTATTATCGGTGTCGCCATTATTATCAATTCGTATTCTTCAGATGCTAGTCAAAAGTTAGCACACACCTTTATACCAGTTTGTTTGAATCTAGATTTACAATAATGTATAAACTTTTTTGAAATTATAGAAAAATGGGTGGCGGGACCAGAATTGAGAAAATCTCACAAATGCAGTGGTCTCTTTAGAAAATTATGGATTCTTTGCACAATCAATAAGCTATTTTATCCCCTAGTTCTGTATCCTATATATTTAACAATAGGTATGTTACATTACATTATAGTTTCACTGTCATCGGGTTTCTGTACTTACAATGGAGGTCTCCCAACGTATGCTCACAGATTTGGACGAAATTAGTGTCAATCGATCACAAATATAATTAGCATGAAATTTGCAAATGGAACTTTCTGCCAATGCGCATGTTTGGCGGAGATATTTGCATAAAAAGAGGAGAAAACGCACCAAAAGGCTGGCATATTTTTCATTTTCCAAATTTCCTGCGCATTTTTCTGCTTTGGATGCAAATATCTCCGCCAAACCTGCGTATTGGCAGATAGTTCCATTTACAAATTTCATACTAATTAAATTTGTGATCGATTGACACTAATTTCGTCCAAATCTGTGAGCATGCGTTGGGAGACCTCCATTGTTAGACTGATATTGTCAAATACATATTTTTCTGTAGGACCTTGGTTTGTTGGCGAAGTTATAGACGGTCAGTTGGGGGCAGCCTTTGCCTGGGGTACCTTTGTTGATGGCACCCTATTACCAGGTATATATATTATGTGTTCCAGCAAACAGTTGCATACTTTATTTAGACCTTTTATTCTTATTCATTTTGATTTGAACGGTACTTAAGATATTTATTCTTCGCAAACTTTCGTATGCCTTTATTCTTGCTTCTTGAACAATGTACATTATTATACGTATTATGTGCATGTACGGCATTATGTATGCATTACGCATTATGTGCATGTACGGCATGCATTTTTCTGAAACTATATTTTTATTTTTACAGGTGCATTTTCATACTTTTACGGTGTTATTCAGGTAAAGTCATCACTTCTTAATTATCTCTTCAGCAATACAGATCTGTAATCAATTTAACCATTGTTTTTTTTAAATACAAACAGCTCTTTTGGTTTCACATGCCATTCATCGTCGTGTTGAGTCATTGCGTGGACCTTAGGTATTGATGTAGTACTTTTACGGTTATTTAGTTAGTTAGTCTACACTTTATAAACACTACTTTTTTAAAGATTCAAGATGGTATGTCTGGAAGGAAGATTCTGTTCATACTCGTCACAAGTCTGGAACAATTTGCCATGCGCTATTCTATTATTTTTCCAAGCAATATTTGCATATTTCTTCTACTTGGCGTACGGAACTATGGCGCTTTTTCTTGGACCTCTAAGAACTTGGTCAGTCATCATGGGAGCTTATTTGTGGTATGTCAACAAATTACCAAATTGCGGGTCATTCTTTGACGTAATATAGTTTCCCGAAAGTAACACATGTATAGTGACAAGTCAAATATCACGTGCCAATTACGATACGCTAAATCGTTATCCTTCAATAAGTTTTGAATGGGCATATAAAGGCTTAATTTTGTATTTACCAAAATCATCTTAATTTTTGGGTGAGGTAACACATCTCGAGGGTATTAAATATATAGTAAACATAAGCACATGTTAAGGCCTTGTCTACCTTTTGAGCAACATTCTTCCCAAATACTTATTCCAATAATGATTTTTTTTCGTTACAGGTACACTTCTGCAACTTTAAGTCAGCAAGATTTCACGGAATCCAAAAAAACTTGGGGACACCGTGAGTGTTACAATGCTGTCAACAACGGGGGAGTCATCGGTTCTCACGAAATGTGAAGTAAACTTTCAAGAAAATTCAAATGAACAATAATAAGTAGATATAATAACCAAGAAAGATTGCTATCTAAATTGATCTTTCAACCAATTCGTAACTTTTATGATGACAAAAATGGACAACTTTTGATGCTATTCAAAGTTTCAAGAATTTAGACTTGGTTGTTCAGAGAAGACCAATTTTACGTTAGAAATTTATCTACAATAAGTTGTGAAAGAAGAGTAGTCTGTGATGTTCCATAGTTTCAATTATATCCTTATGGGGGCAATATTTCAATTTTCCTATATAGATAACAGGTAAATTGAAACATTGCAAATGTGGCATATTTTGTAGTTTGACATTTGTTTACCCATTTGTATTATTATTTTTAAATACTATTATTACTATAGATATATTTATTCTGCTGCATTTATTTGTGACAAATTGTTGGTACGTTTTCATAATTGTGTTTTGTAATTTATTAATACTGCCCCATATCCATGTTTTAAAAGTGACCACGCATTCTAATTTCTAATCCAGGAATTGAGGAATGTTTTAATATGTACGAATTGACAATGTAATTCCAAACATTGGTGCTCAGCTAGTTAGCAGTGAATGAATTTAATGTAAAAGATACCCGTATCATCATTTTTCAGTGGTGCCAATCTTGAATCAAAGAAATCATTTATGTAGATAAAACATAACAGATTATAAAATGAGATCAGTATGTTAAAACTACTATAATCATGTATACATATTCAAATAGGTATGATTAATTTATTATGACGGAACGTACCAAATTAAAACAATAACAACGTCAAGTCTATACTTACATATGTTTGTACATATACACATATCATAAATACTTCGTGAATCCCTTTATTCATCATCATCTTCATCGTCGTCATTGCCAGTAATTGGCTTATGCATACCATATCTAGCATTCAGAAGGCGTTTAATGTTTGCATCAACTTTTGACAGCGACACATCTTGACGAACACTTCTCTGAAATTATATAGAACGATACAGAAAATGATTATACTACGTTACAATTTTTATTAGAGTTCAACAATTATGTTTGTTCAGAATTGATGTTTACCTCTATTTCTTGAACAACTTGAAATTCAAATCTTCTAGCAATAAAGTTGGTCACCTTACATTTACCCGTAGAACCAACTCTTCCCGTTCGCCCACATCGATGTATATAGTCAGCGGTAAACATTGGAAAGTCGTAGTTAAGGACATGTCGTGTCTGGTCAAGTTTCATAATTTAAGAATCACGACAATAAGAAATAGAAATATACATAGTAAAGAACAAATGAATAAAACTGACCCGAATTGTATTAATACCACGTGAGCCCAAGTCAGTACAGATCATTATATTAACGTTGCCATTTTGATATTTATCCATTAATCCTTTCCTATGCATGGGGCGTGTCTCGCCATGTACAGCAATACATGGAATATTATTGTCAGTCAACATGATACGCAGCCAGTCGCATGTTTTGGTAGTATTGCTATTTTTGCAAGTGTAAGACCGGTAAGTCACTTAATAAATATTTTAAATATACATAAATTAATACATATTTGAAGATGATCAAGATTTACCAGAATATTATGAGGGGATTCTCAGTTTCTAAATCAATCTTCACAATTTCGAGAAGCTTTTCAGGTTTCTGACTCTTTCTTAGGCGAAGAAAATTTTGTGGAACGTGTGACATGACACAATGTATATTTGGAGTAGAAATTCGGTTCATACTTTCCTCCTATACAGAAAATATAACCCTTTGCAAATTTCAAGACAGGAGAGATTAAGAGAGATTCTATAAAAGTAAATATAGCTACATATCTTACGGGCACAAGCTCAGCAACGGTTGATTCCACAGTTTTAGGCAACGTTGCACTGACCAAGCTTAACTGTGTTACGTGGTGTTGTCCAGGGTAAAACTATGTACAACAATCAAAATTATATGACATTTTATACCAAATTAATAAAAATACATATGCAGCAAGAAGTAGTTTAGTCAGATGGCTTACATTAAAACTCCGTAAAAAATTGATCACATCGGGTGAAAAACTGTCATCCAATAATGTGTCGGCCTCATCCAAAACAACATGATGTACTTTGTTAATTCCATACACTCCAGCCGATTTTAGCGTGGATACCACATGGATCGTAGATATTAATAAATCAATAACGTCGGAAGCTGGAGTGGCTATTTTTGATCCTAAATTCCCATGTTGGAGTAATTTTACGTTGACTCCCAACCCGTATGAGAGTTTTGTAGCAACATACTAAATATGCAATAAGGTACACCCGAATAGATATATAGTAATTATTGGTAAACAAATATGCAGGGCTATGTCACATAACTGGAATACATACATATATAATATTTATGCTTATAATAACTTACAAATATTTGACTAGCAAGCTCATGACTCGGCACTAAAATGATGGCCAAAGGTTGATTAGCTCCACGTCTTAATCGCCTCTTCTTTTCAACCAATATTTGCTGAATCAGAGGAATCATGTACGCCAAAGTTTTACCACATCCCGTCTCCGCAGTTATAAGATTGTGAGACCCCTTCATAATTTGAGGAATTGCAAGTTCCTGTAAAGTGTGGTCAATATCGGGATTAAAATATTTTCAAAGATAAAAATCATTCATTATTGTATATACCTGAACTAATGTAGGTTTCAACGCCTTGTTATCATGTAGCCTGGTCACAATTTCTGCTTTTATACCTAAATCCTCGAACGTTGTGTCTTTTACTGTTGTAGAAAACCCGAATGCGGCCTGTAACAAAATAGCTCGTTTTTCATACATGGGTGTGACCAGATAGTGTTTTAATCATTTTATTTGATTACCGGTTTCACTACAGGCTTAATTCTGAACCAATCCCCTGCTGCTTTTCGATGATGCCAATTTTTTGAAGCCAGTGGAATTTCTTCTCCTCTAGCATAAGACTGACCCAGATAATAATTAAAAATTGGTAGTTTACAGTTGATAATCGCTTTCTAAAATGACAAGGTGAAGGGGGAACATATCATTAAATTAAAGCATACGTGCATGCGCTAAGAATTATTAATAAGCATTACCGACGAATTTCCTGCCCTAGATTTCTCCACAATCTTCATCCTCTGATGACCTCTCGTACTCTCCTTTATCATTTTTCGTTCTAACCGATTCTTCAAATGGACTGGAACAGTGATGACGTGGTCGTCAGCACGTGGCGTCGGATCTTCGGCTACGTTTTCTTCCGGACCCTTGTAGACGAGTTGGGGTACAGAATGAAGTCCTCGTCGGGATAAGTCAACAAGAATCGACCCACAAAACGATGATGATAATGCTGACGCCGCATCTCGACGATTGCAAAGACTGTTGTATGAAGTTGATGATCTATTTATTGAATCCCAGATGGATGAACAGTGAAAAGTGCACACTGGGAAGTGAGAGTTATGTAATGTGAGATACTTTGTAAAAACAATTTTTGAGACCATTTTTAATGAATTAATCAATTAAACAAAGACGGTGTAGACAATGCACACTGTACATTGCATGTATAACTAAATGCAGAAATTGCACTGCTGAACATGTGAAACTGCATCGCGGTGCTATAAGAGTATCTCAATTTTCCCAAATTCCAAGTTTAAAGTAACGAAGGCTTCCATTTATTTTTACATCATTGTTATTGTTAGCCTCAGTCTTCCAAAACGTAACAAGAACCGTTTTATTAACGTTTAAACACTAAATGACGAACAAGTACTTGTTTTGGAGGATAATTTATGGGGTAGGTTGTCGAATTAAGCGAATATTTTTTCTTCGCGTCTTTTCTTTGTGACCACGGTTCCAGGCTTGTGTTGTGCGTCGGGATGATTTGCCAAATCCGGTGGACAAGTAGATACTGGACTGTTTACCAGTAATTGTTTCAAATCGTAGAAGAGTGCAGAGTCGTCCTTTGTGAGGAAAGTGATGGCAATACCGTTCTTTCCAGCTCGGCCAGTACGTCCGATACGATGTGTATAATCTACAAATTAAAGGATATTATTGAGTGTCAATGATAGAGCTGAAAAATTTTAACATGGTAAAATCCGAAACTCGTACCTTCAATTGACTTGCCCATATCGTAGTTAATAACAAGTGACACATCCTTGATATCAATACCTCGACCAGCGACATCAGTTGCGACCAAAATGTCCTTGGATCCACTCTTGAGACTTTGAAGAGCATAATCACGCTGTTCTTGTCCCTTGCCTCCGTGAAGGGTGCATGAACTGTACTGTAATTTAAACGCAACATTTTAATTATTCACATTTTCTATTTCCACTTTCACTTTAATATAAAATACATACCCCCATTTTCTCCAGGCCTTTGGCTGTAATAGTAAATAGTACAAGATAAACAGTAAAACAATTTAGTTCGAGTTAGCAAGGATTTTTTAAGAGATGACATAACAAAAGGGTAGGAAGAAATTGTGATTACAAGCAGAAATTAATAGATTGCAGGTAAGACATCACATATTGATTGTACCCTGTCGATCGATCACAGACGCACCGTAACTGGTGCTCCAGTGATTTCAATTTTAACTATGCGATTGCAAGTGGTGCATACTTAAAATGGAACTTACCCAAAACATCTGCTCCTTTTTTCTGGTTGACAAAAATAATGATTGGAGGTTCCACGCCTCGTTCTAAATAAAAAAGGAAACAAATGGATCAAGAGATTAAAAACGTACCCAAAAATATAGTTTGAATAATTAGACAGTACTCAATTTAAACATAAAGCGTAACCTTACCTAAAACTTCCACTAATTTTTTTCTCTTCTCGCCTTCTGAAAGAATATAACAGATTTGTTCCACACGCTCCGTAGGCTTGCCAATGGAACCGATGTAGACCACAGCAGGTCTTCTCAGGTATGTTCGTGCTAATCTTTCAACAGCTAATTGGGTAATGAAATAAAAATGAATTAGTTAGTGGGACCGTACAAAGGTTGAACCAAGGAAGAAATATTGAAAAGTACCTGGTGGCATCGTAGCAGTGAACATCACAGTCTGTGATAAATAGAAAAAAACAAATATATCCCACAATAAATATAAATAGAACTTTAATTCAGATAAATATTTGGAATCCTGCTTTTGGGTCTTACTTGTCGGAATTTATTTTTAGAGTAAAAATTACTCATCAATATTTTCTCATCTTCAGCATCATCTGTATCCGGTTTCTGATTGGTCACTGGCATAAAATCTAAAATTTTCTTGACATCCTCCTCAAAACCCATGTCTGCAAAACGAAAATATTATTTGCTACTGCAGTATTAAAATGTAAATATGTAAATACATAGGCTGATGCGTACCAATCATCCGATCAGCTTCATCAAGGACAATATATGTGCACTGATTGAGAACAAGGTATCTATTTTCAAGAACATCTATTAGACGTCCAGGAGTTGCAATAACAATCTAAAATTTGAAAAGCACAACCACATATTTAAGAAGCAGTTTTCAAGAAAATCATACAACTTTTGCATACCTCGCATCCCATTCGCAGTTTAAAACCTTGATCCTCCCGGGATAGACCACCAATGACAGCAACGGTGCGGATTCCCAAAGGTTGTCCAAACTTGACAGATTCCTCTTCAATTTGTTGAGCTGAAATTTCCGAAATTGGAACATTCAAAATTACATTGTTTTGTAGAGTCGGCCAATATACTGAATGAACACTGAACGGTACACAAAATGCCCATTCTTCAACAAAATTTTATACAGTTATTTAACCTACCCAACTCTCTTGTGGGAGCAAGAATAATGGCATATGGCCCCTGATCTTGATCCGCAGCCTGAGATGTGTCCACTTTCGGCAACGATTCGATCCACACCAAGAGAGGAATCAAAAACGCTGCGGTTTTACCAGACCCAGTTTCAGCAACACCGATTATATCTCGATTCTAGAAATTGTAAAGAAATGTCACTTATCAAATATCCTCATCATAACCAAAATTATAAACACAATATATTTGCGCACGTACAAGGAGACCAATAGGAATAGCCTGTCTCTGAATAGGAGTTGGTTCCGTATATCCAACTTTGTCAATGATATCTAAAATGTTTTTAGGTATGACGGATTCCTTCCATGATCTGAATGGGTTTGGAATTCTTCCTCCCTTGATAGAAATGTTGTAATCTTCTCTAAAAATACGCCAATCACGCTCATTCATATCGTCAGACGACTTTTCATTCCAGTGTCGGTCATCCCATTTTTGTTTCTCTTCACGCTTCTTTTCTTTCTTAATTCTGGACCTGAAAACAAAATACACAAATAAATAGATATAAGGCATTAGAAAAAGTTAACAAAAAATCAAACTTTACTTTTCTTGTTCCTTTTCTTCTTCCGTTCTCCGTTTTTCTAACAAATCGCCATAAAATCTTGACTGATTTTTTTTCTGTGCTAGAAGCAAAATAAAGAATTATAAATGGTCGATCGTATTTGTGCCCTGGCACAAGTTATTCCGTACTACTGTATGGTCCGTACAGTAGGATAAACAGCGCAAGTGGGGCATAAATGATCTAATTAATATTCAGGTGGCAAGAACACTCGGCAAAACTCATATCAAAACTCATATCATATTAGAGAATTACTCGGCGATCCCTCACTATTAATGTTGGTGATAACAATGATTTGAATTTTGATGATGAGTATTATTAGTTAACTTATTTCATTGATAATGTTTTTCCGATAATACAACCATTTGATATTATCATAGAAAAACATTATACGTCGGAATTTAAATATTTGTTCAACCTTTGATGTCAATTCCTCCAATGTGTCCTCTTCCATAGAATTGTACATGATGCCTCTCCTTATACAAAGGGTTATAATCTGTAGAAGTATCTTCTGTAGCATCCCAGTCGAATACGAATTTCCGTTCATTCAGTCTTCTCATTCTCCGCTTTCGTTTTACCATCCCAAGATATCTGTCTTTAATAGCTAAAGGCAGGTAAGGACAAAAAATGAGAAATAATTTAGTAAGATACTGGATTCCGGTACTAATTTCACCACCCTCTTTAGTAAAGATCTGAAAATTTATTTAAAATTTTGAACCCCTCCCATAAAATAATTGTCAAATAAAATAAAAACAAAAAATACGAGGCTACTCTCAACAATTCCGAAAACAGGGATCGGCATTTTGTAGAAGAATTGTACAAGTATTTAGCTGGAAATACCCTCACTGTTAATGTTATTCCCATGAATATTATTGCTTTTAAAGATGTATTTTTTAAGTATCAGGACGATTTCAACTATCTATAAAAGAAGATATATATATTCGTACCTCCTAATTCTTTTTCCTTGTCCTTTTCAGAAAGTTCCACTTCTCCAATCTAGTAAGAACAAAACAATAAAGGTCGTAAAACTTAGTGGGGATCAGAACAATATTCAAACGTATGTGATGTGAATGTGATCTAATTTAAGGATAACAAATATCTACCTTGTCATCTTTATCGTCCTTGTCCTTGTTCCTTTCTCTCATTTCTCGTTCTCGTTCACGCCGACGAGCCTCTCGATCTCGCTCTCTGTCAGATTTTTTTGAATCTTCGGCTTCTTTCTGGAAATTCATCCGCTTTGATCTCTCCTCGGCCTGCTTTTTCCTAACATTCTCCACCTCTTCTTGTCGTTTCCGCAATGCTTCCGCTTGGCGTTCCTCCTTGGTTAGAAACTTCGGCTGCAATTATCAAATCACATTAATTTATTTTCTGTAAAATGCAGAGATATGAAAAGTTTCAAAGTTCAAAGTTTTCGAAGATCATGAAAATTTTCTCGTTCCACAAGATAAATCTTCCAAACTAAAGATAAAAGATTAAGATAGAAGATGATACAGCGCAAGATCAAGATCAAAAGATGAAGCAAAGATATTATCTGAAGTACCAGAACAAGATGTTATCTTGATCTGGTATCTTCTGAGATAATAATGTTGCCTATCTCTGTTAAAAGTAAAATTATGCATTACGTCAAATAATAAATTATAGTGAAACCCACCTTGCTTCGTTCCTCCTCCTCTGCCTTCTTCTTGGATAACAGCTCCTCCAAAGAGAGTGGTTCTTTCTTCACCTTGGGTTTCACCTCCTCATCCTCTAACAACTCCCCGTCCTCCTTTTTGAACAATTTGTTTCCGGGGGCTGGCGGTGGTCGCATCCAGTCAACGCCATCCACCTTGGCCTTTTCATCCTTAACCCCCTTCCGATCCCCAGGGGGAGAACGACCTCCTCGCCGATTGCTATTATTGCCATCTCGCTCTCGTTCTCTTGACCTCGATCTCCTGCTCCCTGATCGTGAATCCTTTGTTGATGAGGGAGGAGACCGGCCTCGTTTCTGCGGACTTCGATTCGTCCTGGATTTGTCGTCCCCATTACTGCGACGCTTGCTGGATGGCGATCTCGATCTTGATCTCGACCTTTTCCGTCTTTGTTGTTCTGATTTTGCAATATCTTCATTGTTTGGAGATTTCTTGACCTGAGAAGTTCCGTTTTCAGAGGTAGGGGTGATCTTGTCCTTGTCGTCTAACATTATAGCTGCTGTTGTTTTCTTTACTATGTTAAACTTTTTTAGTTAATAATTTTCTACAATAAAAAATCAAAATCTTGTAGGAATTATTTTTAAAGACTGAAGATAGAATATGACGTTAAGCAACAATAAGTAGTTCCTCGAGTTTGCAGCCACTTTTGGAAAAGATCCACTTGCCCCGTTCATTTTTCATTTCCGTAGTGTTTCGTATGTTGTCACCCCCGCCGCCTACCGCCTACCCATAGGTACTCCCCAGCGCCTACTTTTTATCGCCTACTTTTAGGCACCCCCCAGCGCCTACTTTTCATCGCCTACCCATAGGCACTCCCCACCGCCTACTTTTACCGCCTACCAAAAAATTTCAAATTTCCCCAAATTTTCAAAAATCTCAAATTTCCCCAAAATTTTCAAAAATCTAAAATTTCCCCAAAAATCTCAAATTTCCCCAAAAATCTCAAATTTCCCCCAAAAATCTCAAATTTCCCCAAAAATCTCAAATTTCCCAAAAATTTCAAATTTCCCAAAAATCTCAAATTTCTCGAAGGGAAACTATTCCAGAATAACTGGCTGAATAGGATAAAAAATCTTCCGCTTTACTCAACCTGCTGATCACGTGACAGAGCCGAGAAATCAGCGCCGTAATGAGCTGAATTATCCTATTATTTTACGCTGGTTTATTTTATTTTGGCGTTTAAATTATTCAATTCTGGTCAAGAATTTGGGTAATTGAATGATTTTTACGCCAAAATAAAACAAACCGGCTTACACGGCTAACATATTTATTTCGATTACATTAGCCGGTAAACCGAATTATCCTATGAAAGTCATTCAATTACCCAAATGCTTGGCACGAATTGAATAATTTAAACGCCAAAATAAAATAAACTAGTGTAAAATAATAGGATAGTTCGGCTCACTCGGCTAATGTAACGGCGATGAGGTCCATGCCTGGTTTTCACCGTGCGACACATAAATTTTGTTTGTGATAACGTGGGCTACGGCGCTGCTCTGAAAATCTCATATTCACCCGTAATAAACTTGAAAGCGGCCAGATTTTGAATTTAAGTCTATCCTATCCAGCTAGTTACTTTACAATAAAAACTAGTCTCTTAAGCCCGCAATGCGGGCTCTAAGCAAAACGATTTTATTTAGTCAGCGCCACAAATGCCTGCCGAATAATTGTTACACATTTACATTTATAGAACAAAGGAGCGTGGATTTGATTGTCACGTTGTATAGCACGACGTTTAATAATAGAGTTCGTCACGTCACGATTCTAACCTGTGTAACTGCGAAAAACGTTCACGACTCTAAAGGGTGTGAGCACGAAAAACGTTCAGTCACGACTCTAAAGGGTGTGACCACGAAAAACGTTCAGTCACGACTCTAAAGGGTGTGACCACGAAAAATGTTGGGTCACGACTCTAAAGTGTGTGACCACGAAAAACGTTCGGTGACGACTCTAAAGTTTGTGACCACGAAAAACATTCCGTCACGACTCTAAAGGGTGTGACCACGAAAAACGTTCGGTCACGACTCTAAAGGGTGTGACCACGAAAAACGTTCGGTCACGACTCTAAAGGGTGTGACCACGAAAAACGTTCTCTAAAGGGTGTGACCACGAAAAACGTTCTGTCACGACTCTAAAGGGTGTGAATACGAAAAACGTTCGGTCACGACTCTAAAGTGTGTGACCACGAAAAACGTTCGGTGACGACTCTAAAGTGTGTAACCACGAAAAACGTTCGATCGCGACTCTAAAGGGTGTGACCACGAAAGACGTTCGGTCACGACTCTAAAGGGTGTGACCACGAAAAACGTTCTCTAAAGGGTGTGACCACGAAAAACGTTCGGTCACGACTCTAAAGGGTGTGACCACGAAAAACGTTCTCTAAAGGGTGTGACCACGAAAAACGTTCAGTCACGACTCTAAAGGGTGTAACCACGAAAAACTCTCTTTCACGACTCTCAAGGGTGTGACCTCGAAATACGTTCAGTCACGACTCTATAGGGTGTGACCACGAATAGCGTTCGGTCACGACTCTAAAGTGTGCCATTGTTCTAACGTTTTAAAAACGTTGAGGCACTAAAAGCGAAAGCCCGCCCTCTAGCGCTGAAAAACAACCAAAGTCCGATAGGTGGCGCTGGTAGGTAATTAAAATTAGTAAGGCACAGGTCAAGTGTCAACTATACCGTGGGGCACACAGGCCCAGGTCACAGGTCGTGTGTCAAGTATGATGGGTGTGCCCACGTCACAGGTCAAGTGTTAAGTGTGCCCACGTCACAGGTGAAGTGTGAAGTTTAGTGGGTGTACCCAGCTCAGAGGTCAAATGTCAAGTTTAGTGGGTGTGCCCAGGTCACAGGTCAAGTGTCAAGTACAGTGGGTGTGCCCAGGTCACAGGTCAAGTGTCAAGTACAGTGGGTGTGCCCAGGTCAGAGGTCAAGTGTCAAGTATAGTGGGTGTGCCCAGGTCAAGTGTCAAGTATATAGAGTGTGCCCACGTCACAGGTGAAGTGTCAACTTTAGGGGGTGTACGCATGTCACAGCAAATGTCAAATCTAAGGGGTAAGCTCGTTCATTTGATCAAGTCTCGGCAGATCCAAAGGGTGTGTTTCGTCAACGTTTTGGAAACGTTTTGACACTTTAGCGAAAAAGCCCTCTAGAAACGAAAAATGAAACATAGTGCCAAAACTGCCGCTAGGTGACATTAGCTTGGACAATGTGAGACACGTGTGTAATCAAGCGCCAAGCTCAACTGGTAACACACACACACACACACACACACACACACCACTGCACAATTCTTGGTTCTGATATCTAGCTAACTTATAATAACAGGGCATCAGTGATGAATTAATCTAATTAATTAATCCGAAGTGTAAAGTAAAATGCGTACCAATAACTAGAAAAAAACTGAAGTAAAATATATAGAAGTATTTATTTACATTGATGAGGAATTTATTTAGTATTTTATCATATTTTTGTCAACCAAATGGTGCTTATTCTGTGCTTCTGGCCTGCAGGGGTGAACTTATGAAGTTTATCAGGTTGAAGGCCGTTGTATATATATTTGACTCCTTTCCATGCCACCACAGTTTTGTAGTGATCATTAGAGAAGACAGTGTATGCAAAGAGTTTGTATTTAGTTTTCAAAATTGTTTGCACACCAGGCACATCACGCTCTTGGGGATCTTCGCCGCCCGTATGTGCCAGAAGATGGTGGTGGGCCGGTCGTGGGCCACTGATAGGAAATTATGCACTTAGCATTATTACATCCTTCGCATGGATCTTCAATGCGTGAGCTGCACATGAGTGGTAACAAATCTGGCCTCCGGACGACCAGTCCACTTGTCGGGTTTACAAGCTGTTCACCATTTTGAGGACATTCATCATTGTCACAAGTTCTTAATTGCACCATCTGCAGGAGACCGGCTAATTTCAAAAGAAGCGAATCTTCGGAATCAAAAGTATCCAATTTGTTGCCCTTTGGCTTAATTTTCATTAAGTCAATAGATAGATAGATAGATAGATAGTTTATTCAGATTGATTTGGCGGCGGCCTTTACAATCATAATATTATTAGAATTAAAGTAAATTAAATGGTTGGTCTTGGTCTTACATATGTATATATTAATTAGGATTGAGATTTATAGTTCATAACAGTTTTTAAAAATACATAAATATTTTGCATGGTTTCTTTACTTGGTCGAGAAAAACGTGATACAGCATTATTTGGATCATTAAAATTACTAATTAAGTTATTTCTACATTCGTTATATTTAGTGCATACAAAAAGTACATGATAGGTGTCTTCAACATTTCCACACTCACAATGTGTACATATCGGATCTACAAGGTTATCATAGAAATTATTTAGTGCTGCTAATTTAACAGTGGTTTTACTACAGGTAAATTGTGATATATTTGCTCTACATTGTACGGTGGAGCTTGTGATTGGCCATGGTTGGTCAGTATTGAGAAATTCATTGGATTTAATTTTTGTATATAGGAGTTTGTAGTTTGGCATAGATGTGCCATTTTGCATTTTTAAAATGTCATTTTCAAGGGATTGATTATATATTTTACGGATGCATGTCATTGAATGGATTTAAGTTTTCAAAGATCGATTTTAGGGGAGTTGAACAGGATGGTGATAAATATGTAAATATTAGACCAATCTTAATGTGATCTACATACTGAATATGTATTGCTTCAACAGTTTGTTTCATAATCTTAATTTTTGAAATGATACTATTATGTATTGCAAGTATGTGCCCGTTTGAACATCTACCATAATTTGAAGTTCTTGTACCAAATGATTCATAAATATTATACTGCTCTATAATTGGTTTATAATTAAATGTATAGGTATGCCAAGTTTCAGAAAGAAAAAATACCAAAGGTTGATTCTGAAGAATTTCATTATAAAACGTTTTGTCTTTTCTAGCAAGTCCCTCGATGTTCCATGCAATAATTTTGAAGTTGTTGGGAAGATTTGGGTGGTCTGGTCGTCGTGATGAGGTCGTTAGTAGAGGCGGGCCATATCGTCAGGTGTGAGTCGTTTGTGAGTACATTCGATCTGGGTTGTGTTGGGTCGCGGCTTGAATTATGTCCTTTGCATAGATGACTTTGACTGCACCTCCCCCTTCGTCTATGACCATTTTTCCTAATTGGATACGGCAAGTAGCTTTATTGTTTGCTTTAAGGATCTCGGCCCGTTGTTTTCTCAGCAATGCCTGTTCGTCTCGTTGGAGTTTGGTGAGATCATGATTGATGTAAATTTGTGTTCCTTTTAAATTTTTGCTGGCTCCCAGTATTTCTCATGATTACGGATGAGTCGGATCAATATAGGTCTTGGCTTTGCATGATTTTTTCTTCCAATTCGGTTGGCATAATCGTAGTCAATTTTTGCAATTTTTAATTGGGTGGACAGATTTTCAATCACCTTGTCTCGATCTTGGTGTGTTTCGTTGCTGCTTTCTGGGATTCCAATAACAATTATATTGTTGCGCTTCTCATTTCTAAATAAAGTTTCAGTATCATTTCGTATTTGGTCGACGTCATTTTGTAGTTGGTTGTGGGCAGACTTAAGTTCTTCACGAATTGTGCTTTTAATTTGAGATTCAAAACTTTTGCACATTTCTTGGAGATCGCTTTTTGTAACGGGGTCAGTCATTTTTATCAAAGAGTCGTTGCTCGCACTATCCAAATTTAAATAGCTTGTTTCACTCTTATAGTCTCGGGTGTTTCTCTTCTTTAAATCCTGCTGCTCTGGCGACGTTTCCGTAGAACTCGAAACAGTGTTTCTGGGTCTTTTTGGGGTCGCACTTTTCGAGGTTTTATCGTTTTTTGAGAAGTATGAGTTATACCACGTAGACATTGTTCCCAAATGATTTACCGGATGTTGGAATTGGTAAATTCATTATTATATATGGCTCAGTGTATTAAATGTATGTATTAGATACGGCTCAATGTATTGAGAGAAAAGAGGCTTGTACTATGGATTTGTAAATGAATGAGAGCTACAAAGACAGTGATGTTGACAGTTTGAGCTCAAAACCAAGACTTCATTAAGTCAATAAGGGCAGTCTCTCGAGCTTTTTCTTGGCTCCCCTATCCAACTGCCGAAGTACTCGCTGCAAAGTAGCAACTTCTTCCACACCGTTTGATGCCATGGTTGATAAGAAATCCTTGGTCCTGTTGTCTAGGCAGTGAAGATAATACAAGATTTGCAGCTGGTTGTCCATACTGCATGTATTTGACACATTAACTGCTTTCCCTTTGTGGGTAATTGTTCCTCCCCATCGCAAACGGGGACACCCTCCAGTGGCGTTGAATTTGGTTTTGGTGGAATTTTTTGGCTTTTCTTCCTCCATATGTCGATTCCTCCATATTCCCATTTTTAAGTGTCTTGAATTTAAAGATATCGTAGGTCAGAAAGGTGAGCCTGGTGCTTTCATTGTTGGAGAGAAGGGAAATAAGGGAGATCTAGGTATTCGTGGCGAGAAAGGGGAACCAGGACTACCAGGTACTAAATATTTCAAAATTTGACAATGCTATAATGTTAATTAATTTCACTTTGAAACAGGTCATTGTGATTCAGATCAAATTAGAGCATTATGTTCAACTATTATATCAGGTTATAAAATTTTAAATTCTCATACGTTGCAATAATTTTCATGCACATGTACGTCATTGTTATGCAGAAACTTTGGCGGCTTTAACATCGACAACCCCACTACCTGCACAATCCTCTACTTCCCGCCCTGGTAAACTATCTCATAAATATTATTTAAATAAGTCCTTTATTTCTAACCGATATTTCTTAAATTTACAGCAATTAAGGGTTACTCCAGAGATGAGTATTACGACACGTCAGTGGAACTCCCACATTTCTAATAATATGTTTCCATAGTCGTTGGGAAGTCAGTAATACTTTTAAAATACAAAATTACTACTTTAACAATTTGGCAATTACTTGATTTGTTCAACTTATAGCAATTGCAATAAGGATGTAATAATAAAACAATTCCAAAATGCATATTATGTAATCACAAAAATTGTTATTTCAGCGGTTAGATTTCATTTGATGTTTGAGATTTTTTGGAAATTTGAGATTTTTGGAAAATTTGAAATTTTTGGGAAATTTGAGATTTTTGGGAAATTTGAGATTTTTTGGGAAATTTGAGATTTTTGAAATTTTTTGGGGAAATTTGAGATTTTTGAAAGTTTGGGGAAATTTGAAATTTTTTGGTAGGCGGTAAAAGTAGGCGGTGGGGGTGCCTATGGGTAGGCGATGAAAAATAGGCGCTGGGGGGTGCTTAAAAGTAGGCGATGAAAAGTAGGCGATGGGGAGTACCTATGGGTAGGCGGTAGGCGGCGGGGGCGACAACATGTGTTTGGTGGTGTCCTTTCTTTCGGCCATTCGTGATTTTTGGGATGATATAAATTACTTTGTAATTGCAAATTGAAAACATTTATAGGATCATGGCAGGTTTCGGAATTAAAAAGTATGGTATTTGACTAATCCGTGTCCAGTTGACATGTTCTCTACAACCCAGTAAGACGAAGAGTGCCATTTTGTATCTGTCACATGTGTCATCATGTGTTGTAAATATGTTGTAAATACATACATGCACAATATTTTAGTAAATCTATTTTTCACAACAAAGTAAAATTTTACTTTAATTGGAACTATTTTGCTGTTGTTTTCTGTAATGCTATAAAGCGACAAATAGTTAATTGCCTACTACGATGGGGTCACAACTCAATAATGCCCCTATCTCGTCATCTGAAGGGATCCACTATGAAGACGTTTCGTCGTTTTCTTGTCGAACCACTTACATGGCTTGTTTCGGTTTGGCATTGTTATATGTTGGAAGTTTGTATGTATGGAAGACAGAGCATCCTAGGTGAGCACAGATAATCAAATTTAAGTTGGACGTATAAGCTTCCTTTGGTTTGATGATATTCATCCTTTTACTTAGCACTCATCCAGCAACGATGAAGAGAAGGTTTATTAGCGTTACTATTATCACCATGCTGTCCCCAAAATTCGTCGAGTACTTTATAGATCCTGATCTCTTACTGGTGAGAAAGTTATGAGCAAGTACATACTACATACATGATATATATACAGTTGACATGCAATTTTGGCTCTTTCCATAGAATTGTGCATTATTGAGGCTAATTGGTATCAGATTGGATGGCATAATTCCGGCATGCCTTTTACCCATGATATTAACGGCGATCCTTTTTCTTGGCCCTCTGAGCATGGAAGCTTTCATTGGTCTCTGGAATATTTACACTGGTGCTACACCATATTTTGAAGGGGATGGATTTGTAACTTTAAACTAACCTAATAATAATAATGTTTTTTCATTCATATGTAGAACCTCGGTACTGGCTGACGAACATGAAAGAACTGATCTGGATTAGAAATTATGTAGTGGCCCCACTTTCTGAAGAATTAGTATTTCGTGCGTGTATGTTGGTGTTAATTATTCATTGTACGAGACCAATGACTGCTGTTTTTGTGTGCCCAATTTTCTTTGGTGCTGCTCATTTGCACCACATGGTAGAGCAGGTAAAAAATTGATTAATTTGAAAATGATTTTATGAGATAACATGGGATTTAAAATGCTTTACATATACATCTAATGGGTCATCTAATTTTTCACGTATCCAGATACGGTTTGGCGTGCCATGGAAAGTGGCATTTCTGACATCGTGTAAGTTTTACGTTTTTCCTTAAAAGTGGAGGTACTAATATTGAGTTTATACTTATATACATGTATATATTCTCCTGTAGGTTTTCAATTTATGTATACTTCAATATTTGGTGCATACTCAGCCTACCTTTTCCTTCGAACTGGTAATACATTCATGTATTTAATTAATCACTGCTGCACATGTACATACATATGAATGTAATTCTCTAACAAATTCTAGGCCACCTCATTGCACCTGTTTTAGTTCACTCATTTTGCAATCATATGGGCTTTCCGGACATTGTGTCATTGAAAGAAATGCCACTAAATCAACGCCGAATCAGTATTGGATGTTTTGTTGGAGGGGTGATATTGTGGTCTCTCATGGTGGAACGTATGACTGATCCTAGATTATATTCAAACGATTTGCCTTGGAGCAATGCAGTTTAACAAGAATAATAAGAATAAATAGATTTTGATTTCATCAATCCCTATCCGTTTCATCTGTTTGGTATTGTGCGCACTAATTATGATTAAGTTTAGATGTAAGTTTACATTAATTTTAATCCTTTCGTAGTTAATGTGTAATTATGAGGCTTGTTATTATTACTAGTCAAATAAAACCATAACTTTCCGAGGAATATGTATTATGGATACCGCACGGATCGTGGTTTATTACAATATTACTATGAAATTGCGTGATTAAGCTTATTGTGAAAAAAGATGATATCTTATTAACAAACAACAAATGACTTTTGATATATCTTAATAGGAACTCAAGGTATGTATAAACAACAGCCTCACCCAATATTTCACAACAAAAGTAATTGTCATGCATATATCTTAAAATAATTTTAAACCTTAGTTCCTTGCGTCGAGTCAATAGTGGACTGCCCACTGTTGTTATCAGCATTATGCTGTTGCGACAAAAATGCCATGTTCGCTGCTTTCAACCTATGCGGTGAAATGCCCGTTGGTAACATTGAGGGTGAAGGGGATGGAGTGCACGCGTACGAAGTACTCAAGTCGCACTGATCCAAAACTAGCAACAATTCTTCTGGGGTGGGGCCACCACTACGTTGAGTTACTGAGACAAAACATAATGTCGTTCTTAATTTCATGGATAGTGATTTAATTTACTTAAAATGCAGATAACAACAAGAATAAATAGTCCTTAATCCTTACCTGGCTCTCCTTTAGAAGCTAGGTCCAAGGCTGTTGTTAAATCCCACATTTGAATAGAACCCATATGAGTAGCTGTGGAGGCGAAAATAATTCTTAAAATCAATTATATAAATTATACAAAAGACAGTGTATTTTACTCACCGCCTTGTTGTCGCTCATCCTCCCGGACGTCATGTCCAGTGAAAATAAATCTCCTTGGACGAGATCCCATACGACTTGAACCTTCGCATTCGTGAACGCAGAAGGACGTGATGGTCGTCGAATCAATTGATTTTATAGTGCAAATTCTAAATAATGGTGTTTAAATTTGTAATTATTAAAAAATACAATGCTTGTAAGTAATGATTCAGGGCGAAAACCGATATCGGTATCTATTTACAAGTGTGTGATCACAAATACCTTTTCCCATTCGAAGCCAGCCTAACATATAATTGGTCCGTTTCAGGAACAACCTTCTGGATGAAAACTTGCTCATCGTCCTGTTCACCATATGGACCTGTATCATTGAAATAAAGATCACATATTAATTTAATTTTATGTACATGTCATCTACATACTTAGAATCAACTAAAAACCGATTTGCGACAAATTTAAAGAAATGGGTTACTCGTAAAATACCACTGCATGGCGAATTGCAAACGTCCTATGACAATTTTCAAAAACCCGTGGAGGTTGCCCTAAGAATCCTAAGTTTGCCAAGAATAATTTGGTCTTTATGTGTCATACTCATATTTTCAGTTTAGGTTAGGTAAGTATCGAGCTTCTACGACCCTACCCCCATCACCCATATCTACTTGGTAGATTTTGCTTATCGTATATATATAAGAAGCAAGTATTAAATATAGATAAGTAGGACGACCAAATCAATAAGTACGGATGTTTAATTTTAAGCCAGAGAGTTATCGTGTTGACAGACCGACATTCATGATAAGCCTAGTGCAAAAAAAAATATAATTGTGTTGACTTGACGTACCACAATCATTACCAGCTCCATATGACGTGCAGGAGTCTACCTCTTCTAATGCAACAATTTTAAAAGAGGACAGAGGAGTTGATCCTGGGTCAGTAATTATCATTCCTCTAAATCTCGTCATGGTCCAGCTGAAATAAGTACCAAGTTGATTTATTTAGGTTACCTAATTTTCAATTACAGGATGAGTGACTTATTAAATTTTGAGGAAGATGACGGGTGTGATAATCAGCATAAAACTGCTAGTTATGGTTTTTGATTACGAAAATCTCCACTTACATACCTTCGAACATGATTGTACTCGCTACAAACGGAGACCAAGTACTTTTCGCTTAATTTTACTTTGGTCACTGGACCTATAAATTTACCAACGGTTACATAAGTCTTTTATTAAATATAATGTGTTGAATTAATGATTACTTCGATGAACAGTAAACGTCTGGAAAAGCTGGGGTCCATGTCCGACTGTTTCAGGGTGTTGAACAATCACACGTACCATACCAGATTGTGTGCCGTATGCAATTTCAATCCAGCTGCCATAATATCCATAAAAAACGTGTTATAGTGATTCTTGTTTATTATGTGCATCATGGTACTCACTTTCCAGAAATGCTAGTCTTTGGTGTCAAATATACCGATATTGATGTTATAGGCTCACTTGAAGGATCACGGTACAATTCTGTCACCAACAAATCGTTATCTTTCATCCGGAGAGGGAACTTTTGCATATCTAGAAATAATAAAGGATATCAATACAATAGAAAATGTAATAATATTCTTCATGTAGTGTAGCACATACATACCAATATAAGAAATCGCCCCACTACTGCACCCCAACAACAGGAATGATCCTGCTGTGTCGAATCTAAAAATAATGTAGATGCAGTGAGTGCATCCTGTTGAACAATTTGATGATAATATGAGTAATAGACAAAGATAGATGCTACCAAAGACTTACGACATTATTGGGACAATATCTTGCACTAGCACATGCTGCGTCATAGAATGCCAAACTCCAATCTTTCCCATTTGAGATAAGGCAACTAGTTGAGTACCGATGAAAAATAGAAATTCAACAGGGACGGGCAGTGTAAATCGTCCAATATCGGTCCGAGCACCCTCATCACCAACGCCCCACATAAATACCACAGATCCTGCAGCGATAGCAATCATCTTTGTGTACCCTTCTCCGGAGTTAGAGCTCTAAAATAAATAATAAATAAATAAATAATTGTGTTTCCTCAAAAATTGAATGAAGGAGTTCTCATGAAAAGTACATACAAGAGATGAAATGAGCGATATGAACCCTTTTTCCAGTACCACGATCAGAATAATATCACCCAGTTTGAGCTAATTTCAGCCCCTTTGTTACATTTAGTAAGGGATTCCACGTGTAGGGATTCTGCATCCCCCACCCGACCATCAAACCACTCGCCATCCTCGGTCAACCGGACTCTACCGTGTTGCCCGAGGACGACATTTAAGCAAGAGCACTCTCCGTCTCTCGAGGAGTCCGTCCGGAGAGATCAACATCTCCCCAACTCCTCTCTCCACATTTTTCCCAGCACCACGCCTTCCGCGTGGTCGCCATCTTCTAATATTTATTCTCTTATAAAATATCATCATAAATTCATTTAACCAAGTAATTGATTTCGAATTGTGAGTAATAAAAACCCAATAACTATTGTCAAGTGAAAATATTGAGTGTACCTATATCGAACAGTGTGTTTTGGTCATAATCAATGAAATTCGTACATTGAATCGTACCAGTTGCAGTTTAGTACAGTTTGGTGCATAATAAAAGTCGGAGTGGAAATAAAGACGGTATTTCGATAGCGTACATTTGCCAAGCGAGAGACAAATTACATCCTCCCCGTGCCCGTCGTGCTCTCTTCTGGCTACCCCCCCCCGTAGGCTTGGTTAGTTCGTGAGTGGTACGACCCATTTGGCCCTGAGGACCGTGACGCCCATTCGGCCCCACCAGACCTGATGAGACAACCAGGACGCCCACGACCAAACAAAAGCCCACACACGATCCTAATCCAAATATTTCCTCCTCCTCCTCCTGAGGAGGATTGATCACTTCCTCTGGGATGGGCTCAATACGGGCCTCGTCGGCCATCACTGGGGGTGGAGAAACTACCTCCGCGAGAGCCTCACCCTCACCTAGTAATCAAATAAAATGTCACACAATAAAAGACGAGTATGTATTATTATGTAATACATACTTTCTTCAGAGTATTGCTGGTCAGCGACCAGAATTGGTGCAACCGGCAGACCTGCTTCCATGCCGCGTTCTCTCATCATGCCCAAATGAACCAATTGACCGTCACCGGGTCCAACGTGTTGTTGTTGGAGGTCAGCAACCTGAGCGAAAAAATGTATGAAAATTAATAAAACTTGACTTAAAAAATGAATGACAAATGAGAAAATAAACTAACAATTTGGTCAACAAATGGGATGTTTACCCCGCGAGCGAGCTGACCTGACTCAATGTCCATGAGGATCTTCACAGGGACAACTTCCTTCTTCATGGTCCGACGTGAGTCCGTTCCCCACCGGAAGGCCGGATCAACTTTCGCCCGTTGGCTTTGAATCCGGTGGAGGACCTCTCGGTGTTCAACAGAATTGAGGGATAAATTTCTCAACAAGTATGTCACGAAATCCACAATCCCTTGTCGAAAGCCCTCCACGGGGATAAGTGCGTTAGCCCACGTGACCACCGCATCCTGCACATAAAAAAATAAAGAAACAAGTGCATAATTTTGCCCAAAAAAATAAATAAATTTTTCCCTACATTAGGCCCTCGCGGGAAGAGCGCCATTGGAAGAGGTCCGAGAAATGTCCTCTCCCCCAACCGATTACGAAACATTATCCCAGCTATGGCCTCGAATTCCGATGGGGTCGCGTGGGTGGCCTGAAGGAACCAAGTAAGCCATCCCTGGATGTTGCTGCTCCTCCCCCTCGACGCTGGACGTCTTAGATACGACCGAATCTGTGCCTATAATTTATATAAGTAATTATTTAAAAAATTATGTACAATTTATGAATCAATGGTCAAATAAAAAAGTTTATTGACTTGTACTTACAAATTCCTCTCTGAGAAGACCAAATCGACTCATGTTTCTTCGAGTAATTAATTGGTTGGAATAGTGTAAAAAAAACAAAGTGGAGAATATTTTTGTACTCAACTCAGGTTTACATGTATTTATTCTCCCTTCCCGCGAGTGCCACTTTCTCACCACTCGATGGGCATTCTCATGGAGTGTGACGCTTTGTCAACGAAACTGCAAACAAACACACACTCCACTTCTGCGCACAACTCTGAGCTCTCTCGAGGAATTTATTTGTTTGAAAAATTAAATTAGTAGGCCTTCACAGGATTTATTTACACTCAAATCTCGATTGCAATTATTATTTTTGTCTCATCATGGGGAAACGGAAGATAAAGGCTCCTCCCGGAAAGGTTAAGGGATATTTCATTGACGAAAACGGTGAGAAGTGGCCCAAGTGGATACCTCCTTCTCCTACCCCTTCTTCGTCGATCCCACTTATCGAGTAAGTTGTAAATAATTGTGTAATTAATTTTCCCTGTACTTAAGGCCATCTAACTGGGAAATAATTATTCTTAGTTTTATTGTTTTTAGGATCTCAAGCGATGACGAGACGGAAGAAATGTCGGCCAGTTTTGACGAGGCGGAAGCTGTCACCAGGTTTGTTTCGAATAATAATTTGCTTTCCAATATTGGTCATCGCCGGGATTAATTATAATATTATTGTTTTCAGGATTTCGAGCGAAGATGACGGAAACGATGACATGTTGGCGACTTTTGACGAAGCGGAGGCTATTGCTAGGTTTGTTTCTAATAATAATTTACTTTCCTTCAACATGGGTCATCGCTGAGATTAATTATAATACTATTGTTATTGTGTATTAGGGCGGAAGAAATTTCAACATTTCGACAGTACGAGGAAGATTGGGAGCTGTCTCGTGGACTCCCTGAAAAGGTCGATGTCGAGCTGAGTTCGTCGAATTCTTCAGAACAAGAAATGGGATCCCCAGTTCAGGTTGGTTTTAGTGCAATTATATTAATTTAAGGCTCTGCTAAGACCTCAATTTGTTTAAATAGGGCTCATCATCGGGGGTCGAAGTCGTTCCTGACCTCAAGAAATTGGCGAAACTCCAACACGAGGACAATCTGAGGAACTTCCTGGAGAGACAGCCCTTTGAATGATCGTGCCGAACTAATCCGTTTAGGACGGGCTGCGGGCCTTCGCAGGAATTTTCAGAACATAGTATTTTCAAATGAGCTTGGATTCCATTTCGAACGCCCCAATGGAAGGAATGAGTCCTTGGCGTCAGATGTTCGGAAAAAATGGAAGAGCAACGGCTCGACCATTTGTATGGAATCCAACCGCATCCGTAACGCTGCCCCAGAACATCATGAGATGGCCAGGGAGTTAATGGCCCAGAAACGCGCGGAGACGCCCCATCACTACATCTTCTACCTAGCTGATATTTTCACAACGTCTTTGGACGTCAAACCGTGTCGAAATGGAGATGTGCCATGGTCCGAAATCTATGACAAACCTGGAAACAGCCCACACTTGTACCCCGGGTACTGGACTTCCCACGACGGGCTAATTTGCATGCGTTGTGGTCACTTCAAAAAATGGGCTATCAGCAAAGTGTGGGATAAAATCAAGTCCCTGTTGAAGGTCAAATCAGACGGAAATCTGGAGAATTCTGTCGTCTGTTTGGAACTTAGAGCCATAGTTTGTGACGATAAGGCTACCGCCCAGCAGGCCGAGGCATTTGTGATGGTAAGGAAGTATATGTGTTGAATTTTTGCTCTGTACAAACAAATTATTTTTTTTCTCGCAGTATTACCTCGTCACCTGGAATGCAGCCTACCCAAATGATCAACAGAACGGAACATCAACGGAATAGCCCTTTGGCTTGGGGGATCGGGGGTGGAACTGTCACCACGCAGTCACACGTTCGATTCCTCTCTGTCCGGGAAGCTATTTGCTAATCCTACTCGGCTCGGTGTTAGTACGGGGTGGGTGCTCCTCTCATGGTTGGGTGAACCCGGCCAGACGGTCTGGCAATGCCAGAAAGGGGAGCCCTCACAGAGTCCGTTCTCTGTGAGAAGATCTAACTCATCGCCAGAGATATATGGTGAGAAGGAATCGTCACGGATTGAAAACCAGATGAGTTAATCTGATATCTAATGACGTTAAAGGATTATTTTCATTTTTTTTTTCATTTTCAACAGCCGTGGATCATCTCTGACCCGGATGCCGCTCTCGTCCATGGATTGGGTCTCCACCAAAAAGCAGAGCAGTATGTGAGGGATGGTGTGAAGCTTTTCGAAATAGTTCCTGACGACAGCCCAGGAATAATTCCTCCCTTCCCGCATATGGCATCCTTGGACGAGGTCACAAACCTCCCGATCCTCATCCCGGAGTCGGCCCTGAAGGAACGCTGGATTGATGGCACTCGCGTGGATGCAAGGGGCAATGCTGTGCACAACAATTGGGAGGCGTAGATAACTCTGATGAAGACCGATAAACCACGCATTTTACAAATATGAATTGACTTTTATAAAATGAATAACGCAATGAACAATGTTAAGCTGGATTTCCACTGCCGTGAGTCGTGAGCGACCTACGACGGAAAGCGTCCGACAGCGTCCACCTACATTTTCCGCTCCAAGTCCATTTTCACCAATGCGCTACCTTGGGCAGATCATCCGCTAACGGAAGCGGACGATTTGCTGTCAAACAATCCGCAGCGTAGAGCGGACGGGTGGAAATGCTCGTTCTTTTATAAAATTAATCACAAACCAAAACATAGATTTTAGGGAAAAATGCAGACACATATTTAAAAACTTAACCAAACAAGTGAATTCAACTGTGTAATGAATGAAATAATTTAATTCGAGCACGTAATCAAATATTTACTATGTGTGATCAAATTTTAATATATTTATAATACTTGTAAATATAAAAATCAATTCAAGGTGATTCAATAAATAATTAGAGAATATGTATTAAATTTTATTATTTTAGTTGGGGCGCCCTGGTTTCTGGTACAGAAATTTACTTTCAAGCTTCTTCTTTCGAGCTTCGTCGGTCAGGGGATGATTTATTTCGTGCATCCGTTTAGCTATATCATGAAGGGCCTTGTTCAAATTTTTACCACAATCTGGGCGGTGATGAAAGGGATGTGCACAATTCCAGCAACCTTCATCAAAGAAGTAGAAAGCAAAGGCAAGTTGGACTTCTTTTCGACTCAGCTTGACCTTTAACAATTCTTCATAAAAAGAAACCACCTCTCCTGCCGGGCGCCCGGGTAGTCGCATTTGAAAGGAATATCTCCCTGCAGGTTCAAATTTCTCGTAGGTTGTTTGGTCTTGGTTTCTATAAAAAGACAATTCCTGATTATCTTCACATTTATCAAAAAGAGAGGTAAGAATACCTTACCTAATAAAACATTGAAGTTTGCATTCATTTGTAAAATGTAAAGCACTTTGACAATTAAAGCAGGTGGATTCGTCAAACTTCTTGTTTCTGGAAATTCTACTGCCACCTCGGCCAACTGCCAGGGCGTCCAATTTTTTATTCAGTTCCTTAATTTGTTCTTCAAGACCTCGATTCGTTTCCATCAAATCGACGGCGCCGTTTGGAAATCCTGGGAGAATCTGTCGTTTGAGCTCTGCAAGTCGCTCACCTCTAGCTTCTGGCTCCAGGTCCACGATTTTGAAACGTTGGGACCGACTCCAGTTGAGATCCAGCTCAACAGACCGTTCCAGAGGCCAAATGAGTTGTGTTGGTGGTGTTTTCAACCCATTGGGCATTCGGAGTTGCATTTCTTTGAGCAGATCCGGAAATATAAATCCCCGTTCCAGCACCTCGGTCCGCTTCTGAGAAATATGTGTAAAGAATCCTAAACGCTGGCGAGCTTCCACTCCCATCGCATCACTTTCCTCCCACAAGACTGGTTCAATGTCGGGCTTGGCAAGTTCTTTGGCATGGGCCGAGTAATCCCGTTTAAGAATTTCTAATGCTTTCTCTAGTGTTTTGTACATCCATTTTTTGCATTGTTTCAAAGAGCAGTGCACGATACTATCCGATGTATTTTCCTAGGCAAGGAAATTCACATTATTATATCACTATTAGTTGAAGTGGTGCAAATTAGGAGAGGAATAATAATTTTGTGGTAAATTTTATGAGAGTACATACGCGCTGGTGCCAGAGACATCCTAGCCGAAGGCGTTTGTTAAGTGATGAGCTGATATCAAAACTGTGAAGGGTAGCGGTTGCGTACTTGATGGACGCGACGTACGCCAAGTTTGAACTTTCTGCTGGAAGAGGACCATCTTTGGTAGTGGTACTTTTCGCTTTACCACCACCCACTCCGGTACCTACACCACCCACTCCGGTACCTACAGGATCACTCGCTTTGACCACGGACTCAGTTGACTTCTTGGTAGGTCCCTGCACTTCCTGAACTACTTTTGCTTGTAGGTCTATGGCGCACTGTCTAATATGACAGGTTCGAAATAACTCTAAGACGAAGCGTTCCATTGAGAGAACGCGAATCCGAGGGTTGCTTCCTAAATAAATATAAAGAGGAACATTTGGCAAACTCGTATATGATTATTTCTGGAACGGAAATTTGCTCACCATGCTGTGCCATCAGCCAGGCCAAGCATCCAACAGCTATCGGGATATTATCTTCAGCAGCGAATACATAGTGGTAGGGACGCCGTGGGGTCTCGTCCGACAGCTACAAAGCAAGAAGAGTGATATTTACATTACAATACATATCCTTCATTTATGTTCTTGCAATGGAATGCTACACAATTGCTAATGGTTAGTAATACCTCAAACGTTCGTGATTGCTCCCAGATTGACTTGACGACCTCGTCGTATCGGTCTTCCCCCACAGAATAGGCAAGCCCTCGACTGTAGGTGTAGGGAGGAATTGGCAGCGAAAGTTTCCTGCTCTGTTCCTGCACCATCTTCCAATCTCCAAGCTTGTCAAAACCTGCACAACATAATTAAAGTGAGTTAAACCAGTTAAATGTGACAGATATATACAACATATAACAATACAATATAATGCTTTCCAGGCATACCAAAGCATTGTAAAAGATGGAAAATTTACCAGGATCAATTGGTGACCCCCCATACCACACCATCCCATCCTTAAGGTTCCAGGTGAGGCAGCAAAACTCTGCAGGAGCAGTAGTCTGTCCTGGTGCAGGACAATAGTTGTTAAATCAAAATCCAGCACGGCTGCAAAATAGTCCCGAATTTTTGAAAATGCTTCATCCTGGTCGTGAATATTAATTTGAACAGTCTTAATCGACCAATCGGGAAGTGTTTTTCGTCTAGGACAACATTAAAACCATCACTCACAATAATTCAAAGTCATTAATAGATTTGAAAGAGAGGTGAATGTAGAATGTATAACCGTTTACTTGCTATTATGGGGACCAGAATTTTTGAAAACTGCCGTTTCCGGTGGTTGAAATAAAACAGAAGTTGGCCCTGGCTCCTTTTGAGTTTCTTGTGCATGTTCAGGTGCTTTCTTTTTGGATTCTGGTTTAGAACATTCCTTTACTTCCACCTTGACTTTCCCTGCGGTTTGTTTGAAGAGAGGGTTAGGAAGAACGAATGGAGATTGATTCGATTTGGGTCGACCAGGTAAAGACGACGGCACAGGCAACTGTGAATCCATCGGTTCTGAACCTGGTTGAGGGAGATGACCATGTTGACGCATGTGTTTATCAATCGTATTTCCAGTTTGCAAGAGTATATCACGAAATGATCCAAATTCTTTCTATAATAAATAATAATAAAACAAAAAATAAGAATGACTCATAAAATAAAAATTTTTAATGAATTTCTATTACTCGTATTACCGGATCAATGTTAAGTTGCACTTCCGGTTTCACCATGTCTCGTTTCTGCCCTCGTCCATTGGCTAATCTTTTACCTGCTCGACCACGGAGGAACATATTCTCTTCCCCCTTCGGAACAACGCACGGTACTTCTTGTCCATGCACAACTAGGCCTGGTGGAGATAAGGCAGATTTCGCTTTTGGTCGCGTCTGTGGCGGCGTTGATTTCTCCTCCTCCTCTTGGTACACGGCGTACTTGCCCTGTTCAGTCTTATCCATTCTCTGGAAAAAATAAGGAAAACAATTATTTCCATATTTCTATTTATGAAATTGTAAAATATAAAGTAACACGGACTACTTACAAGCCATTCTCTATCCAAAACAAATGCGACCTCTTCCCATCCACCAGAAAAGTTCATCCCTTGTGCCTCTAACTGACGACGACGAATGGTCATAAATGACATGAATGGTGTCATTTTCAATTTTTTCGTAGTTGAAGACATGGCGAGAATAATTTTGGTGTTTCAGCTGTGTGTTGGGCTGTAGGAAAAATGGAGTGAGTATTGCAACCAATCCAACCGCTCAACCCAATTCCTAGTTTGCTCCAAATTTACAAGTATTAACAAAAAATTCAACCTTGTTTAAAATTTAATTAACGATGGATCCAGTTATTATTTTGGCTTTAATCCGGCGCCGGAAAAAAAGAGTGCATCGCTACTGGGTGCATCCTCTTAATTTACTTCGAGGTGTGTGGGGGGAACATCTAAAGATAATTGAAATGTATAATAAGTTCCCTCTGAAATTTCGCCAGTACACAAGAATGACTCCAGCACAGTTTGATACCGTACTGAGCATTGTTAAAGAAGACCTCCAAAAACAGGACACAAATTATAGGACATCAATTCCCCCAGATTTCCGGCTATTTGTCACCCTCAGGTACGACGAAGACTCGGCGCCGAGAAAGAAATATTTATATATTTATTAATGCAATAACTGATACATATAATTCATAACTGGCAGATATTTAGCGACCGGAGATGCTTAGCAAGTATATCTACAAGTTATAGCATGGGGCATACAACTGTTTGGCGAATCGTTCGAGAGACGACTCAGATCTTGTGGAACAGATTAAGTCCAATATTTGTGAAGGTAAAGATAACTTATGTAATAATAATTTGCCTCATGTCCCGCTAATTATTTTTAAGCTGGAATATTTTTTAGGCCCCAACAAATGAAGACTACAACTTAATCGAAAAAGGATTCAGGGAGCGTTGGAATTTTCCTAATTGTATCGGCGCAGTGGACGGAAAACATATAGATATAGAAGCTCCATACAAATCTGGGTCACAATATTATAATTACAAAGGAAGATTTAGTATCGGGTTGATGGCAACTTGCGATGCTGACTACCGATTCACAACGGTTGACGTAGGCGCCTACGGGAGACAAAGCGATGCAGGAATTTTTTCAATTTCTGCTTTAGGAACCAGATTAGAATCAGGTAATTTTACGCTAATTTAATATCGCAGCGCTGTCATAACACATTTTTGCATTATGTAAATGGGAATTTATATTGTAATACTAGGAAATCTTGGAATTCCTGGACCTAAATTGCTACCTGAATCAACAAAACAACTACCATTTACTTTCGTTGGAGATGAAGCTTTTCCATTAAAATGTTACATGATGAGGCCATATCCAGGGCGAGGACTAACTGAAGTGAGAAGAATATTTAACTACCGGCTTTCTAGGGCTCGTCGAATTATTGAGAATTTGTTCGGTGTAATGTCGAAGCGCTTCAGGATATTTCGACGACCCATTGTTGCTCAGCCACAGCACGTCGAAAGTATCGTGAAAGGTATAAATCCACAAAACTTGTACACAATATTAGTCATTACACAATATTACGTATAATAATTATATGCTGTTAAAATTACACAGCCTGCATCGCACTCCACAATTTTTTGCGTTCTCAAGATCTCTCGGCGCCGAGTGCAGATACTTACTGCCCTGCTGGATTTGTAGACACCGGTGATGAAGACAACGGCGCATGGAGGCAAGAAGAAGACTCGTTAGCGCTGCGAAACCTTACAGGTCGGTATTGTATTCTGAGGAAATTCAATTTCGTACATAATTTGTTGAATTTTAATTTTTGCATACGATGACTGAGCTGCTGTCATTTTTCGCAAATCATCCGCCAGAGCCATACAGAAATGGTGGTTCGAGTCTTTGATATTTTGGTTTTCTAAGTATCCCAATAATGCTGCATCAACTTTTTCTGACATCTTTATCTTTTTCGATATGGTCTCAGGCTTGATGGGGTAATCCTCATCTAAATCCGGGACCCGGGAATGATGTCGATCACGTCTATAAGTCGTCTCATCCGGCGCCGGAGTTTTTTCCAAATTTCCGGAAGACCTACGAAGCCCACGCAATAAAAATTAGTTAATAAACTTAATGAATATGCATTTAGTCAATAATAAACATACTCAGTATTGGCAATTACGAACGGCTTTAAAAAGTTCAACATTTCGAAGTACTCCCATTGTTTTTCTTTCTTTCCGGACTTGCCTGACTTGCCTTTCTTCTTTTTAATGACTTTATTGAAATTATCTCGCAGATATTTCCACTTCTTCTTGCATTCAGGAACTACAAAAACAAGCAATTAAAGAGATTAACATTAATTATTACGTGGCGCCACAGAGTCATACTAAACATTAATTATACACCTTACCATCCTTCCCTACCGTACTGGAAATATTTAACCACACCAGTTCCTTTTTTCCACTGTTCTTATTATCCTTTGATTTGACATCGAACAAAATTGGATTTGATCGCACTGTATCTATAAGTAATTCGATATCTTCGTTCCTCCAAGTGTTCTCTTCCTGGGCGCCCGGTATTTCCTCACCCATTACATGATATTGATCCCCATCCTCGTTGATGTTCAAACTTCCTCCATCCTCCTCACTGTCACTCGACATTTTATATTTATTTAGAATATTTTAATTTCATGAAATAATTGATGTTAGCGGAATGTAAATAATAAGAAGTGAATTTATGTGATTTTATATATTCCGCTCAAGGAAATGAGAATTTGTCATAGATTTTGGCGAGCGGACGAAAAAAAGTTGAACCAAGTTCAACTCATCGACTCACAGTTTTTTCGTCCGCGCGGATCGTATCCGCTGAAATGAGTCGGTTGGTGGAAATGAGAGGCAAAAATCCGCTCAACTCAGCTCACTCTCCGCCGCGTCGAGCGGATTTTGTCTGCTTTGGTAGAAATGCCATCGTCGGACACTTTCCGTCGTAGGTCGCGCACGACTCACGGCAGTGGAAATCCAGCTTTACTCATTATGAGTAAATTATAGTAAAATAGACCAGATTTTATTCATTCTTTCCCTTTGTGATTCTATGTACTTGTGGCATTCCATTTTATATCGTCAACCGTAATGTGTTGCCCTCCATGTCATTTCAACATGTTTGCTTTTCTTCCTCTCCCAGTTGGCACTCAAGTTTACTAAATGTTGCAATTTGAGATTGCTTCAAAATTATTATGTACTTTTCCCTGCACAGCAGACCAGAGATTGGTACTTGTTTCACGGTCTACAAGGAACTTTGCTCTCAGCAAAACATTTTAATTGAAACTGACTCGGGTACATTTCATACAAAACAAAATGTCAAGACGCTCTAAATTTTCATAATTAATGTCAAGCATGAATATGCGTAAAGGAAGGTTGTTGGTTTGAAATTGTCAATGTGGTAAATTTTCTCAAATTCTCGTGGTGTTTGGTAGAGAGATATTTATTATCGTGTGGTAAACTTCCTAAATTATATATCTAAACTATATAAAGCAGGCGAGTGTATCGCTGCTGGCTGGCTGGGTCGGTGGCTTAGTTGAGAAGTTAGCCTCTCTTTTTCTCTCTCCACTCTGCAGAGAGAACAGGAGAGGCTAACTTCACTAATGTTGGGGTAACGGGCTTATCGACGGGCCAATTTTGCACGTCGATTGACGGGCTTCTACACTAGTATACCTTATAAAACCTATAAAACAGGTGTGGTTCACTTTTCTCATTTTCAACCCTGGTTACTTATCAACATGCATATGTTACGTGTTGTAGAGGGCTATAAATAAATAGTTGAAACGTGAGGTAATCGTAACAGCGTTTGCTCATTCACCTCCAATATTTATTATTTATCACAAACGACCAACCAGAAAAGGGTTTCACTTCATTTTTCCATTCTTGCAAAGTGCAGAGAGATGTAGATTGAGGAACGCCTATACCCTTCCCACCACCCGATTGTATAACGAAGCCAGTCAGTCAGTAGTGTCGTGTAGCAAATGAGCATCCTTATCATTAAGCTTTGCACACATATCCACCAAGTAGCTTGAGATACTGGCTGTCTCAGATAAGTGATTCTTCTTGGAGCACATCATCGACAGCAGAAGTATTACTATCTCCATACCCACTTTTGTATAATGGCACTCGTCGACTCTCGAAATCTCGGAGGCATCATTTTGTTTGGCGTTTGTCTCATTGCTTTGCTTTTCTTTCACCCTTCTTGTTTTCAGCAGAATCTGCATGTGGTGTGGCTTGGTTTGCATAAAAATTCGCATTAGTTTTTTACCTGTTGACCAGACGTCATTTTTGCATTGATTGCTAATCGGTCAATCATGCTGTCGACTCTTGGACTAGTAAAAATTAATTGCCATCCAGAAGAATCCTTTAATCTGTAAATATGTATAGAAAATAAAGTCTGCAATTTAAAGTATAAATATGTAAATCAAAATCATATTCACCTATAACAGCAAACAAAATGGGCATACGCCACAGCTATCCAGTTTTGATGAGCTCTAATAATGGTCACTCTTAAAGGGTCGATCCAATTACCCTGAGACAAAACGGACAACTCGGTTTTAAAATATTTGTTTAAATCTGCAGAAGAATTTCGGGAATGCCGAGCACCAAATGACGAGTTTCTTGAATGTCTGTATATAATTTAAAAAGGACGAATTATTTAAGAAGAATGTAAGACAATAATAAGTTAACTTACTGCACTGGCCTAACATCCACAGAGGAAGCTCTAGAATGTCCGTTCCTTGCTGATGTCCAATTTCCATTATTATTACTCCCCGTGATTGTGGTACTGCCACTCGCACTTCGAGAATGGTGTCCACTCTTGCTCCCAGAAGAAGACGAACCAGCAGAGTGCGTTTCCGGAACACGAATCCCGGATCCTGGCGTTGGTCTCATGTCCAAACCACGACTAGAATTTCCCATTGTTGATGCTGGTCCACTGCTTGTACAACCACTGGTAATTAGAGATGGCTCATCATTCTTTGTGCCAGGCAAAGTGCAATTTCCGCCCTTTGATGGGTTAGGGGGATCGCAAACAGGAATTGCTAAAGAAAAAAGATACAGCACTCTGAAAAAATCTGAGTTACTGATCCTACTATGTTCGTTTCAAACAAACTCACGAGCTGGGGGCAGAAATCCATAAAAGAGTACGTCCCCACAGGACGAATAATTTAAATCTTCACAGAGTGCCAATCTTTTTACGAGTGGAAGTATACCATAAAACTCGGCCTCATTTCGAAGCTGTGGAGACACATTTCAAAATCATGAAAGAGACCAACTTGAATTTACAAACAGCTACATACAATGAATAGAACATCAAATGAAAGCAAGATGAGCAGGATACTAGCTCTCAAAACCGTCTCAAATACTTTATTATTATTACTTACTGCCCTCATGTCCACGGACCTCATATCCACATCTCGAGTGCGCAAGTAGTTAAGAATGATGGAGAAGAGGGCTGGGTCCCTGTCCTGCAACCATTTTATAATAATAAATTATAAATAATCATTATTAATAAAACCCATTAAATAATTTCAAGTCACCACGAAAAAGGCTCCGGAATCATCCTGTTAATTAAATAAATAAATAACAATTAGATGGATTTTTTATCTCCTGTGTTGCTTTATCAACCTTGAGAGATGAGATGCGACCACTGAGCAAGGCTGTGAAAAAGGAGTCTGGTACCCAAGTGAGGGTGGTGTACGAAGTACTGAACCTTTAATAAATTCGAATATATAGTATCATTAATATAATCAATTGGCAATTAATACGCCCAATTGAGTTAATTGCGATACAAATATACAATATACACTACTGAATACCTCGTTCCGCCCACATTTAGATTGATAATTTCACTCCCACCCAGCATCTTTCTTTTTAGTAACTTAATATAAGCTAGTCCTTCAGGTTATAGGGTGCTGAGATTGGACCGAACTTATCTTTCTTTAATTCAATCCTGTCAAACCTTTATTTTCTTGCCAATAATTATTTTCGTCATAATCGTCATTGTCATGTTATAAAACACAGGAAACGCGAATACAAATTAAGGTCTATATCGTAGTCTTCACATAATAATATGTAGAATAATATGTTGTTAATTTCCAGGAGGTCGTGAAAAACCAATGCTTAAATATTGTTTACTTCTTTATTGAAATGAGAAGCAACAATTTAGGATACCAGATTCGAGTTTTTTTGTACAATGTACATAATAATATTTATGCACCGTATCAGCTGCCGTGACGATGTACGTTACACTACACTGTGTGAACTTACGCACAGTCTCTCAAGTAGTCTCATCTCAAGTAGTTTTACATAGCTATAAAAAAACGTGTATCTTTAGTTGTCAAAAATCGTCCGGTTTCAAAAATTTGTCTGAGGGAAGTGGTCCTAATATCGAATAAGTCATATGAATGAAAGTAAGCACTGAATTTGTCAAACAAGTAACTAAATACAACACATAAAACGAAATTTTATACGCTTGCGTGCATGCGTATTATGTATATTACAATGTGATGTGGATTATAGTTTGTTAGTGCGTGTTGTAAAAGACACATACATGCGAAGTTAATGTATGTCATAAATCAAATTGAAACATTTTATAACCTTTACAATTGACACATGTCATTAATATTATTATAATCACTGCAAAACAACAAGCCAGATAGTTTTCAAAAATGTTATGCAAAATGCAAGAGATTTATCATCAATTTCTCTTAGACCAAAAATGACAGAAAGTATGAGCCGTTTATAAATTACTTGTTCTAGGGGTAAGAAAAAACACCCCGACTACCTTTTTATTAATATGCATGTGTTCGGTACCCATCTGGAAACTTTCCAGTGGAAAATTCGTCATTATAAGGACGCATATGATGTGCATATCACTGCATGTGAGAAACAGAAAAAATTATCCACCTTGTATATCAGAGTTTGGGGGTTGACAAATGCAAATAATGTCCTACTTTGATTTAAAAATTTCAAAGCACAAAAATATTCTTGCAGATCCCATTGCATTGCAGATGCATGATGCATTAGATGTTTATTATGAAATCTATTGACGACTATTTATATCTGCAGATATGTACTTATATAATATACAAGTTTCACTTTTAACACGTGGGTCGTGGATATTATGTCATTCATATGATTCATATCCATGTACATATTTATGAAAAGTGAAACTGAACCGAAACCGAAACTGAAAACTAGTAGAATATGGGAAACGTGTCCATATATTTGCGCGGATTGGGGTTGAAAACAAAGCACAACAAACCAAAAGTACGTTCCGGTGATGGTCCGTTGAATTCATTACTATTTTGACATTTTAGTATCTAGGGAACGTAAGTAGTGTCCCTTTTCGTTAGAGAGATAAAGTGTCATCAATCTTGGTTGGCAAATCCAATATTATTTTTCAATGCAGGTACTAAAGTTATTTATCTTCAAATTATAGTGGAATTTTTGTTCGGATCCATTTCTGTACTAGTTTCAACATAAGTTATACTCTGCTCGGATTCTGAATAGTGCAGGTAAGCCAACCAATGCTCATGATTTGAAAATGTATATACATATAATATAACTTATTGTGTAACGATTGTCGATGATATCAGTCGGTGCATCGCATCTCATGAATCATAAATACGGGCTTTATTTATTACTGCATTTAATCAAAATCATGTCTGATGATGTCCGCACGATGCCTAAATACGGTGATTTTGCACTGAACAATTAGTTAATGAATTGTTTTCATCAGTTTTATAGTGGATAAGTAGATAATTTATTTCCATGAGATTTCAGCTCTAATGCAGTCAATTAATTTGGGCACATACCTTACTACAAATGATACAATATTATTAGCAAAAAAATTAACGATGAAATACAACTAATAACTAAGTAGACTCCTCCGTACTTCATTATGTACTGACTAATTTCACAAATTGCATAACTTAACTACCTACCGACATAAGATACGTTTGCGTTTGATCGATATTGAGTTGAGGTAATTGATTGCTTTCGAGCGCATACTCATAAATAAATACTAATACATAGAAAGTATGCATAGAAAGTATAGTAATGATGCAATTAATTTTTTTTGAAAGTATTTAAATTGATCAGTGATAAACTGGGAACAGTCGTTTAAATGGTAACTTGATACTGATTTGTTGAATGAAATACATTGAACAAAACAAATTGTGTAAGGAAGAATATGAACAAATAATATATGCATACTGGAATTATGCTTAACTATAATATTCTTGCATTGTTGCAGCGTGCACTATGTGGTGGTTATTTCGAATCCATAGCTTCCTTAGAATTTTCTTGTATGGTCATCGCCGACATCGGAGTGCAGACGACAAGGCTTTCTGCACAATGGGCCAGCATTTCGAGTACCTTTTGTTCATTCTTCAGCAGTTGGAGTAGAATCATTGTGACTCTGGGCAAGTCTGTCGAGTTGTCGCCATACAAAGTCTTAAGGGTCGAGGCCAAAGAATTTTCTGTAGCTTTTCTCAATAGGGTAAAACGCATGGCCAAGTATTTCCAGCAGGCCTTGGTTGGTTGTCCAAGAGACGACAAATTATCGATTCCCTCTTCAATTTCTGTTAAAGCACCTGGAGACATACACACAGATAGTATTTAGTACACTAGTAAGATAAAATATTGAATATACACATGACTTTGCTCATTTATATTGCTACCTTCATCAGCTTGGAAGACTCGTATGAAAGCGAACAATTTTGTCGCCGTTGCTAACTGATCTGGTTTGACAGCAAAAGTATTTTGACACTCCAATCCAAGCTTGGCAAGAATGGTCTTTTTTCTACTGTAGTTGGGATCATTAACTCCCACGCCTAGCTCGAGAGAGTAGCTGTCGTGTCGATAATTAGGTGGAACAAATCCATTATGAACTAAAAAGTCTACCGAAGATCGTTTTCCGTAAAATATATTAAAGTCCGAATTAGTTTTATACTCATGCCCAGCATAACATATGAGGGTTTGTTTATCTTCATTGTAATCCGTGCATATCTGTTCACTTTCTTCGTGGTTGCACAAGTCCCACAAGGGAATTAGGCTAAGTATTGGTTCTCCGGTGGGGCTTGGCAGATGGTTAATCCTAGTTGTTACGGCTGATACTCCCCAACTATTCAGCGAAATATGCATGTAAAAATATCTATAAAATAAAATTGCACTATTTAGATAAGTTGACATACATGTAACGATTGTACGTAAAGACAGGTTTCAAAGCTCTGCTAGCAGAATCCGTTGATTTCTACCATTCATAAAATGGAGTAAGGTACCTTTAATCTGATTTATTTACTGGTTAAAAGTTTACTTACTCGAAATTTGATGTGAAAGTAAGCCTGTAATACAAAATGTATTATTATAAGAATATATATATAATAAGAACGTAATATTTGTATGTAAATGTAAGGGTTCTATATTGTATTATGGCGACTTAAATATCACTTTTTAATTATCTTTACATTGTTGAAAGAGAAATATTATGAGGGGCAGTCGATGTTATTTCTTTAAAACATGTTGCACAAAATCTGGAGTGTCGACTTGTGGAAGGAGAGTTTTAGGTAACGGAAAGAATGTCCTGTTCTTTTGAGACGCAAATCTGATCGCTTTTTTGTAGTTTTTCTTAGAAATCACGCCTTTCCATCCAACTTTTCGACGAAGTCCGTCATTGAGAATCTCCACTTCAACAGTGTTGCGGTCCTTCTTGAATCTCTTTCGCATTTGAGCGATGATCTGTAAAACAAAATAGGGTTATTAGCAGATATACATATCGGTACATACAAGTGAATGCACTCTCACCTTCCAGTAGTGCTGCCAGGAGAAAGCAGCATTTCTGTTTTTCCCCGTAGTCCCACCTGAGAATAAATAATCCTGAAAAAGAGAAAGTCAAAATGATACTTTAACTATTGCGGTTAACCGAGAAAGTTTGAACATGCATTGTATACCTGACGCCAAAAATTAACTCCTTTCTTCATCAACTTTACTAAACGACTTTTTTCTTCTTTATTATCTTGCCCAGAAAGGTGGATGCACGTGTCTTTTTGTGTTGAATTCGCAAAATATAAGAAGGCTTTGAAATTATCAGGCCTTTTCTTCATTGCATAAGTGGCCATTGGACCCTTGTCAACTTTCCCTGGTGGAAAGTACCCCACAAACAAGCTAGCGTGGTATGGCTCATACTTTTCTTTGTATTGAGATTTCAATGCACCATACATCGGCATAAACTCTTTAAATGCCGGACTTGTTTTCTCTTCATCTTTCATTTCTGGCTCTTCCTCATCCTCTTCTTCCCCATCATCCATTTCTTCTTTCCAATCTTCCTTATATTCATCCTCCTCATCATCAGTCCAAAATTCTTCTAATTCCAACAATGGTGCGCTAGTTTCCGCTTTGAAATTGGAATTGGTCGTAAGATTTGTCTCTGCACGGTGTTACTTCTTATTCGTTGTATTCCGAGTTCTTTTGTTTTGCTTCCTAAATAAATATTATAGGAGACACTACATGAAAATACTATGGACCCGGTTCATAAGGTGATTATAATAGTTGCAATTAATATGCACAAACTTACTGTTTTTCTGATATGTTGTGGACCCTATATCGGTGGAATCGTAACGATGCTTTGTCGTCTGAACTAAACAGAGTTCTGCAGAGGCCAGCTCCATTACCTTCGTCATCAAAGCAGACGAATTTTCCAAGCTTCTTTCCCTTCTTAGCTGCACTCTCTCTATAAATTTTCAAAATCCCTTCGTTCTCTTTCTCCATTTTTTAAAATTCAATAGAACTGATTTGTTTTATTATTTTGCACAGATGGACAGTAGCACAGAGTGAGGTAGGACTGGAGTAGGGAAGTAAACACGGTTGTGAGCTGGGATTACGTCGTACATTACGATTATGGTTTATGTATATGGATTATGTATTACATACATAATATAATATATATAATATATACCTACTTACTGTACTGTAATATACTTACTGTAATATACTTACATATTGTCGAGCCACGTTCCTAAGCATTCTGTTAAACAATTTTGTTATGTATTATTCTCATACATAGAAAGTCAATAAAATTGTCTGGTACCGAAATATCTGCGTAATACCTCAAAGCTTCGCGAAAAGCGCACGGAGAATGTTTTAATACAGTCATTTCCTCCTTTGTAAAGTATACTACAGTGTCAAACATTCTGGGCAGGATATCAATATAAGCTTTCCAGTGCGAGTTTGGATTTGAAAAACGTTCATACACTAGATACACCGCCAACAACACGTTTTGCATTACACTAAGCAGTGGATCTTTGTCGATTAGAATTTCTGAAATGGCACGCGAATTATTTATTAGATCCCTTTAATTCAAAGGATTTTGAACGTTTGAACGTGAAAGTGGCCCATATTTTTTTTACTCACTCAGTTTAGATTCTCTCGCCACTGCAGATGTAATAATAGCCTTTCGTGGGATGTCGAAAACCACATCATTAGTGTCGAGTGGAACCTTTGTTTTCAGTCCGAAACCTTGAGCATCATTGTAGGAAATTTCCACCTTGTCCGGATTGATGTCATTTAAGTGAAGCCATTCGAAGAAAGTTGGAAACCTTTCCTTTCTCCGCTCATTGTCTGCAATCATGAGCTGTTTGACATCGTCGATGCTGGAAGAGTTGTTTAAATTGCCATCTCGATATGCCTCGCGTTCCTTGATTTTAGCAATGAGCCCTTCCAACTTGCAATAATGTTCCCATTCTAAATTCAATCCGACAGGCATTTGTTGTGACGCCTCTATATGTGGTTACGAAAAAATGAAATCGGCAAATTACTTAAAAATCATAATACTAAAAAAAACTCCAAAGAAGGCGTTTAGTTTCTCACCATTTAACAAGGCTTCGACGTGAACATGTAAAGGGACTTTTTTATTACTCATGTTAGTCTTCGTTATTTTCAAATTAGTAACGTGAGAAAGTACGTAAAAGTACACCTCGTGAATACACAATATTATGCAATCACTGGCAGTGATGGTTTATTTATTATTCTGAAATTTAAGTTTACCTAGTTTACTGAGGCCGTAAATAATTTACGGTGTAAATCTCATACCGACGAGGAGACGGCATGTGAGAATTGTATCAAATCATAACAATACCCTCGTGTTTCGGGGATTCGGAGACAGGATTATTGAAAAAAGGGTTGTACAGCAGTCTACGCTCACAAGATGGACATCCTTGTCCTGTTTCATTTTCATCATTCAATTTGTCCAGGAGACGCTACATACATTGAGTAAACGAAAATGGACAAGTCTCATCTCATACATAGATATGTTCAACGCTATGTGAAATTAACGTAGCGATTTTACTGTTTTATCACTTTATTAAACAGTTGCATGTAATAATTACATACTTATACAATTAATGCATGGAAAAAGCATACATAAGAAATTCTCCAGCGTTTCCTTCCGGAAGAAAGGAAACGACGTTTACTCCTTGTAAAATAATGTTTGATTGAATTTTTAAAAAACCATGCGTAACTTCCAGATTGTTTGTGGTAGATGTCTATAAGATATCTGTTGACGAGTTTTAATCTTTTTGCCTCCATGCAAAAGAATATTTGAGAGATTTTATACACAAGTCGTTGACGCTGAAACGGTACGTGGTTGTCTTCAGGTACGTGTGTGTGTCTTGTATGGCTTTTTTTGTCGTTGGACGAATTCGGTCGTTAAACGTTAGGCACGTTTCCAGCGGGTATTATTTCATTTGGCCCAAGTTTCAGAACATGGGACTGCTGTTGTGGTGTGCGGATATTTATATTTTTAGCAAAATGATCTAAAAATAGCGTCGCTCTCAAAGTGAATGGAAACAATCCATTCAAGTGTGCCAAGAATTGCATAATGTTTTCCCATATCATATGTGTGCACTCTTCGACCTCTAGAGATATAGAAACTTGTCGTAACGTTATATAGATAACGTTATATAGATTTACTTACCGCTACGTAAGATTGTTGGTTGTATATACTTCGTTGGTCTTCATACGAAAAAAGTCCATGATTTAATGACTCAACTACTCTTGGCATCGAACGAAATTGGAATACACACAACAAAAAATGCATGGTAAAATTCCTAAAGAATGTTTTGCAAGGTCTTAGTAGACCATGAAGTGGTTATTGCATATTGAGCATTGATGCATCCATTATCGGGTACATATATGAAGGGTTACATACATATATACAGTTTCAAAGACATCATAAAAAACCAGGCGTAGAGGAACATTGCTTGCACATTTACCATATTCACAAGCTCATTGTAAAGCGACGGTGAAAGTTGATTTCACTTTCTCCTCCAGCCCCGACTGCTGCTGAGCTGGTTGGTTGGTAACTGGTGTGGATTTTTTTGATTCTCTAACAGACTGACTACTGCGAGATGAAAGTCGGGTTGCCTGGTTGGTTTGGCTGGTGGTCATGATATTTTACATCGATCTGTCTTTTCGGAGGAAGGAACCAACGGGTCGATGAAGTTGGGGTTGGACTGCGGCGGCTGCTGCTGCTTGGCGTGACATTGCCTTTGGTTTTGTTCTCTTCTAGTCTTCTTCTTCCTCTGATGCTGGCGTGTTTTTCGAGTGGCGTACATTGGCGTGGCGTGGGACATGATCATTTGATTTTCGTGTTGCCTCAACCAAGAACATTGCCGCTACTATTTCATACCATTACGTGGGTTCCATATGGGGTATGGTATATCCACCAAGCCGACTTTCCCTCCCTCCTTCTACTTTTTACTCTCTGAAAATATCGGAAATCAATGGTGAACGAGTGTACGGTCAACGGTGCACGAAGTACACAGCACATGGCCGAGTATGCATTACTGTGGAGAATCAAATTCGCTTAAGCAGTACAATATAAATACTAGACGATTTTAACTATATTTACATTAATACGATAGGTAGAGACGAAAGTGAAAGAACGGTAAACTTGTTATGCAATGCATGTATGTATAATTTGGTCTGGTAACACTCATATTTACTCGTATGCCAAATTCTAATAAGACTTGAAAACCCCAAGAAAAATGGTAGTCAACCCAATTTATTTCACAATGTCAATGTTCACCTATCTATGCATAACTGGCTGAATCAAACAAATATTGGCTAGTGCAAATTTCAAAATTTTTGATTTGTGTTGTGCTCTTCTACCTTAATGGCTAATTATGCAAAAGGTGTACACACGTAGCAAAGCTCCTCCCTCCCATTACCTTTTATTTATCGAATGTTTATTAATAGTCAATATCATATCATCTTATCCTTTTGCTTACGAAATAACGTAAGAAGTGGATTTCAAGTGACCATGAAACACGTTTCACCACTCCGATCCCACTCAACAGTCTATTACGACACAATACAAATATATGCATTACATAGTGATCTCACCCAGTGGTCGCGGAAGATAATTTGGACCATGGGGACGTATTATATAAGCCGTTCACGCCTATGGCGTTTAAAAGACTTAAAAAACATAAGGGTATGATAAAGAGTAATCTGAACACAAAAACATCCGAAATTTTCATGAAAATTTAAGAAAATTTAGGAATATCAAAATCTACTTAGCTGATTGCTGCAGAACAAATTGCAGCAAAACAATGTTCGAATGGCACTATTTAGTTATAAATTCAATTAACTACATTGATATTGGTTTGGAAAGGCAATATTATTGCCGTATTCGGTATTACCATATAATTTTGAAATTATGGTTTGAGTTGGTCGTATAGTGTCGATTTTTTTCTTACTTAAGTCATACGAGGGACCGTGGGGAAAAACGTATTACATTCACCATAGCAAAGTTTCCGGGGATATTGTCCTCACGGTTCCGCGGTCACTGATCTCACCAACGAACAAAAGATCCGTTAATTTTCATGATTATTAATTCCAGGGTTCTCAGAAATATCGAGATTATATGATTCTTGGGAGATGAAATTAAGTCTTTCTTAACAATGTCCTCATAATGTACGAAATATGTACATAGTCCGGCTCGTCTTGTATTGGTTGTGGGTGTGGGGGCACAAATGTGGCCGTGACATGCTTTATTAACCCTATACAACAATATACATCTACAATTTCACAACGTTTATTTTGTATATGATTCGTTCGATTGATTGATACGTTAGCTGACCAATTATATGAGTTCTTTTGCTACCCATCCTTATACATAGTACTGGAACTGAAAACAATTTTGTATTCCGGTTCCGTAGGACATCCGTAGAAGAACATATTTCCATTTCCCCTCTTCACCTCCGCCGTCGCCTAACTACTAGCAATATTTCTTAGGATAGATTCCTTAGGATTTGTTGGAAGCATGGTTTTTTGTACGTGACTAGAACTTCAAATTAGTACCATGATGATCATCAGCCTTCACCTGCTAACTAATATCCAGAACGCAGAGCCAAGCCAATTGCATTACTGCAGTGGTCTAGCCCCCCTCCATTTTATTACGCCACATTGGTATTGTAAAATTCTTGTCACACAATCCCACATCACATGACTGCGCTTCCTCCTCCCCACGCCAACTAACCAGCACAGCTCGATCTTTCTCCAAAAACGCCAAACCTCCTTCCTTTATTTCTTCATTGTCGTATAAAACTATGCCTCACTTATACTTCAAAAACCGTACGTTGCATTAGAGTGAGGAAAAAGATGAAACGAGGGAAACGTGATGTGAATCAATGCAATGATATAGTGCTTTTTAACAACGTTCATTCCTTCGTTTTCGAGTATCCCATGCCTATCAACTGTATTGCATACGAGCGTTGTTTTTTACTCCAAGAAAATAAATTGAAGTAGCAGAAGAAGAAGAAGAATGAGAATCTACCAGTTTGACTTGTTCCTCTTGATAGTGAAGTTGATGATCATGATCACATCTGCATGTTGTATTTGTATGTATATAGTGGTACATATGTAAGTCTGTCTGCTAAAGTTTGCATTTTTTTCCCTGCATCTCCCAGCTGTAATTTAAAATACCTCGTCAAGAGTATATTTGCGTTTTACGGCTACGCCAGGACCTTTATCTTTGTGGATGGTCCACAATAATGAAAAATGTGTGCAGACTAAATAGCTCAAAAGCGGTTCTTCTGGTAAGAAGGATGAGACAAAGGTAAACTAATCCCAAGTCATGTATGGGAAGGGAAACCTGATTCTTATGAACAAATAGACATGCTGGAACTCATGCATTTATGTAGATCCCTAAAACAAGTTCAATACTGAGAATGCGGAATTGTGTGCATATACTTATATTTGTAGATGCAAATATGTATATGCTTCTGACTGAATACATTCAACTCGCACTTACTCCACCGTAAATTGTGCTTATCCTTAGTTAATTAGACAATCTAATAAACTTTCCCAACGGCATAACTGACAGTAGGTTAGGATGACTTTTGATACATAATATGCAAATGGAAAAATAGTATCAATCCAGGTATTTTAAACATGAAGATGACGAAAAAAATATATCATATTTATATATTATATAATGGTTTAGCTAATTTTCCTACTTTGAAATTATTTATATTATTTGCATTTATACTTCACCACACTTGGATTAAAGGCTGTAATGTTACAGATATTGGTATTTATTTAGCATCACAAATGAATTGAGACTCGCTGGTTAGAAGAGGCGTGTATTTTGCTAGCTGTATTTATTTTGTACTTTTTTTTAAAGAACAAAGCCAGTAAGTAATATGTACATTCATGCGCCCTGCTCGCTCAACAGAGGAAAGTGTATGGTGTGAACAAGACTTTTTATCGATCGTTTTTTAACTCGAGTATCAGCAGGATGATGATGATGATGATCCGTGTCTGCCAGCAATTCCACTCCACTCCCTACAAGGTGGGAGGAAGGCTGTGACTTGACGCAGCAGTGGACGCGGATCCAACGTCTTGTGCAGTCACTGGGTTGAAGGCGTTAGTTTCCAAACCCAGAGTTGGACTACACCAATTGCCATTGCGACCCTGCACCCGGTTGTTGGAGAAATAGATTAGGCTTATTTATCATGATATGATGATGGCACGCTTTTGGATGAAGGGAAAGTACATGCATATGTATGCAATGCACATGCACGTTATATGCATTGTGCTTTCCAATTATGGTGTGAACTGAACATGTTGACTGTTTGGAAAATCGTTCAGAAATCAGCTCTTTTGACCTTTATTTAGGCGGTAAAAATATCAAGATAGTACATTATTGGAAGCGGAAATGCATGAATATTATTAGGGAAAGTGAGGTTTGCTGTTTCCAAGTTGCGCTACCATATGTACATAGTTTCAAAACTGTCTCAAGTGAAAATTCATAACTACATGACTTGATCCAGTAGTTACATTTTTACGCTTAATATGTGAATTTGCTAGTTGATTACAATTTTTCGCGTTAGTTATCATGGTTAAGAATTCTACTAACCTCAAGAAAATTACAAATTTATATCGTTTCCTTATCTTGTCCCTTCATGTACTTTAGGTCACACATAAAGAATTACATATGTAGATTAGAGATTAGAATGACAATTTTTGTTATCGGTGCTTACATTGCTGGCTAATTAAGGAGCAAATGGATAGTGAATTACGTCACACATACTATGTAAATGTCTTCATGTAATTATCTGTTCAGAATCCACGGAAATGTTTCAATTCTTTTTCACTTTTGAACTGTCGCTTTGCCCAGCGGAATCCAACTCGTGGCACTCGAACCCACTTAGAATAATTACTAGAAGAGAGACCATAAATATATTGATATTGATTTTTATGATCATATCGTTATGTTTTATTGTATACCTTAACTTGAAATTAAGTTTACTGTTTACTATTTGAGTAAAATTAAAGTACCATTCAAAATCAAATGTCGTGATGTCGCATAAATAGGTGCATAAGAATTATCATGAGTCAATATTTAGTCAATTCGAAATGGAAAACTATTAGTACAGAATAAAATTATCTAGAGTATTTAGTTTTTGTATGTAAATTCTATAACTGACGAACCAATCACTTCTTTCAATACACAATTTTCTGCATACATATTATAGACATTTATGTAGGTGTGTTGTACACATGAACATCTCTCTGATGATACATAGACATAGACTCACTTTATTTCTAAAACTCTAGGTTCTGAAATCATGCTTCTTTATAATAATGTCCACTTTAGTCGCATACTGATAACCTCATCTCACCACAACCAAGAACAAATTATGGTTTGTCACGTCTCACTTTGCTTATGGAATTTTGAGCCAAGCCATTATCTATACGTTAAGCGCATGGTTGAAGCACCTACATATATGTATGCACACCAGTGTATATACCAGCATACACAATATAAAGGTTATTGTTTATTAACACTGTAAGATTTTGCATTTCTACGTGTAAATACGTACCTAGGACGTGATATTTATATAAATATATGTATGAATGTTACCAATATATCTAAGATTACAACCTGTACGCATTTCATTTCACCCGACTACGTCTATATTCAGTCCATATTTTGATCACTTCACTTCCGCTATACTTTATTGTGTGTTTATTTTAAATTAGATATTTATAAGTGTGCACATATTTTTTTGTAGTAGAATGATCAAAACTTGTGAGCAAGAAATTATGGCTTATTTGAATAATTTTCGTTCTCTTTGCAATTCGAGATGTCTAATTTGTATTCTTGTTTTTCTGGATATGAGATTGACCCTAAATCTTGTTTGGGTTATGTATGTACAAATATGTAAGTACATACATATTTATTATTTACAACTTCTCAGAGTTATGAGTTAGTTATATTACTTACATTGTTTTACATTAACGATGAACTTGGCACTCGTTTTGTATTTTTACTGCATTTTTACTTGAGGTGAAGGTGCTCCAATCAACTGTACAGATAGTTGCGAACATGTATATTTACCATACACATGAAGCCATTATAGATTTCTGAATCCCTTCCCATGCGTTTTTTTGCAACACAATAGAACGTGAACTATGCAAACGTAGAAACGTAAATTATTCTTTGGTGCGTGCGTGTATGTGTTTTGAATGAATGTCAATTTTGGACACGGAAGAATTATTGCATTAATGCTTGCAATATAAAAATTTACCATGCGGAAAATGGACCTGAATTGGCTTGCGTTCCACATGAATATCCATATGCTCATTATTACAATTGATAGAAAAATAACTACGTTCACGTACTTTTTGCAGCTGCAGTAGATTAGAATTGAGAAAAATAGTTTTAGACAATGGAATAACGATGACATGTGTAACACTCACGTTATGATAACTATTATATATCGATAATAACCTGCCGTAGCTGGAGTATATGTATAAATACCCAATACCTGAGCCAAATTGCTTGGTCCATGAACATTTCGTCCAACTCCAATGGTTCTTTGGGCTTGAACCCGAAACAAATTTAAACATAATTTTAGAAGCAGTTAATATTTTCTTTGAAATTTATTCGTGACTGGAGCGAAGATAAGTGCTAAAATCATGAGCATCATAACATTCAGATAGGTACAGATCTTGGAAAAGGAGGAATTCCAAGGGAAAGAAATTGCACCAAAATTCGGAATAAACTGCATGGCAATTAATGGATGGTTAAAAATTGGGCCCCTCCAAACAATATCAAGTACTTTTTACAATTCATTAATAACTATTAACCAGGATCAATTAGCCTTAAATATGTGCTAAAAATGCTGCTATTTAGAGACAGCTAGACCGACATGTATTTGAGTTAAGCGTCAGGTCAGTTATGTAATTAAGGTATTAAAAAGAATATACAATTTGTTCTTCCTTTCCCCGTCATGTTAACTACATTGCACTGGTCGAGGTTCAATGAAATTATTGTATGACATATTTAGTTTTATGTGTTTACATTGTATATATGTATGTAGATGTAGGTATCCAATATAAAAGGTTTCATTTAACCATGGAATACGATATACGACACTATACTATGGTTTTAACCTGTATGTATGTATATCCAGTCTAGCCAAAAAGCGTGTAGTGCATAGTAGTGAAATATTGACTAATTTACGTCAGCTCTTAAGATACCCATTGCATAATAATGTAAATGTATGAATTGAATGGATGGAGTAGCAGACGAGTCTATTACACACAATTATTCTCCTTGATTTTCTTGGAAGATTTGATCAAGTTACGTCCTGCATCGAGCTACATCACCAAATGCACTATACATATTAACATCTGCTCTTGGCTTTAACATAATATCGTCACTTGGGAGCAATGCATACGGAACGATGGTCACTTTTAGGGCGCTAAGGTGAAGTTCTTGTCCACCAATTTGGCGTCTTAGCAGTCTCCGTGTCACTTTTACCCTGTTGCAACCCAGGCTGTGACAGTTGTCCTTCATCTTTCTCGAGGAGAAAGCACTTTGCCCGTGAAAGCTCTCCGCCTGTAACAATGAATTTATTGTGAAAGACGTGCCCCCAGCGTCCACTGCTGCGTTGGGTAGACGAATCCCATTAGCCAAGCCCCGTCGTCGTCCACAAATGTGTGTATATAGATAGATGGAAGCATCATCATCAAGAACCCTTTTTTTCCTACCTAACTTTACACAACGACGCTATGACTATGACGATGATGATGGAATCGTCAAATCGCGTGTGTTGGTTCTCCCTTTTTCAATAAGCAAGCAAGCAAGTTCCAAAAACTAAAAGTAATTCTGCTGAACGGGTGATGGAGGGCTTGTGGATGGATGGATGGAACATACGAGGATTATTCCTGGCATAATGGAACACACGGCTTATAAAAATAAACGTGTTGTATATATATGGCGAACGGTATCTTGGCATTTTGGTTGGACTGAGGAGTTAGCTTGGTTGGTGGCTTTTAGTTTGCTCCACGCTTTTCTCTGCGCTGGTCTGTTCGCCTGGTCGTCGTCGTCGCCGTCGTCGTATTGCTGCAGTATCTCAGCCTCCACCGCACAAAACCCCACACACACAGAGAGACGAGAATACGGCAAACAACAGTACATGTCATCATGTCTTGTACACTTCGTGTGGTGTTCGCCTCGCTCAGAAAAATTTAGACCCAAACCAAAACCAGCTTGCACGCATACCTTTGATAAATAAACTCAGGGTCGCCGTCGGTTTGATCTGAAACAGCTCTGTCCAATGCAATAAGCATCTTCTTCCTGCTGCATTTGGATCAATATAATAGACTCCAAGGTCTATTATATTATATTCAGGAACAACTGATTAATTAATTAAAGAAAAGTTCTTGGAAATAAGATAACAATATTTATGTTCCTCAATTAACAATACTAAAAATGTTCATCCGATATTCGCAAAGTGCATAATAAGAAAAAGTGTACAGGACTGTCTTGCATATTAAATACTTCACGTGGTCAAAATGTCTATGGCCAAGCGTCAACAGTGTTACTTGTGCGACCTGCCCCGGATGCCATGGGCCATGATACATGACTTTAGTGAGCCGGTGTGTCGTGGATGTGGTGAGTGCTAAATAGTTGCTGAATAAGCTAACCAAATGCCTAAATTATATTTATATTTATTTTTCGTAGTCAATTATGAGGGGGCAGATCGGATTGACATTGTGCTGGACACGGCTCGCCAGATGAAACGTGCTCATGCCAATGCATACCCAGACTCCGGAAGTCCAAGTCCGCGATCGGTGGCCCCACAGAAGAATGGTGGCGTCTTCCACCTCCCTCCCCCCCATGGCCCTGTCCATCCTCTCAGCCACTCCCACCATGGACATCGCATCAACTCGTCCTCAATGGGGGGTGGTTCTCAGTCCAATCTCAGCATTCCACCACCTCCCACGTCAGTCACCTCATCTCACAACACATCCTCCTCAAGTAAGACTCATAACTCTATCAGTCTTATTAACTAATAGCATACTAATTTGTAAAGACAATAGTTTGTGTTTCCGAAAATCAATTCAATACACTAATAATAATATGCATCTTTTACATGCATAGTTTAGTAGTTTTTGAGAAATGCTGAGTATATGTAGAGCAGATATTGTAGATCACCTTGCATAATATAGTCTAATCGGGTACATATAGTGATTGATTATTTACATTCATATGTGGTTGGATTGAAACTCAAAGATTAGCAAGCTTCCTAAAATTCTTGCATGTTCAACTGCATGGCCCTTTTCACGCGTCCCTCAAATTGACGAGATCAATGGCATAGAGTACTTAAATCTAATATCCACATAATCAGTTAAAATATAATAATTTGACAAAAAAACTCGTCATTTACCGGAGTAAATCACATCCGATGTAATAAATTGAATTTTCCATTGATTCATCGTGTTTGTGTGTGAAAGTTGATATGATAACTCTTATCGGCATTTACTTTTGTTATCGTATTTATTATCTCTTGTAACCATTACCTTTGGGGTCACATGTTCACATATAATCGTTCTCTACAGTTCCCAAAAGATAGAAACTTAAACATGTATCTCGTGTACATACACACTGGTTTAGTGTGCCATAACAATGTAAATAAGTTGGAGGGAGATTTGTCTCGATTTATCTTTTCCGTAACCAAATTACATATGTTATCTATTACCCATGATATTCTGCATTTACTTATCTCCTGAAATTTTTGTATGTTTATGACGCCAAGTTCCACTAGTAGAACTGCAAAATTCTAAGAACAAACCAACCAAATCCAGTCCAAGAGTATATACTCGTATGTTAAACTGAAATATTACTTCCAGGAAATCAAATCACGAAGAAATGTGCATGTATTGTTTCATTATTAAGAAACCATTCATTGAATGAATATTATATATGCACATATTGTTTGTTTCGTAATAGATATGCCGTCCAAATAGTGGTTCAATCAAATTCATTTTTAAAGTAAATAATACAATTATGTATGGCAATTTATGTCCGCAATATATATGAATGCTAGATTTTTGATTTGCTGTAAACATGTAGAAATTGTCACAACAGCAGGGCCATCCAAAGTTTGGCGTTGAGCATAAATAAATGCATTTAATTAATTGATGAAGACTTGTATTTGGCTACCCGGGAATTGTGTGTGTTAAGGGAGGGTAATACGTGTATGTACATAATAGTTGTAATACGTTGAATGCCATCGTTAATCAAGTATTCATACATGCGTGTATATGTAGAAGCCAGAGCAATGTCCTATCTGATTGGACAAGTGCATTGATCCTCTTTTTTGACCTAGAGTCGTTGCTCATGGGATATTATAAAGATTTTGTTTACCAGCAGCAGTTGTATCTAATTAATACACTTACTTACATAGGAGGGTTGATTGATAAGGAAGTAAAGTGAGCGTTTGTTGAACGTACTTACTTGCTGGTTGAATTTCTTGTTGGACATGTACAATAATTGGATAATATCCATATTTTATAGTCGTTAATACCAATACGATGATAAGCAAGCAAAATTGATGGCGGTGAACTTTCTACTTTACAGATAATGTTCTGTAATTATCGAAAGTTAAAATCAAGACAGATATGGATTTATTAACTAACTTGATTCTCATTTTTCAGAAGACGGAAACAATCCTCAACTCCTTTTCCCGTCTTCTTTGCGCCCAGGCCCTGCCGGTCTCATGGCAGTAATACCTCAACAACAGGTGCATCAGAACCAGAATCAGTCGCAACAACAAGGACAATCTCAGCAGTCGCAGCAACAGCAGCAAGCGTCACATGTTCGCCCTAATTCCCTCCCACCGACCCCCATCACGCTCAAGCGACTCTCGGATGAAGATGCGGAGCAGAATGGAAACGAGAGCAAACGGTAATACATATAAATTTACGTTATACCAAACAAATCATCTATTTATTCATCAACAGTTGCTTATTATCTGATTGCGTTCTTGACTATTACAGACTTGTGATTGAAGAACAACCAGGGATTGCTCGTCCAATGTTGTCACGAGGGGAAAGTCTTCCCGTGGGCTCAGATGGGGGAAAAGACAAGCCCATTAGGACGACCTCATTTGATACTGCAACATTGTATCAAAAACAAGGAAGCATCACAATGACAAATGGTATGAACATAGAATGGTTTAGCATTTACCATTACAGAAAAATAAAACTTTTCTCATTACTTGAAATCTAATAACAAATAACCCATTGCAGTAAGTCGAAGGCCGTCTGGGTCCTCGTCAAGACATGGAAATACACCACCTTCAACCGATGGAGCGGACTCGACCACAAATGCTTTAAAATGCACTCTGTGTCAAGGTACCAATTTTATTGTGCTCACCCGACTGCAGTGCGCAACTGGGCGCTGCAGATCCAAGTCCTTATGTATTAGATCTGTGCTTTTTTAATGAAGAAGATAAAGATAAATATGAATTTGATACAGTTGAAAAATTAATAATATTTGTATGTATTTATTTTTTTAACTCTAGAGAGATTAGAGGACACTCATTTTGTTCAGTGTCCTTCCGTTCCAAATCACAAATTTTGCTTCCCCTGTTCCAGACAGTCAATCAAACGACAAGGAGCTGGTTCCGAGGTAGGTTTCAAGTTGCATATCATAATTCGACGTGACAAATTTTATTATTCGTATGACCTCTCTGTGACGTTGGGAGATAAGAAGTCAAATATTGAACTTGTTTCGCAAATTTTTGTACCTGAATTATAAACATGTGCTGAACGTTTGTTGGACTACATACTGTTTGTTTACCAGTTTATTCGAGCTATATATCATGTTCCTTTTTATAGGTTTACTGTCCCAGTGGCGAGAAATGTCCGGTATGGATTGAAGCTACTTATCATTATTACTATGAATGATTAACATGGAAAATTTAACTGGAATATATTTATTTATTGATTGACAGCTCGCGGGATCCAACGTACCATGGGCTTTTATGTCATCGGAAATTTCTACAATTTGTCTGGGCGAAGACAGTTCAAAAGTGAAGAAAGAGCGTGAAACATAAATAATGTAATAAGCAAAATCTTCAATCTGAAATAAGACTTATGTACAAAACAGTAAAGAAGCAGCAAGAAGAAATTTTGAAGAGGAAATGAAATTTCGAAGAGGATACTTCAATGCTAAATATTAAAATTATTGTGACGTGTATCTCACTACCATAACCAGCCAATGTCAATTTTTCTCTTCATTTAGCTGTATGTAACATAAATATAACGTGTTAATCAACCTTACCCCTTATTTTAGCTGGATGTCCTATTTTTGCAATACTACAATTTCTTTTATTTATTACTTGTAAAATATTTTACTTATTAATGTCAATTTCCATCTGAAGAAGAGGCAATTAATATGCTGCATATTATACAAGTTTTCTGACACTATAACATAGTACGCATGCATTATAAAGGACCCTCAGGAATTAAGAATTTTAAAACCTAGTTGTGTATTATGTAGGTGGTGATGTCCGTCTATACAAACGATAAGTGAGCCACTTTAGGAATCATTGAAAGTTGTATTTAATCTGATTGGTACTATCAGTAATCGGGGCTGCTATTATTAATCATCACCGATGATGTTATTGTTAACAGTAAAAAATTCTAAACTCGTAGTTATTCAACATGCATTTTCGTTTTGTTTACATTTTGGCAATAATGTGTAAAATTGAACTTAATTATTGAATTTCGATCACTAATATCTAGTGCTATCGACTAGAAAATTCCCTGTAAAAAGTAACTATACGTAGATTCACATTGTCTACATACATCAGTTGTCAGTGTTCGTGTATGTTCCCTTTTTTCATGTCTTTGTCAGAATTTGAACAGTTTTGACATATGAAAGACTAATCTTCTAGTCATTGTTTAAATTAGACTAATTGGTGAAGTTTACAAGTTGGAAGAACATTTAGGATTGGTTTATTTTCACCTCAACATAAAACTCTTGTTACATATTAAAAAGAAATATTTGTTTTTTGCGTTTTTTACGTCTTAATACATGTTTGTGGTACAACAAGAATGCTGAGATTCTTTATATAGACAATTTCGTAATACTATAATACATACTAATAATATTTCAATTTGCATAACAAAGTATAGGTAATGTCGTCCTTTATAAACCTGTTGCATTATACCGGTTTGACTTTTTGTTAATCTTTACCGACTCCTAATTTGTTTTCATATCATTACAAATTTGTGTATGCCTTTAATAAATTTCAAATTCTGAAACGTTATCTTTAAAAAATAAACTCAAACAAAAGGTTTGACGATTTTAAAAATATGTGTGAAAATTCATTTATTTATTTGATACATGTCGGCATTAAATCGAGACATGCCGGCATTAAAATCGTTTGACGCTACTTGAAATTGTAATTTATATACCTTTTGTACATATCATAACTTCTAACTTGCGCCAATGCTGTAATTTAACTATGGCGCAAGTTACTAAGGAGTGAAGTGACAATTAAAACATAATAATGTAGATATTCATAATTTATTGTTCTTTCAGTTGGAAGAAAGGTGATGGATTTCTCTTATCAACGGACATTTCTTCGGTATGGTTAATAAACAATAAGAATTTCTTAATAAGTATTTATTATTAACAATAATTAAATAAAAATTAATTATGTTAATTAATGATGTGGTCAAATGAATTTTTTTTGTAAACTCATCGGCTGCTCAAGGTCTGCTTTGGCGAATGATCCATTTGCCTTGGGAGATCTCGGACCGCAAGACGTTCTGAGGATCGAGTCGGAATTTCCTGATCTGTTTAATTCAACAGCTTCTCCTAAAAAAACCAGAAATGTGACGAGAACATTAATTCCTCCAAATGCTGTCCAACAACAAAGGCCAAATGTGACCATACGACAAAGCTGCGCCGCCCCAACACCACCTTCCATTGTTACCCAACCGGTACGCTCAACTATTACAAGTAATGTGGTACGAGGAGGAGTAACAGCATTACATCAGATCAATAAGCAACCAAATATTAATCCGGCAAAAGCTACACCCCAAACAATGCGTCTTCCCATGTCATGTCCCCGTAAACCTTCTTTACAACATTTTTCGGCATCGCCAGCACGAATGCAGTATGTCTCAATTGACGAATTACGAAAAGTCTTGAAAGAATTTCTACAGGACAAAAAATCAGATCTCAAACCTGGGACATTGCCATGTTCTAGGGATGAGAAGCGTGGAAAGTCGCCTTTCGTACATCAATCTGAACAAATGAAACGACTCATTCAAGGTGACGCTATCCGGAAGCGTAGTAAAGACACGATATGTTTGAATCAAGGAGCTGGGGATGTTCGTGGTACTCTGGTTGAAAATACTTTCCCTATGAACCAAGTTTCATGTCCGACTACTTCATCTAAACATAACAGAAATGAATTTCGCCAAATGAGTCCGAAAATACGATCTTCTCCGGCACCCGGGTTTATAAAGTCTGTACCTTTACACCATGGCCACAGTAAGGAAAAAAATAAAAATGTTTCTACTGCCAAAAGCAATACTGAAAAAAACCGAGTAATTGTGAAAGACAATACAAATTCCAAACCCTCATTCTCCTCTCCTCAAAGTAGAGCAATATCACACATGGTCAATGGAAAAATGAAGAATGACGATATCTCGCCTCTCAAAGCCAAGAAAGAAACAAACCAAGAAACATGTGAGATTGATGTCAAAAGCAACAAACCTGAACCTAATGTATCCGAGTCATCCACCACCGAAAGCGCTAATGACCCCACCGATCCTTTCCTTAGGTATCAAATATGTACATATATGCAATATAGTTTACAATTTTAACTGTGAGTTTTAAAGTATAATTTTAGATTTTTTATTTCTTACTAGTGTAACAATTTGAGATTAATTTGATAATGATATTTTTTGCAGTTATCAGCAGTTGAAGTTTGCTAAGAATTTGGCCACTACATATGAAAAGATGGGTCTATTGCAAAGAAAGGCATCAGTGAAAAGTCCTCCCGACGCCAAGGCAAATTCATTCGATGATAAAATGGTACAAACTACTGAGGATATAGTTTTAAAACCACTCAACAATATGGGAGAAGCAGAAAGTCAACCTGACTCTGACATTTTGGAAGTACTAGCAAAAGAGTTGATATATCTTGAAATTATGAAACACCTACAAAGTAATTACAAGGTAATGACAGAGAATAGTAATTCTGGAACTAGACAAGAAGAAAGTCACAATTTTGATTGTAAATCCTCTTACAATCATACAAATGCATTGGATAACATGAACATAGAAGAACTCATTTTAGGACGGTTAAGTGTTATTCAAGAAATAACTGAGATTGAGTTAATTACACCAACTCTTTCGGCCTCGTCATCCCATCCTCTTGATTTACAACAATTTGAATTTGATTTGGATGTCATTCCTACCCCTGAAACTCCAGAGGCTTCGTCGTCAAAAAGACGAGCTCAATGTGCGGTGAAGGAGTCACCAGGAAATCTTAACGATTATACAGATTGTAGTGACATTTCAGATTTTGCACAAAGTTTTAGCGAAAATGAAAACGTTTTTAGAACCCCTCCACCACCACGACCACCACCAGAATTAAAATCCCCCTCTAACAGTAGTGACTTTAGTACTCCTCTGTTATCAATAAGTACCACAACGAGGCGATCACATAAATCGCCTCCGGTTTTAAATTCTGCAAATATTCACTACAAGCAGGATATTGTTGATATTTCAAGTCCCAGCACCCCTTACAATTCGTCAAAAAGCACTCCTTCAAAACGTAATCCGAGAATACCACAATGGAAACAAGTAACAAGACAGATTTCTGAAGCTTTAATACAGCAATCGCATAATAAAGACTCTTCTGAGGCTGGTTTAACCTCCACTCCAAAAACGAATTATACCAAACCATCACAGTCTCTACAAGTGGAACAAGACCAATCAAACGCCCATGTCTTACAGGACCATGAAAATGAATCCCTCACTTTGTCAATGAGCGAACTTTTATCGGAAGGAGAGTTCATAGGGAAAGTGTCTAAAAGTCTAGGCGAAATTACTCCATTAAGACAAATTATACGCCCACTTCTTTATCAAAATTCCGCAAATTCTTCCTCTATAAATAATTCTGTAGGAAGCACGGTCTACTTCGTTTCACAGGAAGAGTCGTCTGCAACTCAATCTAGTCAGGTATGTTGTTCAGCTCATCAATTGTAGCACTTTCATAATACTTATGTATTATTGATTTTTAATAGAATGTGTTGTTTCTCATACATATTTCAGCAAGGTGCATCAACTGCATACGAAATATCACAGGGGGAGTTTCTTGGAACTTCACCTATATATATGAATTACAGTCGAATGGGCTATAAGGTAGCAACCCAAAAAGTCCTGTTTTGATCAGCGTGCACGCGCGCTCACCTGCTTTTGCACGGAGTCATGTACATGACTCGAGCAGGTCAGCGAGCGTGCACGCTGGCATTTTTCCATCAAAACAGGACTTTTTGGGTTGCTACCTTATAGCCCATTCGACTGTACTTGCAGATTATAGACGGACAATGTGAGGATACAAATCTGCTTAAATATTAAAATAAAATTGTTTAAACCGTAAAAACCTTCGTAGTATTAAAGAAAATGAATCATGCTCAACCTGAATTTTCAACGCATGCAGCACAACAAAGCTAAATATGTATAATGTTATGCACGTTCGGTTCGGAGCATGCGGATGCGATACTACCCGAATTTGAGAATTCTTGCCCCACCGAATCCGAGAGTGAGAGTAAATACAACACATTGGACCTGAGTTTAAAAACACCCAGTTGATGACTAGCATACCATAAGTTGGAATTTTTTGAAAAATGAACAAGATTATTGGCACTTTGGTACTTGTAAATGCACTTGGCGTCTGGGGCTCAACTCTTGAAGTCCTTCAACAAAGAGTTGTGGTAAACTCGTCTGAACTGTGCATCCTTCCAATTACTGCTGGCCTCTTAAAATGGGACAGACAGCCAGGTCAATATATTTAAATTCTTATCATGAATCATAGTTTTTATAGTGCACTGTTAATTTCGTGTTTACAATTACAGGATTCGTCAATCAAGTGGCTTACATCCCCAAGCTAGTTAACTCTCCAGGTTAGAAGAATTCCAATGATTAAATATAATATTATTATAAATATGTCGCTCAGCGATTGGTATATATATGTATGTGGGGTCGATAAAATAGGATTTACACTATGACTGACTATCAAGAATGTAGCTTCCAAGCAAGATTTTCTATATGTTTAAATTTTGAACTCTTGCTTGGGATTTTAAATGCAGATTTACCAAGCTGGCTTCGGTACACATATGATGGATATAATTCCATTGGCTACATTTATGGAGTTCCTCCAGTCCATCTTTCCTCGGTCAATTTGGACATCATTGGGTGGAATCGTGGAGACTTTTACGACGTCCGAAAGTTGATCATTTCGCTGGAAATTGTTCCAAAAGAATCAATGAAATACGTGGCCGAATTTAAGGTTGACAATCTTAATATCAAAGATATGGCCAACCCTCGAAGAATGGGAGAACTGGTCGATATACTCTCGGATCAACTATCCTGGGGAAACAATGGAGCCAAGGTGGTCCCAATTTTTATGGCTTCAGCCGTTGCACTTGGAGAAAATCGTGTCCCAGTGAAACCCAACGAAGCTGAAGGGTAAAAGCAAATTATTGAAATTATATTGAGATGATTTTAACCAAGTTTCATTGATTTCATAACATATCACACCACACCACACTATTAACAACATCATAAATTTCTAGAGTTGTGGTCCATTTTGCGTCGGATCTGGATTTTAGTCCAGAACTAAAAAAGCTGCAAGTTGAAGTTCAAAGTTTATGGAAACTTCGTCCTTGTCCACGAGATCTGAAGAGGTACTTATTATGTGACTCATATACTTTTGTACTTCACATGCATAAATATATGTATGTATTACATAAGTACTATACTTTTAGGACATCGGTAGAGAGATATTTTCGAAAACATAACATCCTGGTCGATTGGTGCACATTTCGACTAACAACTCTGACTGATTCATCTGTCGAAGATGTTGATGGTCAAGTGAAGAAGGAAGCTGGTGGCACTAGTCATCTTTATCGGGCTGCTGATGATGAATCTGTGAATTTGCCGTCGGAACCAGAGATTTTTACTTTCCGGTCCGAAATTCCTAATCGAACGTATGGATTTGAAATCCTTCTGTCTACCATCATTCCAGGTTAATTGATTAATCCAAATAGTACTATCCAATTTCAAAATAGTAATTGCATTTAATTGGTTTAGGTTCGATCGGAGGACTTGTTGGATTTCTATTGATTGTCCTGTTGCGCACTGATCGAGATGAAGATGCACCAATGTATACAAATTTACATATTTAACGCATACATTGCATATACAGTGTCGGACAGATCTCTACGTCCACATAGTCGCGTCAATTTCATTTTCAAATTGTCACTGAACTACTGAACCAATTTTCATCATTGATATATCAAATTCTCACAAATTTAACGTAATTTCATAAAACATATGAGTTATTTCTGAAAATTCTGGGAAAACTGAGAATCATAGTGCAGAGCGAGAGAGGATGAAATTTGAGCGGACAAAAGTCTACGTCCACTTCACTTTAATTGTCAACAACAAAAATCTCTCCAATTTATAAAATCAGGTAACTTAATAAATCTATCAATAACATATGCCGCATTAATTTTTAAATAATTTTCTTCCAGAAAAATATGATGGCGTCGACACGCAAGGAAATTCCTATCGCTATTCGAGATCTTGTCATTCAGGACTGGAAGGGTGGACAAAAAGGGGGGCTGTCGCAGAGACAAATAGGGACCAAGTATAAATTAGCAAGGACAACCATCCAGACAATCATTAAGAACTTTAGAGCTAATGGTTCAGTCCAAAACAAGGTCAGAAGTGGTCGAAAACCGATTTTGGCTCACCGAGAAGTACGCCACGTGCTCAACAAAGTCAACGTTACACCCTCACTTAGTGCTCCAAAGCTATCTACCGAGATCAAGGAGATGTTCGACAAACAAGTTAGTCCTAGGACCATCCAAAGAACACTGAACAAGGGAAATTTGAAATCCCACAGAGCAGTCCGGAAGCCTCTTATTGTACCGAGGAATGCAACCAAACGAGTGAAGTTTGCCAGAGACCACATTTCCAAGCCACAAACATTCTGGGACAGTATTTTATGGACTGACGAGTCAAAGTTCAATGTCTTTGGGTCAGATGGGCGTCGTAGAGTGTGGAGATATCCAAAAGAAGCATTGAATCCAAAAAATCTCAACCCCACAGTTAAGCACGGCGGCGGGTCGGTAATGGTGTGGGGATGCATGGCTTCAAGTGGGGCAGGAAAAATGGAATTTGTTGACGGAATTATGGACCAATACAAGTACCAGGGAATACTTGACCGTAATATCAAGGAATCTGTTCGAAAACTTGGACTTGGACGACGATTTGTCTTCCAACAAGACAACGATCCGAAACACTCTGCCAAGTCCACCATGGAATACTTCAAGAAAAAAAAATTTCGAAGCTAGAATGGCCTCCCCAATCTCCAGACTTGAATCCCATTGAGCATCTGTGGGACCACATTGAAAGAGAAATAAGAAAACAATCTTTTTCAGGAATTCCGGGCCTAAAATCCAGAATTCTTGAAGTTTGGGAAACCATTTCTGAAGATGTGACCAAGAATTTGGTAAACTCTATGACTCGACGCCTTGAATCCGTCCTTAAAGCGAACGGAGGCCCAACCAAATATTAAAAATTAATTGTTATAACATTCCTTATAAATTACAGTTTTTTTTGTATGTTTTCTCTGACTGGACGTTGACTTTTGTCCATCCAATTGTTTTCATTTTGAATTAAAATACATCTCTGGCCTAAAATAAATTTTTTAGCGGAAAACTAATAATGTGCTATGAAATTACGTTAAATTTGTGAGAATTTGATATATCAATGATGAAAATTGGTTCAGTAGTTCAGTGACAATTTGAAAATGAAATTGACGCGACTATGTGGACGTAGACATCTGTCCGACACTGTATAATGCCAATGCGATAATAATTATTTTACGCTGTAGCGCACCATCATTATTAATATAACCGGATATATTTTAAATTGTAGTCATTAAGTTATTTTAGTTTGCTAATTTATTACGATTAGTAATTTATTATACCTGTTTCTAGAGACCAGGATGCCTTATTCTTTGAAGCCGCATTTCGTACCCTATTTTCAATGCTGAGGTTTATTCTTAATTTACTTGGTGTTTTTATTGGATATAATGTCCAATTGTTGTTACATAAAAAAGAATTATGATTTATTTAATGCATATTTTGACTAGGGCATGCAACAACAAACTTTATTTGCTATTTTCTTTTCAGGATCAAGTACCCTCGAAATGGTAGTCAGTACATTTATCATCAGACGCCACAGCAGGACGTTGGAGTAGTTGTTATGACGCGAGACAATGGGATTGATCACTCATCAGTGGTCATGGATGAAGACTTGACACCAATTCCTCCTCAATATACAGAAACTCATCCAAAGTATGTAACAGTGATTTTTGCATAAATGCCAATTAACAGTTTTAATATTACATATAGTGGAACACCAGCATTGATTTATGCAGTTTGATCATTCTGGCTGGATAACACGAACCATTACCTCTTGACTCAAGTGTACTGCATAAGCCGCTACAGGAATATGGTAATAATAATTACCATAATAATTATTAATGACATGTTAATTTACCGTCTTTATTACTAGTAATACTTTGTGAAATTTAAAGTTTTATAAGGATTAATAATAAATAAATAGGATGCTACTGAATGATTTACATAATATTATTGGGACAATTCAAGCAACACCATCACAGTCTTTAAACTAGAAGACGCAACTATTATACATGTACGAGTAGTGTGGCCCGCATCTGCGAGCAATTTTATAAGCCCGTCGGCCAATAATAGTCCCCAATCTCAACCTGCCTCCAGTGAGAGTCATAGAGTGCATGATCCGGGAGTCAAAAAAGCACACATCAAGTGGCTATTCTTTATCTGATGTATGTACATCTATATATATCAGCCCAAAAATGCGTCATATTACTTCGAATCGAATTATTGGCCAATAATAATTTATAGCTATTCCCAAATAAAATTATTTCACATCCAGGTACATAATTAATCACCTAATCAAATTTAATTCTAGTAGCAAGTAAGCACACAATGTATTCCAGTGAAAAACACCCTGTGAAGATTAGTAGTGGTGGGCTACAAAGGTAATGCATGTTATTTATCAAGAAATGGTTGTCGATAATGTTCACTAGAGGTTCAAAAATCGCGAGAATTATGCAACGAATTCATGACTATTAATCAATTATTCATTCAACAAATCATTCTCATTCAGAGGATCTTCATGTGGACGCACTTCCTCAACTTGGTCAGAAGACTCTTCAAAATTATGCTCAGGATTGATTGGCACGGCAATTTGTTGTACCCCCACAAGTGCAACACAAGGGGGCGACGGTAACTGAGGGAGGGAAGACGCGGTTGGATGGATTCCCTGCTTTATGGCGCTACTTGGACCAGGGATAGCATCAGATTCCTTAGTAGTCCCTGATGGGTCGCAATTATTCGTTTTTACTTCTTCGTCAGTTTGAGCAGGGCATTCAAAGTGGACGCAATGAAATACCTGTTGCATACACAAAATATTGCAACATTATAAAATATTTAAATAATCAAGTTTCATGGTTGAGAAAAAAACACATACTTCGTTAGCTGTATTATCTGTTCCGACAATGCGAACATAGACCACAGGAATAGGTGGAAATCTGATGATTTGCCACGACTTGCATTTTTCCCGTGACCTATTGCATACCGTTTCCCAACTCCTTTGGTTAGTCGACACCTCAATATAGTAGCTGTCTAAAAAATAAAATACTCATTATGCATATTTGAGATGAATGATGAAATTCGGATGTTGTAGCAAACATTACAAATACTTTGCATGTAGAGTTCTCATGTCATTTACCCTGGCCAAAGTGGCTGATCAGGTATCAAAATTTACATTAGAATACTAAACAGTACAGCGAACCCAGTCATAAATTACAAAAAAAAACACTCGAATTGTACATAAATAGTACTCGTACCTAAGGTACGATAACATATTTAGAGGTACGAAAGGGACATACATACATTATAATGTATATATTTATGAGAGTCACCTGAGGTTGAACCTCGGCTAAATCTAATTTATTGAATTTAACTTACAGCTCCTGTCGTCACAATCCCAAAGTAACAACCTCATTGATGCAACGACATATGGTTGTGCTAATTGCACAACAATGGCCCCACTGCCCAATTGATGACAAGTATATCCTGAATCCCAATCGTATCCTCCAGTTTTTCCTGAAAATCGAAAATCAGTCAAACGTATAAATTTAACAACTGCTACAAATTGTAACAATAATTATGATGTTTGCAATTTTTAAAATTACCATCAATTAGAGCATTTCTACTACGTGAAACTCCCTCGATTACACATGCACTCAATTCGACTGTGGCAACATTTTCTCTTGGGCCTGTACACAAACCACAACCACTCAAATTAATATGTATGCTAAAATTCACATTTTCAGGTACAATATATAAACAAGTAATTAATATAGAATTTACACAACAGCCCAAATTTGGGATGAATTGAGAACTCCTTTTTAGTGAAGAAGGCTTGCACTTGCACTACATGAAACATTCTGTTGACCGTATTATGGGTTCCCACAATTTTAATATACCTACATAATACGGGTTAATATCAAAATAAATCATAATCTCTGTCATGAATTAATATTAATTATGATAGCTCGAATAAATAATGAAATTAACAATAATATACCTTATAACCCGCTGAGGGAAAAATATGGTTTGCCAAGAGCGACAATGGTATTTTGTATGATCGCAAACTCGTACCCAATCTTCCTGATCCATTGACACTTCAATATAATATGAATACGACCTGCACAAATTAAAAACATCAAACAATTTTGAATTTAATGCAAAATTTTGAAAAGCGCAACAAACATTAAAACGTTTTACCTGAGATCGCGATCCCAGAGTAACATTCGTATATGATTCAAAATGCATTGTTGTCGAAGGCTGTTTACAAATGAGGAATTAATTATTATGTTTACGTAATACATATGAGTACAAGTGGTTCGGCTGTCAATTTATCAAGGACACAGATTTTGTTCACGTTCGTGCCATTCGAATAGATGGGATATAACTCACCGGATAACAATTCCACCACCACCTTCGCCATTTTCGTCAATAATATGTCTGGAAATAAGTTTCAACATCCTAATCGTTGACGTTCCAATTTTAAGCATGAACATTTAAACTATTGAGTTAAAATTTACCTTGTGAACCCCCTTTCAACGTCATAATTTTGGACATCCCCATCCAAAACTGCTTGCCTCATTTCACCTTTCAGAACTGTGGCACCATGTTTCATATGGGCGACATTTTCTTCAGGCACTAAATAAGATAGAATACACATACTTTTTTTGCACACGAAATATTTTGATGCATTCTTCCTACTCTCTGCAGTGAATTTAATTTAATTATACATACTTAAATATCCACGGTATCGAAGTTCCGTATCTCGAGCTTTCTTCTGAGACTGAATAGCATCAAGTATTGAGTCAGGACTCACAAGATCAGTCGGCCTGACAGTTTCCAGCAACGTTTCAATTTTCATGAGTGGTAGACGCACATTGTTTAATACTGCTGCAGCATCAACGTGAACATCTTTGTTATGTCGCACCCAATCAGCTACACATTCAAATATTTTTTCTTCATTTGCACAAAACGAGTCTCTTGAAATCAGTTCGGTTACGCCAGCCTGTTTGAAGTGAAAGTTAACGAAATTGTCAAGATATGAGATAATAAAATACTATAGCCACCGATCATGTGTATTACCGGAGAGAGGTTAAAGAACGACGGATGTTCCAATAAAGTGACAGCATTTGTGTCACCGAACATGCAGCAAGTAATGACTAGAGAATGCAGTCCGAAAATTAAGGCTGTATCCAAAATCGCGCAAACATTTCCAACGTGTAGAGCAGCTTGAAGATATTCACAAACACTGGCTTCGAGATCTTCAAAACCCCATTGATGACACAATCTAAAAGTTATTAACCTTTTGTTCACATGTGCGTTCTACACAATGCCAAATAACACAGAGTTATACAGGTACGAAATTAATAGGCAACACAATGAAAATATTGCACATACCCCAAGACATCGAGGATGACATCTTCTTTAAGGTCACCCAGTGACAGCCTACCAGTATAGACGTATTTAAGCAACACTTTAAAAGCTGCAGTGGAGGCCCCTTTGAGCTCTACTTCTGCCTGCGTACTCTCCCTCATCCCTATAAATTAATGTATCCATTTGAAGTATTAAACTTGTCATTTTTCTCTCCATGTAGAATTTTAAAACTTTCCACGTACCACCAAAGAGAAGCGCACGGAAATATTCGGATCTTGCGGCGAGGATAATTTTATGAGCTGGGAACCGCACTCCCTCAACCACGAGATGGACGTCTGAAGTAAAAAATATTTTTATTAAGATTTTATTACATGACTTTACTACAACTCACGATTGATTAGTTTTCTCGTCAGCAGTGCACCTCTTGGACAATATAAAAGTATGAATGATAATCAATATATCCTAACCTGCATATTCGGGGTTGAGGAAGAGCGAATTTTTCAGATTGTCCGACAGGTTTACAATGTGATCCACCTCTGTTGGCCTTGCCGGAGTGACATTTCCATTACTGAGGACGATGTTGCTGTTGGGTTCACAACTTGCTGTCGAACTCATTTCCAGCGAAAGCAGACTTTAGTAGATTTTTTGCTTGCTACAATTCTACACGAATTTGTAACAAATAAGATCTAAATTGTAAGACCTAAATTGTAAATTAATCATAGAATTAAAATTACAAAAATGCAACTTAATAAGTTTACGTACAGAATAATAATTTTAGATTTACTAAAAAATGCAGGGTTAATTTGTCGATGAAGTTCTTCCGGGTTCGTCGCTTTCGTTTAATACTATTACCAAATATATAGTGATTTGGACGATATCTCTTCGATATCCCTTGTTACAAAACGTCCAAATGGTTTTCGAAAGATTTTTAATATCGCAAAGAATTTTATTTTTATTAGAACCCCAAACCCCAACGAATCAAATAAAAACAAAACTCTGGAATTTTTGGGAGAACACCGAGACAAGTTTCTTGCGGGAATGCGGGAAGTCAGACTTCACACAGACACACGATTACACATAGTAGTCAATAATATTGACTCATCGTCAATATTGCATAATATTTATTGTTGTGATTCTTATTATATATTATTTTTGAATTTTTGAAGTTATCAGTGAAGATGACGACCACTATTTCGACCGCAGATGGAGAGAAGGTTATGGAAGATAAGGCTTACATTGAAGCCGCCGCACTACTTCAAATACTGGAGATATCATTAAAGCGAGGGTGGGTATTATTCAACATTCCGCACTGCGCTGCATATAACATACTTTAATTATAATTATACTAAAGAAATTTTAAACTTTTGTCTGGTAATCTTGTGGAACGCAGAACATACTCTAGTTCTCATGAGCTGGCAACGAAAACCCTACAATTAATTGAGAAATATGTGCAGTCAACATCATGGAGGAATGCCGAGTAATATCATTTGTTAAATTACAAATTATTCTGGATTACATATAATCAGTCGGACATAAATGTTTGCAGGGAAGTTTTGAGGTGGTTAAAAAACACTTCGGAACGATTAACAAATGCTGCTATCTCGGAGTCAGCTTCCTCTAATATGATTCATCGCCTTATAAAAATTATCCAAGAAGAATTTGCTGCAAAGAAGAAGGTGTTACTATACTGTCTGTGTATTGCGAATATTATTTATTATAGTGGATTTATCACTTGACGAATGATTTGCATAATATATTTTTTGTTTAGATTGAAAATTCGGCATCGTCTAACTTGCCTGCTCATGCTCCTTCAAGGCTAGATTCAACGGAATTGGGAATTGTAGATTTTACGGAAGAAGTACCCGATCTACGATCTGATATTTTAAATGCGATTTTAGACTTGTCGGCCGAACTTGAATCAAGGTGACTAGTTGATAATACCTCGATTTCAAATTCTCCACAATTACTAAAATCTAAGTATGATGATGTTATATACGGTATTGTTATCTAATAAAATAAAAACTATTTAGCGGCGAAAACATTGCCGAAGATGCGGAAAAGCATATCCATCAACAAGATGTCATCCTCACCGTGGGAAAGTCTCGAACTGTTGAAAAATTCCTTGTAAAAGCAAAGGCTAAGAAGCGACGTTTTGAAGTCATTGTTGCAACGTGCGGTCCATTTTATACGGTACGTTATTATATTATTATCATGCAAAATGTCAGCGTGCTGTCATAGCACTGCTGTGCTAATTGTATGTGTGTTTGTATGGGCTAATGTGTGATAGTGCTGTGTTAACTTACATATTTATCCATGCAGGGAAGAGAAATGGCGGCACAGCTGAAGAATAGATATAAAATACCGGTCACCTTAATGGAAGACACCGGCGTGTTCAGTGTCATGTCCAGGGTTAGCAAAGTTATCATTGGGACTCATACAATTCTTGCTAATGGAGGCCTCAAGGCAATTGCTGGATGTCATCCAATCCTCTTGGCTGCAAAGCATTATAATGTACCCGTAAGTTGCCTGATGGTTTATACGTATTTTATAGTTGATGTAAATTGTGTAAAAATATTTTAATATGCAGGTACTCGTTCTTGCTCCAATTTACAAGTTGAGTCCAGATTACCCATCATCCAATAACGTTAAGATTGCGAATCGTTTTGTTTCTCCTGAAAACCTGGTCAAATATGAAGATTTGCAAGTAATGAACAATGCCCACGTCTATGCTACAGTTTTCGACTATGTGCCTCCAGAGTTGATCACTCTTTTCATATTCAATATGTAAGGATTTTAATTCAGCGACAGCGACGTCAAGTTTACTGATTTATAATTTATGATTTCTAGAGGCAGCCACTCTCCATCATACATATATCGTTTACTACACGATACTTACCCACAACAATGACTACCTGTTGTATTGCGATTATAACATAAATAAATGGACCAACCTGTAAATTGGTTTATCAGTGCTTTATTAGTATAACAGTACAAAAGTTCGATTTGTATTCGTTTGTTGGTTATTTCTAGTCGTACAATATGTAACAAAGCATTGCATAGCATGTTAATAATATCCATTGTACCAGTAGATACAACACTAAAACTAAGCGGAATCAGATCATGTCATATCCTTCGTAAAAGTAAAAACGCATTACAAAATCAGACATCATGGGAATGGGAAACAATAATGTTTCTTAGAAAAATATTATCTCTGATAAATATTACCTTAAAAATACAAGATTTAAATAAATTAGTAGGTCACAAAATGCAGAATTTTGTTGGCTTGAAGGCGAAGCTTCTCAACGGTTTCGTATGCGGGTGATAAATGAATTGTATTGCGCTTTGATTTTCTATCAACTGTATAGTAAATAATTCCATGTGACTCGAATGCCAGACAAGCCGTTTTCAAGATTTCCATTGTCAGTAGCTCGCCTAATACAAATATTTATGTATAGCAAATTTAATATCAAATATTAGTATGAAACTAGGTCAACAATATTACCGTAATCTTCAGTAGAGAATAATGTTTTCAGCTTCTCCAAAGTTGCTTTCATAAAGTCACAATCGTTCACAAACTTAATAGCTTGGAGCGTGGGATTTATTAAGCATTCAAGTTCAAGAACAATTGCAGCATAAAGTTCCATATAGGGAACCAACAAATTACGCAAGAAACATAGGGTTCTGTAAGCGTATTCTGATGTACAAACTTTGAAGTCGTATGGTGCAAAACCCCCTTCTTGATTGTTGTTACCGAGGGGGGCATTTTCGTCATCTGAATTGTCATCGTATAATTCAACCTCATATGCCTTTCCTCTGGAACGTCGAACAGTTTCGCCCTAACATAATCCATCAATACAATGTTGAGATACTGAATATGCCCTTTTGCATATTAATGCATGCATGTGTGTAGTAATGCTAGTAGTAAACTTACCAGTAGAGATTGAATAAGATTTCTGTCATTTAACAATTCGTAAGCCTTTTCTATAGCCGTTTCCGGTGTCAAGCATGGAGAATGCAGAAAAAATTCAGAAGTGAAGGTTTCATACACTTTTCTAACTTCGGTAGTCAAAAGCACATTACTAATTCGGAGTTGCTCTACGTCGAATGCTTTTGTGATTCGCATGTTGTTTCCAAGAATCGCCAACAAACCAACAGCTACATGTAATAACGTAAAAAAGTGATAAAGTGTGAAAATAAGTAAAGGAACAAACTTCACAAAGATCATAATTATTTTCTTATGTAACGTAAGGTGTTGCGTAAATCTTACCCACAACAGCTTCCGAGGCCATGAATTGTAAAATACCATTAGCATAATAACCAAGCCGCAACAAACTCTCGGATGATAATATTGGTCTGACAATCTGTTCATCTCCCAAAGGACAAACATAGACTGTTTCTGGTCCAAAAATATCCAACTAAACATTAAATATAACATCATTGCTTATTTTAAAGTGTTAAATGTTTAAATAAATTAAATGTTTGCCATTAATGTAATGAAAATTGTAACATACGGCGTGAAGGACAGTTTTTTCAACATCTCCAGTAAATCCCACATCTTTCCCATAGCTACTAAACCAAAGTTTCAGCTGTTGCACTTCGGAAAACAGTTTAGAAAGAAAAACTCCTTCTTTTCGAAACTTTTTCAATAGAAGAAATGCCACACAATTTGTCGACAGGGGCACTGAGCAGTGAGTACTTGCTATTAAATACATACAAGCACATACACAAGTCCATGAATAAATCAAAATATTCAGCCTACTAGTAATGCAATGCCGCACACCAAGTTTATAAATATATTTTACCATAGATAGTATGAAATGCCAATGCATCCAAATATACGAACTTGTCATCAGTTTCATCGTCCTGAAACTCCAAACCGTACAAGGAAGAGAGTGAACAAGACAAAGCCCGATCAAGAGATGAATCCCAACGCAAATCTGCACCAACAAATGTCTTTGCATAGCTAGTGATTATATCGTTGCATCGTTTGATGTCCCCCATTAACCCTGTTAATTTTGCATTAGCTTTGCTGGATGCAAGGAAGTCCTGAAAATTACAAAAACATATATAATAATAATTGTTCATTCATGTGAAATTGTAAATCAAGGAAAATGTAATATATGCAGTTCAGTTAGCAATTTGAGTATGTAAATTCAATTACTCATACCCGAAGTGTGAACGGTTGTCCAAAGCTAACTCGAATATACCCCAACTTGTATTGAAGGTAGCTGATCATTTTCTTCAAGATATTCCCATCATTATTAGTAAAAGGTGGTTTACCATAATGCTCTGGCAAATATTCATATGCCAGATTAACCGGGACTATATAGGCATCCTCAACTTGTTTGGTAACAAAGCATTTATAAACCTCGTCAAGGAACTCGACTGAAAGACGAAGTTATACATAGATTATACGATGTTTTATTATATAAAAACGGAGCATTCATATTAATACCTCCAAATAACTCAACCGATGGTTTCCCAGTTCGAGTTCTTTGCTGCTCGAAGTTCAAACATATGCTTCCTCGATTTTGAAGTATATTCCGAAAGCATGCTGCGCCAAGAATGTTTTTTGTGGATTCCGATATTTTTTCCGTTCCAGGGGATTTCAAATTATTCTGAAACCCTATACCACCGACGAACTGGGCCCAATATCTGTCAATTAATTATATGTACATTTATAGATTAATAAAATTCCATGCACCATGTTGTCACCTATGTATATAGCAAACCAAATTACCTTTGACTTCTCGTAGAGAAGAAATATGGCGGGGCCAATCCTAAAGACTGCAGCGTAAAGAATAATACGAAAGGATCCCACCCACTTTTATTCAATGGAACATATATAGTAGGAAGATCAGTTAACAGTGCTCTCTCTAAAAGCTCCACCTCCCCCTCATGAACACATATTCCGTCGCTAACTATCCCCAAGAATTTCCGTAAAATCCATCCCGTAAACCTATAAAGAAATACAATACGTTATGACACCTAAATTTAATTGTCATAATGAAGTCACTCACTTGAAAATCCAGAATATTCCCCGTCCAGTAAATGGTAGCACCAATTCCTTGACTGCTGACTTTAGTTCGACAACCTGATTTTCTCTACAGTTTATTCCCTGATTTTATAAATTTCAAAGATTACTATACACATAAATCACACAGAAATGAAATATGTTGTACACCTCTAACGCGTCTTTTACGATATTTTCCCTATTCAAACCGGGAATCCTTTTAAAGGAAATCTCAGCAGTTTCCCAAACGTAGGACAGAGCGGAAAGACGACGAACAAAAAATGACTGGTCAACATTATTCGTTCGGATATGGAAAAGGTTACGGATCCCAGAAATCTTTACTTCTTCGTCCAAATGACACTGTTACCAATCAATACCCAAACATTGACTTAAACTGAGATTACACATCATATTTGAACTACCTACACTGTGATTTGGAAAACAGGTAGAGCAAGCAGCCGATAGTTTCCGGACTTCAGAATTATCTGGAAAAAACTGCTGCTGATACTTGAATTTGCTAACATGATATGCATCAGTTTGCTGCAAAAATTAAAATTCCCAGTATATCCAAAACAAATAATGACATCGTCATTTACCCTTGCTCAAAATATACTCTACTCACCTTTGTCAATAACTCTACCATCGGCCTTCGACCCTGTGAGCTGTTATTTCGTCTTGAGAATATTCCTCGATGCATAATCAATTCACTCGTAGTCATGTTGACGATTCTGAAGCCAAGCAATACATTTCATATTTGTAAATTCGATCGTAGGGGAATAAATTCAAACTTTGGAATTAGTGTGAAGTTTATTGATGATTAGGATCTTACCTATATTTTGCCCTGAAGTTTTGCACTACGGACTTGTTAAATGGAAGTAATTTACTAATTAAATTGTTAGCTCTCAACCAAAATTATTTCAGTGTATGCATCATCCAATGGGAAATTTATTTATTTAAGTACATGTGCACATTTCTAGAATGTAGCTTGTAGATTTCATTGCCGGGATTTATTATTCGAATTCGAGTAGACTCTGATACAATAGGATCTTTTTGTCTCCTTCATGAAAATGCAGGGACTTTCATTTTGACAAAAAATGGAACACGACACGGTGACTGAACTACAAATTTTAGCATTGACATAAACCTGTCAAGTTATCAAGAACAATTTATTACCTACTTCTTTGATCCACAAATTTTAAATCATTTACAATAGAACAAATTAGCTTAATAGACATAGAAATGACATATAGAAATGACATAGAAATCTAGTTGACACTCGTGCATACCATAATTATACTGTGCAATACAATAAATGCACATATAATGAAAGGTTAGCTATCATACTCAAATAACTATATACGAGTATATATATTTAACTGATCATAATTTAATACTTTTTGCGACCATATTAATACGGCAAAAAATCTTGTCTTGTATTAAAAAAAATAATCAATCAATTCCATGTGCACATATCCACTATACTCTAATCGTAACGTAAGGTATGCATTTGCTGCAAACATGTATTAGGAATCGCAAAAAAATGAAAACTTTTTTAACCTCCGCCAGAGGCAAAGGATAAGTGTATACCCACTTATTGGAAAGAAAGCGTGGTCGGCCAGAAGAATTTGTGGTGTGTTTGACTAAAAATCGATAAAATATGTCAAGGTTAAAAAAATTAATATTTTAAGGTGGCCCTAACGTGTATCACTTTTGGAAATATCGAGTACTTATGAACAACGAAATACTTTGAGTAAAAAAGTATTTTCAAAAATACAATACAATTGTTAAGGTCGATAGTAGTGCTAAATTATGATCAGATTGCCCTATATATATTTATAAGTAGATAAATACACTATAATTAAGATGTACATACATAGAAAATATTCATTTTTTTCGTCTCGGTAAATATATTATTAACCTATTTGTTTTGCTAGTCACTAGTGGGGTATGAATTACGAGGTGATACATATTAGCTACACTGCCGAGAAAAGAAAGTTTTTGGGATTGAATTACTTAAGGCAACAATTGTATCGTCATAGACATTTTCGGTCCAGTTAGGTGATCCCTTTATAAATGATGTAGCGTTGTTTGGAAGAAATAGCAGTGTCAATAGTTTAGATTGTCTAAACAGCGTAGATGTAAACGATTGAGGTCCGTTGCCATTCTTTGTCTCGGCCTGAACTATGAATTGCTCCGAGTTGGGAACACATATCACCCTGATACTTGAGGTAGAAGCACTGAGCGTGACAAAAGTTTTTGGCGTCATGTTCCTGATACATTCAATTGGGTAAGTCATGTTAAAATTACGCACGTAAACTTCCGGGTTTGTGAGAAACCTAATCACTACTAGGGATATGTTGTTTATGTCCGATCTCATGACGGATATTTTTGTTCGCTTGTTTCTTGACACAGATATTATGATAACACGTTTATTCTGGCTACGAAGAATTTCAAATAAAATAGATTTTTTGGGCATTGGGATTAGCGATTTTACATTTTCATACTCCGTTTCGTGAGGATATGATTGATTCTGTAAATTTATTACACGGTTGAATATTTCTGTTTCTGGTGTGCGGTGGAAAGATGTTGTCGGATACATTTGTTGCACAAGACTTGTCATGAAAGATCGTGCAAGGATTTGGAATCCGTTGGTTCTAGAGTACACATTAGTTATAATCTTCGGTTGTTTCAAGTCTATATGAATATCAGATCCTTCGAGCATATTAGATGTATCATGATTATTGTATTTTATATAACTCGATATGGCTGTTTGAGTATCTTCGAGCCGAATTGAATCATAATTGTACACGTAATTGGTCGAATAAACCGTAGATGTTGTCACGTCGTTCCAATGTCTAGTTGTTTGAAAATTGTACATTCTCGTACTGAGATACAAGTGGCTGGTTATTTCAAGACTTTTAGAAGTTGATAGATCGTACGAAGTACTACTAATGATTCGTCGTGACAGTATAACATTTTTAAATATAGTTTGCCGACCTTGTAAACTTAAAGTAATTCTGTTTTCGTGGGAGTAACGTTGGGTAGTTGTTGGTACTGTCGTAATACTGTCGTAATGTCGTAATAAGTAATCTGATGTTTGGTGATAATGATTGAAAGGTTCGGCGAACTCGAGTCTACTGGGCATTGTACGTTTCGTTAATAAACTATCGAGCTGGTAAGATGTCACAAATATTTGTTTACCAAGTGATGCAGTCATGTTTCTCATGTTAAAAACTAAGTTTGAAATTATTCCAGGGTTCATGTGAATGTGGTTTGAATGTGAATACAATTTCAGCGCAAGTCTAGTTTTCGTGATAGTGTGGTAACGAGAGGCGGTCAAAAACTTTTCGAGTGAATTGTGCAATACAGATGATATCGCGGTTGCGCGGTATGTCGCGGCTGTAGTCGTCATTTTACATGGCACAAATTCCCTGCATTTGTAGTTTTGAAACATAGGAATAAAAATTTCTAATTCAGATTCTGACATATTTCTTTTTTTCGCCTCCATAAAAGCTTCCTTAAAAGATCTATCAATGCAGGTAATCGACGATTTAGAAAACAATGGAAATATCGCAGGCATTTTAAATTTAGATGAGGACGCCCTCCGATCATACTGTAGTTGAGGTATTCTACTGGTGACGTGATACATAGATATTTCTGTACTCATTTTTGAATTGAACGCTGAACTTGGAACAGAAAGCAATCCTGTATAAGGTTTGTCTGTAGCATACGCAAATAAACTAGGCTTATAAACTATCGTCTGAGCACGAATTTCAATACTTGAATACGCAATGTTTAAAGGTTGACCGATATCCATTTCTTCAAGTCCATCAAGTTCTTTTTGAGTTCGATACGGTACATTAAGATTTTGCACAAGGTTACTAGAAATAGTATACCCCAAATTTGACGTTGAAATTGAACTGTAATATTGCCAGTGTGGAGTTTCGTCTAGTAACTCCAATTCATACTCAGATTCAGAAGATCTCGACGTGTCACTGATCCCGACATCCTCAATTTCACGAGGAATGCAATTTACACCAGATGTAAAACTCAAAGCTGACGGGTGTTTACCAAATCCGCGTCCATGTTGTGCTGCCACCTTATCATCGGAAATGAGGGCTGGAGTTGCAATTCGGGTGGCCTGATCATCAACGTGGGCGATTGGTGTTGTGAAATGATGGATTGGTGTGATCAAAGTTGTTTCAATTTGTATGGCGGGATGTGTGACCGCCATGAGGGCGGACGATGAGAGACTTTGTTTCAAATATCCTGCAGATGTAGTTGGCAGGATCGACGGAGTAGAAACCAGAGTGGAAATGGTGGTTTCAGTACTTGCCTCAGTAGAGCTTGGTGTCTCTGGACCTGGGCTTGGTAAAATAGCCTGTGTTGTCATGATTGGGAGAGTCGCTTGGAGCAACGTGAAAGCCACATTTGCTGTGGGTTTTCCGCTTTCAGTAGTTGCATCCTGTTTCTGGCGTGGTGTTACCATGTCATTCTCATTGGTGGTAAAACTCAAAGCTGACGGGTGTTTACCAAACCCGCGTCCATGTTGTGCTGCCACCTTATCATCGGAAATGAGGGCTGGAGTTGCAATTCGGGTGGCCTGATCATCAACGTGGGCGATTGGTGTTGTGAAATGATGGATTGGTGTGATCAAAGTTGTTTCAATTTGTATGGCGGGATGTGTGACCGCCATGAGGGCGGACGATGAGAGACTTTGTTTCAAATATCCTGCAGATGTAGTTGGCAGGATCGACGGAGTAGAAACCAGAGTGGAAATGGTGGTTTCAGTACTTGCCTCAGTAGAGCTTGGTGTCTCTGGACCTGGGCTTGGTAAAATAGCCTGTGTTGTCATGATTGGGAGAGTCGCTTGGAGCAACGTGAAAGCCACATTTGCTGTGGGTTTTCCGCTTTCAGTAGTTGCATCCTGTTTCTGGCGTGGTGTTACCATGTCATTCTCATTGGTGGTAAAACTCAAAGCTGACGGGTGTTTACCAAACCCGCGTCCATGTTGTGCTGCCACCTTATCATCGGAAATGAGGGCTGGAGTTGCAATTCGGGTGGCCTGATCATCAACGTGGGCGATTGGTGTTGTGAAATGATGGATTGGTGTGATCAAAGTTGTTTCAATTTGTATGGCGGGATGTGTGACCGCCATGAGGGCGGACGATGAGAGACTTTGTTTCAAATATCCTGCAGATGTAGTTGGCAGGATCGACGGAGTAGAAACCAGAGTGGAAATGGTGGTTTCAGTACTTGCCTCAGTAGAGCTTGGTGTCTCTGGACCTGGGCTTGGTAAAATAGCCTGTGTTGTCATGATTGGGAGAGTCGCTTGGAGCAACGTGAAAGCCACATTTGCTGTGGGTTTTCCGCTTTCAGTAGTTGCATCCTGTTTCTGGCGTGGTGTTACCATGTCATTCTCATTGGTGGTAAAACTCAAAGCTGACGGGTGTTTACCAAACCCGCGTCCATGTTGTGCTGCCACCTTATCATCGGAAATGAGGGCTGGAGTTGCAATTCGGGTGGCCTGATCATCAACGTGGGCGATTGGTGTTGTGAAATGATGGATTGGTGTGATCAAAGTTGTTTCAATTTGTATGGCGGGATGTGTGACCGCCATGAGGGCGGACGATGAGAGACTTTGTTTCAAATATCCTGCAGATGTAGTTGGCAGGATCGACGGAGTAGAAACCAGAGTGGAAATGGTGGTTTCAGTACTTGCCTCAGTAGAGCTTGGTGTCTCTGGACCTGGGCTTGGTAAATAGCCTGTGTTGTCATGATTGGGAGAGTCGCTTGGAGCAACGTGAAAGCCACATTTGCTGTGGGTTTTCCGCTTTCAGTAGTTGCATCCTGTTTCTGGCGTGGTGTTACCATGTCATTCTCATTGGTGGTAAAACTCAAAGCTGACGGGTGTTTACCAAACCCGCGTCCATGTTGTGCTGCCACCTTATCATCGGAAATGAGGGCTGGAGTTGCAATTCGGGTGGCCTGATCATCAACGTGGGCGATTGGTGTTGTGAAATGATGGATTGGTGTGATCAAAGTTGTTTCAATTTGTATGGCGGGATGTGTGACCGCCATGAGGGCGGACGATGAGAGACTTTGTTTCAAATATCCTGCAGATGTAGTTGGCAGGATCGACGGAGTAGAAACCAGAGTGGAAATGGTGGTTTCAGTACTTGCCTCAGTAGAGCTTGGTGTCTCTGGACCTGGGCTTGGTAAAATAGCCTGTGTTGTCATGATTGGGAGAGTCGCTTGGAGCAACGTGAAAGCCACATTTGCTGTGGGTTTTCCGCTTTCAGTAGTTGCATCCTGTTTCTGGCGTGGTGTTACCATGTCATTCTCATTGGTGGTAAAACTCAAAGCTGACGGGTGTTTACCAAACCCGCGTCCATGTTGTGCTGCCACCTTATCATCGGAAATGAGGGCTGGAGTTGCAATTCGGGTGGCCTGATCATCAACGTGGGCGATTGGTGTTGTGAAATGATGGATTGGTGTGATCAAAGTTGTTTCAATTTGTATGGCGGGATGTGTGACCGCCATGAGGGCGGACGATGAGAGACTTTGTTTCAAATATCCTGCAGATGTAGTTGGCAGGATCGACGGAGTAGAAACCAGAGTGGAAATGGTGGTTTCAGTACTTGCCTCAGTAGAGCTTGGTGTCTCTGGACCTGGGCTTGGTAAAATAGCCTGTGTTGTCATGATTGGGAGAGTCGCTTGGAGCAACGTGAAAGCCACATTTGCTGTGGGTTTTCCGCTTTCAGTAGTTGCATCCTGTTTCTGGCGTGGTGTTACCATGTCATTCTCATTGGTGGTAAAACTCAAAGCTGACGGGTGTTTACCAAACCCGCGTCCATGTTGTGCTGCCACCTTATCATCGGAAATGAGGGCTGGAGTTGCAATTCGGGTGGCCTGATCATCAACGTGGGCGATTGGTGTTGTGAAATGATGGATTGGTGTGATCAAAGTTGTTTCAATTTGTATGGCGGGATGTGTGACCGCCATGAGGGCGGACGATGAGAGACTTTGTTTCAAATATCCTGCAGATGTAGTTGGCAGGATCGACGGAGTAGAAACCAGAGTGGAAATGGTGGTTTCAGTACTTGCCTCAGTAGAGCTTGGTGTCTCTGGACCTGGGCTTGGTAAAATAGCCTGTGTTGTCATGATTGGGAGAGTCGCTTGGAGCAACGTGAAAGCCACATTTGCTGTGGGTTTTCCGCTTTCAGTAGTTGCATCCTGTTTCTGGCGTGGTGTTACCATGTCATTCTCATTGGTGGTAAAACTCAAAGCTGACGGGTGTTTACCAAACCCGCGTCCATGTTGTGCTGCCACCTTATCATCGGAAATGAGGGCTGGAGTTGCAATTCGGGTGGCCTGATCATCAACGTGGGCGATTGGTGTTGTGAAATGATGGATTGGTGTGATCAAAGTTGTTTCAATTTGTATGGCGGGATGTGTGACCGCCATGAGGGCGGACGATGAGAGACTTTGTTTCAAATATCCTGCAGATGTAGTTGGCAGGATCGACGGAGTAGAAACCAGAGTGGAAATGGTGGTTTCAGTACTTGCCTCAGTAGAGCTTGGTGTCTCTGGACCTGGGCTTGGTAAAATAGCCTGTGTTGTCATGATTGGGAGAGTCGCTTGGAGCAACGTGAAAGCCACATTTGCTGTGGGTTTTCCGCTTTCAGTAGTTGCATCCTGTTTCTGGCGTGGTGTTACCATGTCATTCTCATTGGTGGTAAAACTCAAAGCTGACGGGTGTTTACCAAACCCGCGTCCATGTTGTGCTGCCACCTTATCATCGGAAATGAGGGCTGGAGTTGCAATTCGGGTGGCCTGATCATCAACGTGGGCGATTGGTGTTGTGAAATGATGGATTGGTGTGATCAAAGTTGTTTCAATTTGTATGGCGGGATGTGTGACCGCCATGAGGGCGGACGATGAGAGACTTTGTTTCAAATATCCTGCAGATGTAGTTGGCAGGATCGACGGAGTAGAAACCAGAGTGGAAATGGTGGTTTCAGTACTTGCCTCAGTAGAGCTTGGTGTCTCTGGACCTGGGCTTGGTAAAATAGCCTGTGTTGTCATGATTGGGAGAGTCGCTTGGAGCAACGTGAAAGCCACATTTGCTGTGGGTTTTCCGCTTTCAGTAGTTGCATCCTGTTTCTGGCGTGGTGTTACCATGTCATTCTCATTGGTGGTAAAACTCAAAGCTGACGGGTGTTTACCAAACCCGCGTCCATGTTGTGCTGCCACCTTATCATCGGAAATGAGGGCTGGAGTTGCAATTCGGGTGGCCTGATCATCAACGTGGGCGATTGGTGTTGTGAAATGATGGATTGGTGTGATCAAAGTTGTTTCAATTTGTATGGCGGGATGTGTGACCGCCATGAGGGCGGACGATGAGAGACTTTGTTTCAAATATCCTGCAGATGTAGTTGGCAGGATCGACGGAGTAGAACCAGAGTGGAAATGGTGGTTTCAGTACTTGCCTCAGTAGAGCTTGGTGTCTCTGGACCTGGGCTTGGTAAAATAGCCTGTGTTGTCATGATTGGGAGAGTCGCTTGGAGCAACGTGAAAGCCACATTTGCTGTGGGTTTTCCGCTTTCAGTAGTTGCATCCTGTTTCTGGCGTGGTGTTACCATGTCATTCTCATTGGTGGTAAAACTCAAAGCTGACGGGTGTTTACCAAACCCGCGTCCATGTTGTGCTGCCACCTTATCATCGGAAATGAGGGCTGGAGTTGCAATTCGGGTGGCCTGATCATCAACGTGGGCGATTGGTGTTGTGAAATGATGGATTGGTGTGATCAAAGTTGTTTCAATTTGTATGGCGGGATGTGTGACCGCCATGAGGGCGGACGATGAGAGACTTTGTTTCAAATATCCTGCAGATGTAGTTGGCAGGATCGACGGAGTAGAAACCAGAGTGGAAATGGTGGTTTCAGTACTTGCCTCAGTAGAGCTTGGTGTCTCTGGACCTGGGCTTGGTAAAATAGCCTGTGTTGTCATGATTGGGAGAGTCGCTTGGAGCAACGTGAAAGCCACATTTGCTGTGGGTTTTCCGCTTTCAGTAGTTGCATCCTGTTTCTGGCGTGGTGTTACCATGTCATTCTCATTGGTGGTAAAACTCAAAGCTGACGGGTGTTTACCAAACCCGCGTCCATGTTGTGCTGCCACCTTATCATCGGAAATGAGGGCTGGAGTTGCAATTCGGGTGGCCTGATCATCAACGTGGGCGATTGGTGTTGTGAAATGATGGATTGGTGTGATCAAAGTTGTTTCAATTTGTATGGCGGGATGTGTGACCGCCATGAGGGCGGACGATGAGAGACTTTGTTTCAAATATCCTGCAGATGTAGTTGGCAGGATCGACGGAGTAGAAACCAGAGTGGAAATGGTGGTTTCAGTACTTGCCTCAGTAGAGCTTGGTGTCTCTGGACCTGGGCTTGGTAAAATAGCCTGTGTTGTCATGATTGGGAGAGTCGCTTGGAGCAACGTGAAAGCCACATTTGCTGTGGGTTTTCCGCTTTCAGTAGTTGCATCCTGTTTCTGGCGTGGTGTTACCATGTCATTCTCATTGGTGGTAAAACTCAAAGCTGACGGGTGTTTACCAAACCCGCGTCCATGTTGTGCTGCCACCTTATCATCGGAAATGAGGGCTGGAGTTGCAATTCGGGTGGCCTGATCATCAACGTGGGCGATTGGTGTTGTGAAATGATGGATTGGTGTGATCAAAGTTGTTTCAATTTGTATGGCGGGATGTGTGACCGCCATGAGGGCGGACGATGAGAGACTTTGTTTCAAATATCCTGCAGATGTAGTTGGCAGGATCGACGGAGTAGAAACCAGAGTGGAAATGGTGGTTTCAGTACTTGCCTCAGTAGAGCTTGGTGTCTCTGGACCTGGGCTTGGTAAAATAGCCTGTGTTGTCATGATTGGGAGAGTCGCTTGGAGCAACGTGAAAGCCACATTTGCTGTGGGTTTTCCGCTTTCAGTAGTTGCATCCTGTTTCTGGCGTGGTGTTACCATGTCATTCTCATTGGTGGTAAAACTCAAAGCTGACGGGTGTTTACCAAACCCGCGTCCATGTTGTGCTGCCACCTTATCATCGGAAATGAGGGCTGGAGTTGCAATTCGGGTGGCCTGATCATCAACGTGGGCGATTGGTGTTGTGAAATGATGGATTGGTGTGATCAAAGTTGTTTCAATTTGTATGGCGGGATGTGTGACCGCCATGAGGGCGGACGATGAGAGACTTTGTTTCAAATATCCTGCAGATGTAGTTGGCAGGATCGACGGAGTAGAAACCAGAGTGGAAATGGTGGTTTCAGTACTTGCCTCAGTAGAGCTTGGTGTCTCTGGACCTGGGCTTGGTAAAATAGCCTGTGTTGTCATGATTGGGAGAGTCGCTTGGAGCAACGTGAAAGCCACATTTGCTGTGGGTTTTCCGCTTTCAGTAGTTGCATCCTGTTTCTGGCGTGGTGTTACCATGTCATTCTCATTGGTGGTAAAACTCAAAGCTGACGGGTGTTTACCAAACCCGCGTCCATGTTGTGCTGCCACCTTATCATCGGAAATGAGGGCTGGAGTTGCAATTCGGGTGGCCTGATCATCAACGTGGGCGATTGGTGTTGTGAAATGATGGATTGGTGTGATCAAAGTTGTTTCAATTTGTATGGCGGGATGTGTGACCGCCATGAGGGCGGACGATGAGAGACTTTGTTTCAAATATCCTGCAGATGTAGTTGGCAGGATCGACGGAGTAGAAACCAGAGTGGAAATGGTGGTTTCAGTACTTGCCTCAGTAGAGCTTGGTGTCTCTGGACCTGGGCTTGGTAAAATAGCCTGTGTTGTCATGATTGGGAGAGTCGCTTGGAGCAACGTGAAAGCCACATTTGCTGTGGGTTTTCCGCTTTCAGTAGTTGCATCCTGTTTCTGGCGTGGTGTTACCATGTCATTCTCATTGGTGGTAAAACTCAAAGCTGACGGGTGTTTACCAAACCCGCGTCCATGTTGTGCTGCCACCTTATCATCGGAAATGAGGGCTGGAGTTGCAATTCGGGTGGCCTGATCATCAACGTGGGCGATTGGTGTTGTGAAATGATGGATTGGTGTGATCAAAGTTGTTTCAATTTGTATGGCGGGATGTGTGACCGCCATGAGGGCGGACGATGAGAGACTTTGTTTCAAATATCCTGCAGATGTAGTTGGCAGGATCGACGGAGTAGAAACCAGAGTGGAAATGGTGGTTTCAGTACTTGCCTCAGTAGAGCTTGGTGTCTCTGGACCTGGGCTTGGTAAAATAGCCTGTGTTGTCATGATTGGGAGAGTCGCTTGGAGCAACGTGAAAGCCACATTTGCTGTGGGTTTTCCGCTTTCAGTAGTTGCATCCTGTTTCTGGCGTGGTGTTACCATGTCATTCTCATTGGTGGTAAAACTCAAAGCTGACGGGTGTTTACCAAACCCGCGTCCATGTTGTGCTGCCACCTTATCATCGGAAATGAGGGCTGGAGTTGCAATTCGGGTGGCCTGATCATCAACGTGGGCGATTGGTGTTGTGAAATGATGGATTGGTGTGATCAAAGTTGTTTCAATTTGTATGGCGGGATGTGTGACCGCCATGAGGGCGGACGATGAGAGACTTTGTTTCAAATATCCTGCAGATGTAGTTGGCAGGATCGACGGAGTAGAAGCCAGAGTGGAAATGGTGGTTTCAGTACTTGCCTCAGTAGAGCTTGGTGTCTCTGGACCTGGGCTTGGTAAAATAGCCTGTGTTGTCATGATTGGGAGAGTCGCTTGGAGCAACGTGAAAGCCACATTTGCTGTGGGTTTTCCGCTTTCAGTAGTTGCATCCTGTTTCTGGCGTGGTGTTACCATGTCATTCTCATTGGTGGTAAAAACTCAAAGCTGACGGGTGTTTACCAAACCCGCGTCCATGTTGTGCTGCCACCTTATCATCGGAAATGAGGGCTGGAGTTGCAATTCGGGTGGCCTGATCATCAACGTGGGCGATTGGTGTTGTGAAATGATGGATTGGTGTGATCAAAGTTGTTTCAATTTGTATGGCGGGATGTGTGACCGCCATGAGGGCGGACGATGAGAGACTTTGTTTCAAATATCCTGCAGATGTAGTTGGCAGGATCGACGGAGTAGAAACCAGAGTGGAAATGGTGGTTTCAGTACTTGCCTCAGTAGAGCTTGGTGTCTCTGGACCTGGGCTTGGTAAAATAGCCTGTGTTGTCATGATTGGGAGAGTCGCTTGGAGCAACGTGAAAGCCACATTTGCTGTGGGTTTTCCGCTTTCAGTAGTTGCATCCTGTTTCTGGCGTGGTGTTACCATGTCATTCTCATTGGTGGTAAAACTCAAAGCTGACGGGTGTTTACCAAACCCGCGTCCATGTTGTGCTGCCACCTTATCATCGGAAATGAGGGCTGGAGTTGCAATTCGGGTGGCCTGATCATCAACGTGGGCGATTGGTGTTGTGAAATGATGGATTGGTGTGATCAAAGTTGTTTCAATTTGTATGGCGGGATGTGTGACCGCCATGAGGGCGGACGATGAGAGACTTTGTTTCAAATATCCTGCAGATGTAGTTGGCAGGATCGACGGAGTAGAAACCAGAGTGGAAATGGTGGTTTCAGTACTTGCCTCAGTAGAGCTTGGTGTCTCTGGACCTGGGCTTGGTAAAATAGCCTGTGTTGTCATGATTGGGAGAGTCGCTTGGAGCAACGTGAAAGCCACATTTGCTGTGGGTTTTCCGCTTTCAGTAGTTGCATCCTGTTTCTGGCGTGGTGTTACCATGTCATTCTCATTGGTGGTAAAACTCAAAGCTGACGGGTGTTTACCAAACCCGCGTCCATGTTGTGCTGCCACCTTATCATCGGAAATGAGGGCTGGAGTTGCAATTCGGGTGGCCTGATCATCAACGTGGGCGATTGGTGTTGTGAAATGATGGATTGGTGTGATCAAAGTTGTTTCAATTTGTATGGCGGGATGTGTGACCGCCATGAGGGCGGACGATGAGAGACTTTGTTTCAAATATCCTGCAGATGTAGTTGGCAGGATCGACGGAGTAGAAACCAGAGTGGAAATGGTGGTTTCAGTACTTGCCTCAGTAGAGCTTGGTGTCTCTGGACCTGGGCTTGGTAAAATAGCCTGTGTTGTCATGATTGGGAGAGTCGCTTGGAGCAACGTGAAAGCCACATTTGCTGTGGGTTTTCCGCTTTCAGTAGTTGCATCCTGTTTCTGGCGTGGTGTTACCATGTCATTCTCATTGGTGGTAAAACTCAAAGCTGACGGGTGTTTACCAAACCCGCGTCCATGTTGTGCTGCCACCTTATCATCGGAAATGAGGGCTGGAGTTGCAATTCGGGTGGCCTGATCATCAACGTGGGCGATTGGTGTTGTGAAATGATGGATTGGTGTGATCAAAGTTGTTTCAATTTGTATGGCGGGATGTGTGACCGCCATGAGGGCGGACGATGAGAGACTTTGTTTCAAATATCCTGCAGATGTAGTTGGCAGGATCGACGGAGTAGAAACCAGAGTGGAAATGGTGGTTTCAGTACTTGCCTCAGTAGAGCTTGGTGTCTCTGGACCTGGGCTTGGTAAAATAGCCTGTGTTGTCATGATTGGGAGAGTCGCTTGGAGCAACGTGAAAGCCACATTTGCTGTGGGTTTTCCGCTTTCAGTAGTTGCATCCTGTTTCTGGCGTGGTGTTACCATGTCATTCTCATTGGTGGTAAAACTCAAAGCTGACGGGTGTTTACCAAACCCGCGTCCATGTTGTGCTGCCACCTTATCATCGGAAATGAGGGCTGGAGTTGCAATTCGGGTGGCCTGATCATCAACGTGGGCGATTGGTGTTGTGAAATGATGGATTGGTGTGATCAAAGTTGTTTCAATTTGTATGGCGGGATGTGTGACCGCCATGAGGGCGGACGATGAGAGACTTTGTTTCAAATATCCTGCAGATGTAGTTGGCAGGATCGACGGAGTAGAAACCAGAGTGGAAATGGTGGTTTCAGTACTTGCCTCAGTAGAGCTTGGTGTCTCTGGACCTGGGCTTGGTAAAATAGCCTGTGTTGTCATGATTGGGAGAGTCGCTTGGAGCAACGTGAAAGCCACATTTGCTGTGGGTTTTCCGCTTTCAGTAGTTGCATCCTGTTTCTGGCGTGGTGTTACCATGTCATTCTCATTGGTGGTAAAACTCAAAGCTGACGGGTGTTTACCAAACCCGCGTCCATGTTGTGCTGCCACCTTATCATCGGAAATGAGGGCTGGAGTTGCAATTCGGGTGGCCTGATCATCAACGTGGGCGATTGGTGTTGTGAAATGATGGATTGGTGTGATCAAAGTTGTTTCAATTTGTATGGCGGGATGTGTGACCGCCATGAGGGGCGGACGATGAGAGACTTTGTTTCAAATATCCTGCAGATGTAGTTGGCAGGATCGACGGAGTAGAAACCAGAGTGGAAATGGTGGTTTCAGTACTTGCCTCAGTAGAGCTTGGTGTCTCTGGACCTGGGCTTGGTAAAATAGCCTGTGTTGTCATGATTGGGAGAGTCGCTTGGAGCAACGTGAAAGCCACATTTGCTGTGGGTTTTCCGCTTTCAGTAGTTGCATCCTGTTTCTGGCGTGGTGTTACCATGTCATTCTCATTGGTGGTAAAACTCAAAGCTGACGGGTGTTTACCAAACCCGCGTCCATGTTGTGCTGCCACCTTATCATCGGAAATGAGGGCTGGAGTTGCAATTCGGGTGGCCTGATCATCAACGTGGGCGATTGGTGTTGTGAAATGATGGATTGGTGTGATCAAAGTTGTTTCAATTTGTATGGCGGGATGTGTGACCGCCATGAGGGCGGACGATGAGAGACTTTGTTTCAAATATCCTGCAGATGTAGTTGGCAGGATCGACGGAGTAGAAACCAGAGTGGAAATGGTGGTTTCAGTACTTGCCTCAGTAGAGCTTGGTGTCTCTGGACCTGGGCTTGGTAAAATAGCCTGTGTTGTCATGATTGGGAGAGTCGCTTGGAGCAACGTGAAAGCCACATTTGCTGTGGGTTTTCCGCTTTCAGTAGTTGCATCCTGTTTCTGGCGTGGTGTTACCATGTCATTCTCATTGGTGGTAAAACTCAAAGCTGACGGGTGTTTACCAAACCCGCGTCCATGTTGTGCTGCCACCTTATCATCGGAAATGAGGGCTGGAGTTGCAATTCGGGTGGCCTGATCATCAACGTGGGCGATTGGTGTTGTGAAATGATGGATTGGTGTGATCAAAGTTGTTTCAATTTGTATGGCGGGATGTGTGACCGCCATGAGGGCGGACGATGAGAGACTTTGTTTCAAATATCCTGCAGATGTAGTTGGCAGGATCGACGGAGTAGAAACCAGAGTGGAAATGGTGGTTTCAGTACTTGCCTCAGTAGAGCTTGGTGTCTCTGGACCTGGGCTTGGTAAAATAGCCTGTGTTGTCATGATTGGGAGAGTCGCTTGGAGCAACGTGAAAGCCACATTTGCTGTGGGTTTTCCGCTTTCAGTAGTTGCATCCTGTTTCTGGCGTGGTGTTACCATGTCATTCTCATTGGTGGTAAAACTCAAAGCTGACGGGTGTTTTACCAAACCCGCGTCCATGTTGTGCTGCCACCTTATCATCGGAAATGAGGGCTGGAGTTGCAATTCGGGTGGCCTGATCATCAACGTGGGCGATTGGTGTTGTGAAATGATGGATTGGTGTGATCAAAGTTGTTTCAATTTGTATGGCGGATGTGTGACCGCCATGAGGGCGGACGATGAGAGACTTTGTTTCAAATATCCTGCAGATGTAGTTGGCAGGATCGACGGAGTAGAAACCAGAGTGGAAATGGTGTTTCAGTACTTGCCTCAGTAGAGCTTGGTGTCTCTGGACCTGGGCTTGGTAAAATAGCCTGTGTTGTCATGATTGGGAGAGTCGCTTGGAGCAACGTGAAAGCCACATTTGCTGTGGGTTTCCGCTTTCAGTAGTTGCATCCTGTTTCTGGCGTGGTGTTACCATGTCATTCTCATTGGTGGTAAAACTCAAAGCTGACGGGTGTTTACCAAACCCGCGTCCATGTTGTGCTGCCACCTTATCATCGGAAATGAGGGCTGGAGTTGCAATTCGGGTGGCCTGATCATCAACGTGGGCGATTGGTGTTGTGAAATGATGGATTGGTGTGATCAAAGTTGTTTCAATTTGTATGGCGGGATGTGTGACCGCCATGAGGGCGGACGATGAGAGACTTTGTTTCAAATATCCTGCAGATGTAGTTGGCAGGATCGACGGAGTAGAAACCAGAGTGGAAATGGTGGTTTCAGTACTTGCCTCAGTAGAGCTTGGTGTCTCTGGACCTGGGCTTGGTAAAATAGCCTGTGTTGTCATGATTGGGAGAGTCGCTTGGAGCAACGTGAAAGCCACATTTGCTGTGGGTTTTCCGCTTTCAGTAGTTGCATCCTGTTTCTGGCGTGGTGTTACCATGTCATTCTCATTGGTGGTAAAACTCAAAGCTGACGGGTGTTTACCAAACCCGCGTCCATGTTGTGCTGCCACCTTATCATCGGAAATGAGGGCTGGAGTTGCAATTCGGGTGGCCTGATCATCAACGTGGGCGATTGGTGTTGTGAAATGATGGATTGGTGTGATCAAAGTTGTTTCAATTTGTATGGCGGGATGTGTGACCGCCATGAGGGCGGACGATGAGAGACTTTGTTTCAAATATCCAGCAGATGTAGTTGGCAGGATCGACGGAGTAGAACCAGAGTGGAAATGGTGGTTTCAGTACTTGCCTCAGTAGAGCTTGGTGTCTCTGGACCTGGGCTTGGTAAAATAGCCTGTGTTGTCATGATTGGGAGAGTCGCTTGGAGCAACGTGAAAGCCACATTTGCTGTGGGTTTTCCGCTTTCAGTAGTTGCATCCTGTTTCTGGCGTGGTGTTACCATGTCATTCTCATTGGTGGTAAAACTCAAAGCTGACGGGTGTTTACCAAACCCGCGTCCATGTTGTGCTGCCACCTTATCATCGGAAATGAGGGCTGGAGTTGCAATTCGGGTGGCCTGATCATCAACGTGGGCGATTGGTGTTGTGAAATGATGGATTGGTGTGATCAAAGTTGTTTCAATTTGTATGGCGGGATGTGTGACCGCCATGAGGGCGGACGATGAGAGACTTTGTTTCAAATATCCTGCAGATGTAGTTGGCAGGATCGACGGAGTAGAAACCAGAGTGGAAATGGTGGTTTCAGTACTTGCCTCAGTAGAGCTTGGTGTCTCTGGACCTGGGCTTGGTAAAATAGCCTGTGTTGTCATGATTGGGAGAGTCGCTTGGAGCAACGTGAAAGCCACATTTGCTGTGGGTTTTCCGCTTTCAGTAGTTGCATCCTGTTTCTGGCGTGGTGTTACCATGTCATTCTCATTGGTGGTAAAACTCAAAGCTGACGGGTGTTTACCAAACCCGCGTCCATGTTGTGCTGCCACCTTATCATCGGAAATGAGGGCTGGAGTTGCAATTCGGGTGGCCTGATCATCAACGTGGGCGATTGGTGTTGTGAAATGATGGATTGGTGTGATCAAAGTTGTTTCAATTTGTATGGCGGGATGTGTGACCGCCATGAGGGCGGACGATGAGAGACTTTGTTTCAAATATCCTGCAGATGTAGTTGGCAGGATCGACGGAGTAGAAACCAGAGTGGAAATGGTGGTTTCAGTACTTGCCTCAGTAGAGCTTGGTGTCTCTGGACCTGGGCTTGGTAAAATAGCCTGTGTTGTCATGATTGGGAGAGTCGCTTGGAGCAACGTGAAAGCCACATTTGCTGTGGGTTTTCCGCTTTCAGTAGTTGCATCCTGTTTCTGGCGTGGTGTTACCATGTCATTCTCATTGGTGGTAAAACTCAAAGCTGACGGGTGTTTACCAAACCCGCGTCCATGTTGTGCTGCCACCTTATCATCGGAAATGAGGGCTGGAGTTGCAATTCGGGTGGCCTGATCATCAACGTGGGCGATTGGTGTTGTGAAATGATGGATTGGTGTGATCAAAGTTGTTTCAATTTGTATGGCGGGATGTGTGACCGCCATGAGGGCGGACGATGAGAGACTTTGTTTCAAATATCCTGCAGATGTAGTTGGCAGGATCGACGGAGTAGAAACCAGAGTGGAAATGGTGGTTTCAGTACTTGCCTCAGTAGAGCTTGGTGTCTCTGGACCTGGGCTTGGTAAAATAGCCTGTGTTGTCATGATTGGGAGAGTCGCTTGGAGCAACGTGAAAGCCACATTTGCTGTGGGTTTTCCGCTTTCAGTAGTTGCATCCTGTTTCTGGCGTGGTGTTACCATGTCATTCTCATTGGTGGTAAAACTCAAAGCTGACGGGTGTTTACCAAACCCGCGTCCATGTTGTGCTGCCACCTTATCATCGGAAATGAGGGCTGGAGTTGCAATTCGGGTGGCCTGATCATCAACGTGGGCGATTGGTGTTGTGAAATGATGGATTGGTGTGATCAAAGTTGTTTCAATTTGTATGGCGGGATGTGTGACCGCCATGAGGGCGGACGATGAGAGACTTTGTTTCAAATATCCTGCAGATGTAGTTGGCAGGATCGACGGAGTAGAAACCAGAGTGGAAATGGTGGTTTCAGTACTTGCCTCAGTAAAGCTTGGTGTCTCTGGACCTGGGCTTGGTAAAATAGCCTGTGTTGTCATGATTGGGAGAGTCGCTTGGAGCAACGTGAAAGCCACATTTGCTGTGGGTTTTCCGCTTTCAGTAGTTGCATCCTGTTTCTGGCGTGGTGTTACCATGTCATTCTCATTGGTGGTAAAACTCAAAGCTGACGGGTGTTTACCAAACCCGCGTCCATGTTGTGCTGCCACCTTATCATCGGAAATGAGGGCTGGAGTTGCAATTCGGGTGGCCTGATCATCAACGTGGGCGATTGGTGTTGTGAAATGATGGATTGGTGTGATCAAAGTTGTTTCAATTTGTATGGCGGGATGTGTGACCGCCATGAGGGCGGACGATGAGAGACTTTGTTTCAAATATCCTGCAGATGTAGTTGGCAGGATCGACGGAGTAGAAACCAGAGTGGAAATGGTGGTTTCAGTACTTGCCTCAGTAGAGCTTGGTGTCTCTGGACCTGGGCTTGGTAAAATAGCCTGTGTTGTCATGATTGGGAGAGTCGCTTGGAGCAACATGAAAGCCACATTTGCTGTGGGTTTTCCGCTTTCAGTAGTTGCATCCTGTTTCTGGCGTGGTGTTACCATGTCATTCTCATTGGTGGTAAAACTCAAAGCTGACGGGTGTTTACCAAACCCGCGTCCATGTTGTGCTGCCACCTTATCATCGGAAATGAGGGCTGGAGTTGCAATTCGGGTGGCCTGATCATCAACGTGGGCGATTGGTGTTGTGAAATGATGGATTGGTGTGATCAAAGTTGTTTCAATTTGTATGGCGGGATGTGTGACCGCCATGAGGGCGGACGATGAGAGACTTTGTTTCAAATATCCTGCAGATGTAGTTGGCAGGATCGACGGAGTAGAAACCAGAGTGGAAATGGTGGTTTCAGTACTTGCCTCAGTAGAGCTTGGTGTCTCTGGACCTGGGCTTGGTAAAATAGCCTGTGTTGTCATGATTGGGAGAGTCGCTTGGAGCAACGTGAAAGCCACATTTGCTGTGGGTTTTCCGCTTTCAGTAGTTGCATCCTGTTTCTGGCGTGGTGTTACCATGTCATTCTCATTGGTGGTAAAACTCAAAGCTGACGGGTGTTTACCAAACCCGCGTCCATGTTGTGCTGCCACCTTATCATCGGAAATGAGGGCTGGAGTTGCAATTCGGGTGGCCTGATCATCAACGTGGGCGATTGGTGTTGTGAAATGATGGATTGGTGTGATCAAAGTTGTTTCAATTTGTATGGCGGGATGTGTGACCGCCATGAGGGCGGACGATGAGAGACTTTGTTTCAAATATCCTGCAGATGTAGTTGGCAGGATCGACGGAGTAGAAACCAGAGTGGAAATGGTGGTTTCAGTACTTGCCTCAGTAGAGCTTGGTGTCTCTGGACCTGGGCTTGGTAAAATAGCCTGTGTTGTCATGATTGGGAGAGTCGCTTGGAGCAACGTGAAAGCCACATTTGCTGTGGGTTTTCCGCTTTCAGTAGTTGCATCCTGTTTCTGGCGTGGTGTTACCATGTCATTCTCATTGGTGGTAAAACTCAAAGCTGACGGGTGTTTACCAAACCCGCGTCCATGTTGTGCTGCCACCTTATCATCGGAAATGAGGGCTGGAGTTGCAATTCGGGTGGCCTGATCATCAACGTGGGCGATTGGTGTTGTGAAATGATGGATTGGTGTGATCAAAGTTGTTTCAATTTGTATGGCGGGATGTGTGACCGCCATGAGGGCGGACGATGAGAGACTTTGTTTCAAATATCCTGCAGATGTAGTTGGCAGGATCGACGGAGTAGAAACCAGAGTGGAAATGGTGGTTTCAGTACTTGCCTCAGTAGAGCTTGGTGTCTCTGGACCTGGGCTTGGTAAAATAGCCTGTGTTGTCATGATTGGGAGAGTCGCTTGGAGCAACATGAAAGCCACATTTGCTGTGGGTTTTCCGCTTTCAGTAGTTGCATCCTGTT